TGTCAAACAGACAGCGAGTGACGTGAAAGAAAGATACGTATACACAGCACAGCCATCATGGCGGCAGCATGCAGTAAGGAAACAACACCGTCAGCGTGCAGCTATGCACCCAAGGCATGATGTCGAACAAGTCAACACGCCAAAAGCACTTAAGTGTGTGTGTGTGTCTGTCCGTCAGCCGCTCGATGGCCACCGCACACAGCGAGCGATGATCAACACTCAATGTGTGTGCTGACCACTCAGGAGGCAACAGTCAGCACACCGACACACGCAGGCACGACACACACACGCCTGTGTCGGTCAACGGGCCACAAAAGGAGGCGTACGTGCGAATAATGCACACAGACAGACAGACAGGCACCCACTCATTAATGTGTGTGTGTGCGGATCGAGTAGTGAAATGGAAAGCCTCACATGAATCAGTAAAGATAACATACAGACAGATAAATGCATTCCTCTGTGTGTGTGTGTGTCCATTCATTCCCTCGCCCGCCCCTCTGTGCGCATCTCTGTCACCGCCCGGCAACCCTAAAGCACCAACACCCTTCATGGGCTGACGCTCTCCAGTTACCAGCCGGCATCAAAGATGCCCACAGAGAGAGAGGGGAGGACACACACGAGGAAAACCAAAACTCTCTCTCTCTCTCTCAGCCAGGCAGATCAGTGTGTGTGTGTATCGGTCTGTCTGTCTGTGTGCCGGCCGTGTGTGACGGATGCATCGACGAGAGATCAACACACTCTCGCGAGCAGCCGTCCCACAAAGCCACACCACAGACAGACGGCCACCGCCACCTCACACAGCGATTCCTTTGTGCAGCCAGCCAGCCAATCCTCCCTCTCTGTCTGTCTGTCTGTCTGTCATCTCTCCCCCGCCCCCCACTCACCAGCCGACACACTCACGGCAGCTGACGGCTGATGAGTGGCTGTTGGAGGCGTCATGACAATGGCAGCCAGACCGACCGACACACAAAGCCCCACAACACAACACAGTGAGATCGACGCACATACGACCAAAAGGCGACACAGTGAGAGATTCAGTTCAGTTCAGTCAGCCCGTCCGTCGGCTCATCGGCCGATCTCTCTCCCTTCAGCACACATCATCGCCGTCAGCCACCTGCATCCGTTCAGATGACACACGCCACACAGAGAGAGGAGACATCTGTGCGTGTGAGTCCTGCCTGTCCCGCTGTGTGCCCATCTGTCTGTGCGTACCAGTTGGTGGAGTGCCCTCACTCCTCTGTCACACCGCTGCACCTCACACACCACACGACGTCTGCAGCACACCACACACAGATCCAGGCACCACCCGTCAAGAAAGCACATGCATCATTTCGGCGTGTCACGCGCCCGCCGTGTCCAGGACGTCCGCCTTAATTACGCACCTGCCTGTGCCGCCAGCAGCCGCCTGTGTGCCGAGAGAGAGAGGGGACAGCTGACAGATCTCGTGCAGTGGGCCGTTAGTAAGGCTGACAAGGAGCCAATTGGCAGACCGACCCGGGGTGGGGCAGGGCGGCGCCGGTGGGGGACAGGGTAGGGTTTAAACCCTTAACCCTACGAGATTTCGGCGGCCTTTTGTGTGCCTTTCGGACGGCTGCGCATTGTGAGTGTGGCGCATTCGGCTGGGAGAACGGCTTAGCGGATCAGTGGAGTCATCCGTCCCACCGCCGCCCTGTCGACTGGTGTGGTGGGATGGCGGGCCGCTGAGCCAGGAGGGTTCCACTGCATCAGGCCAGGTGAGGGCTGCAGACACTCTCGGCCGCACACACTGGCTCTGCAATGACTGCAGATCTCAGGCGCACCGATGGATGGGCATAGCTGACTGACCGAGGCGATAGCTCAGATACGGAGGGCACATCAGCTGCAGGTGAGATGATTCAATGGACCCATTCATTCATCCACCGCGGCTTGGATTGATGCCTGTGTGTGTGTGTTTGGTTCGTGCAGCTTGGTCCCGCATCGCAATGGCGGCCTCTGCTGCTGGTGCTGGTGGTGGTGGTGTTAGTATGCCCAAGTGCAGTGTGTGTGATGACGACTACCAATCGCATGGCGACAAAGCACCCGACCAGCTCAGATGCGGTGATCAATGCACACACACCGCACACAAGGCCAACACGATGATCAGTGTGGCTCCGTGTGGTGTGTTTGGCGGTTTCTGTTTGCTCAGGTCATTCCTTCTGTGCGGCGGTGAGCGAGTGGGCACTGGAGAGGGTGTTGGCGACAATGGCACGCCATGTGTGTGTCTGCAGTGCGTCAGAGGGCTCATCCGCCATCACCCCTACGGCCTTCGTGCTGCCAAGTGCGCCATCTGCAGGTACACTCAGACATGGAGGCGACACATATATGGGTGTGAATGGCCTCATGGCTTCCCCCTCCTTTGTGTGTCCATCGGTCGATCAGGGAGGAGACTGCGGAGGCGGACGTCCGCCCCAACCACGGCCGGCGAGAGGCCATGGCGTCGCTGCTGGCGATTCGCATGCAGACGGTGCGAACAATCTGACAGACGCCATGACTTCGGCAGCCATCGTCGCATATGTGTGTGTGTGGCTGGTCAGGTGAGTCCGCCGGAGGGCACTTCGCTGACACGGCAGGAGTACTACGACCTGCTGGGGCTGCTGGGCGACCACACCATGAAGCTGCAGTCCATCTACCGGTATGTATGCAGCCGACACAGACACACACACTCACTCACACTATCCATCCATGTGAAAATGATGGTGAATTCGGTTTTCTCTTTTTTTGTTTCTCTCTCTCTCTCTCTCTGTGTGTGTGTGTGTGTGTGTGTGTTTGTGTGTGTTCATCAGGGCGTCGCGTGACGGCACAACCTACGACGATTTGCTGCGGTATGTGGGCGACAAGACCAGCCTGGCCTTCATCATCCGCAAGAACCAATACGCCTTCGGCGCCTTCATCAATGCCGGCATCCGACTGCCCGACGACCCGACTGACACCAATGTGTACTACTGTGACGTGTGGCTTTTCTCCCTGGCCGGTCACTTCGCCCAGCCGACCAAGATCGAGATCAGCCGAGAGATGCAGTATGTGATAGTGGCGGGGAGGGAGGGGAGTGTGGGTGGTGGGAATGTGGTGATCGGTGGTCTTCTGTGTTTGGGTGACGGTCTTGGCCACGGCTGGCCGGCTGTCGACATCCGCAGCTGCTATCAGTTCACGCGGAGCGACAATTTGCCTGCGGGCTATGTGGGGCTGAGGGATAGCGATGGCCATGCAGTGCTGGGCGGGTCTTTTCGATTCCGAGCGGATGAGATAGAGGTGCTGCACGTGGGTGGGCAGTGAGTGTCTGTTTGGGGTGCATCCGCTTCTCGACGTGGGCGGGGCACGGCAGGTCAGTGACAGAGGGAGGGGGAGGATGTGTCTCTATGTGTGTGAGGTGCTGTCATCTGATTGCTCTCTTCTCCCCATCCCACGCTGCACAGACATTCCCATGTGCAGGAGGGCTCTTTGGATGTGTGTGTGTGTGTGCATATGACCCACGAGCTGTCTGTCCGCACAGCTCATTGTACATATCCCTTCCATCGCTTCTGAGACCCAAAGAGACTGACTCACTTAGATGATCGACTCAATGCACCTGCTGCATCTGCCGTGTTGATCCCTCTGTGTGTGTTCAGCTAATTAATGGCCACGCCATTTTCTCTCTTCCTCCCTGTCCGTCTGCATGCCCCACACACAGACAGACACACCGAAACGAACCAAACAAACCCCAAGACGGCCACACACACGGCCAGCCCAGCAGAGCACACAATAACGGAGACAGACAGACAGACAGACAGACAAGCAGGCCCACGCGACAGCGGTGGATGTCTCTCTCACCCCCACGCACAGACGCATATGAGATCGTTCCTCTGTCTGTCATTGGCCATTTCTCAGCCGGCGATCGGCTTAGGCACTGATGTGAGACCGACGCAGTGCAGTGGGGCCGCCTTAGCTATGGCGCTGCTGGACGGCCGGATGGGCCGAGTTGTGGGCGTCAGTCAGGTGAGCGCATTGACTGCCATTAATCACTTGGCCGGCAATGGTATAGTCTGCCCACCGACGAGTGGCCTGGCCACTCCTTTGTGTGTGTGTGTGTGTGTGTATGTCAGCCGGTCGACGGCCACCACACACAGAGAGCGATGATCAACACACAATGTGTGTGTATGGTGTCCATCTCGCTGACGACAGCCAACACACCGACACACGCAGGCAGGCAGCATCAAACAAGCGTCTCAATCCCATCTCTCTCTCTCTCTCTCTCTCTGTGTCCGTCCATTCCCTCGTTCATGTGCGGCAGTTTCCTGTAAAGGCATCTCCTGCGTGTGTGTCTACATCAATGGTTCATCTCAATGAATATCGGTCAAGCTGACCTTGTCAACAGTTCAGCCAGTCACGTCCGTCAATAATGACACGAACCGTACCCATACACACGAAAGGTATATACACATATACACATACAGACCTCTATGCGTCCAACAGACAGCGAGTGATATGTATACACAGCAGGGGCATCATGCAGTAAGAAACAACACCGTCAGCGTGCAGCTATGCACCCAAGGCAGTTGAGTGTGTGTGTGTGTCTGTGTGTGTCTGTCAGCCGGTCGATGGCCACCAAACACAGAGAGCGATGATCAACACTCACTGTGTGTCAGGTGTCCATCTCGCCGATGACAGCCAGCACACCGACACACGCAGGCACGACAGACGCTTGTGTCGGTCAACGGGCCACAAAAGGAAGCGTACGTTCGTGCAATGCACACAGACAGACAGACAGACAGTCAGGCAGGCAAACAAAGAAACAGATCTCGATCTCTCTCTGTGTGCGTCTGTGTCCATTCATTCCCTCGCCCGCCCCTCTGTGCGCATCTCTGTCACCGCCCGGCAACCCAAAAGCACCAACACCCTTCGTGGGCTGACGCTCTCTTGTTGCCCACCGGTGTCCAAGATGCCCACAGAGGGGATGGGGAGGACACACACGAGGGAAACCAAAACACACACGCGCACACACACACACACACTCTCTCTCTCTCTCTCTCAGCCAGACAGCCATGTTTGTGTGTCGGTCTGTGTGTCTGTGAGCCGGCCGTGTGTGACGGATGCATCGACGAGAGATCAACACACTCTCGCGAGAAACCGTTCCAAACCTCCAGCACACAGACAGACGGCCACCGCCACGCCACACAGCGATTCCTTTGTGCAGCCAGCCAATTATCCCTCTCTGTCTGCCTGTCTGTCTGTCTGTCTGTCATCTCTCCCCCGCCCCCCACTCATCGGCCGACACACTCATGGCAGCTGACGGCTGAGGAGTGGGAGGGGGCTGAGGAATGACAATGGCAGCCAGACCGACCGACACCCAAAGCCCCACAACACAACACACTCTCACAAACACGACAGCCGTCAGTCCATCGATGCCGTCCACGCGGCAGAGAGATAGACAGTCAGTTCACTCACATCAGCTCGTCGACTCATCGGCCGATCTCACACCGGCAGCCGCTCGGCCGTCGTGTGGCTTTGCTCCAGCGAGTGAATCAGCACACCAACCACACCTGACACACAGACAGACAGACACACAGACGTCATCGGCCGCCCCTCTCTGTCCGTCTGTGTGTCCCTCCCTCTCTGTGTCTCTCTCGGGGTACCATTGCTCGCAGACACCAAAGCCCATCATCAGACCGCCGCACACCGCCGCATAATGAGCTCTCGTGTTGCCCTGCTGTCGTCCGTCAGTCGACGACCGACACCCACACGCAAAAGGGCCACGAGAGAGAGACAAAGGGAGAGAGAGGCAGAGAGAGATGTCAGCTAAGGCCAGGCAGTCAGCACGTATTGGCCAGCAGAAGTCGGCGCATCGGCCGATCTTTCCCCCTTCAGTGCATATCATCCCCACCACTCAGTCACACAGACAGTCACACAGACAGACAGACACACATGACTCACAGCCGAGTGCACCATGACTGACACCAACAGGCAGCCAAACAGCGGAACGAACGGCAGGCACACCAAACGAGACTGACCTTCCCCTCTCACACACTTGTGTGCCGTCCCATATATCTCTCTCTCCTTCCGGTGAACGTCACACCGACAACGGTATATGTGTGGCGAAATCTCAAAACACACCGTTCCATCGCCTCATTTCGCAGTCGTGTGTCCATACCCTCCCCCTCGCCCGCCCCTCTGTGCGCATCTCCTCACCGCCCGGCAACCCTAAAGCACCAACACCCTTCGTGGGCTGACGCTCTCAGATTGCTGGACGACATACAAGATGCCCACAGAGAGAGAGGGGACGACGCACAGAGCGTACAAGTGTAATGCGACATGAGAGAAAAAGAGGGAAGCCGCACGCACCATTACCGATTTGAAGCACCATCTCTCTCGTCTGTCTGTCTCTCTGTCTGTGTGTGTGTATCCCACCGATCCCCACCGATCACATTTGAGCGATGACAGCAACACACAAATGGCCTTCGCTAAGGAAGAGGCAGATGACACACAGACACACGAGGGAAGTGACAGCAAACTGACAGAGAGGCACAGAAAGAAACATCCACACGCCGGTGTCTGTCTGTGTGTGTGGTGGGCCCTCACAGACAAAACAGATCTTTGCATTGCGTTCATATCGACATACATCAACAGACAGCCATTTGGCAAGAAATTATCTGCGCGCGAGGTGACGCCGCCAACACCAACACACACAGGCAACCAACGAAAAAACAAAACCAACGTCTCTCTCTCTCACTTACGCGTCAGCACCACCCACCCAGCCGCCCAGCCGGCCGCCCAGCCATTGGTCAATGCGCCACGCAGCCACAGAACCACGTCATGAGATCCATCCATCCATCCACATTTATGTCAGTCTGTCCCCTACGCACAAAACACACCGTTGTCAAACAGAACACAGCGGCCGACAACAGGCCAGGCCAACAGGTAGGATACGTGGCTGTCTGTGTGTGGGCCGTCAAATGTGCGTCGAATGCATCGACGACAGTCAGCTCACCAGCACACAAACATCACACGACAGAAGAACCAAACCGACAACGACATATGTGTGTCAAAATATCAAAACACATCGATCCATCCACCAACACGACTGTGAGGGCATACACACATCGACGTCAGGACGGTCGGCAAAGGGACACATCCACTGCCTCATTTGGTGTGATGGGTCAGCAGTCGTGTGTGTGTCCATTCCCTCGCCCGCCCCCCCGTGCGCATCTCTGTCGCCGCCCGGCAACCCCAAAGCACCAACACCCTTCACATGCTGACGCTCAAAAGTTGCCGATCGCATACACAGATGCCCACAGAGAGGGGAGGACACACACAGGGAAACCAAAAATCTCTCTCTCTCTCTCTCTCTCAGGCAGATCAGTGTGTGTGTGTGTCGGTCTGTCTGTCTGTGAGCCGGCCGTGTGTGACGGATGCACCGACGAGAGATCAACACAGTCTCGCGAGCAATCGTCACACAGAGCCGCATCAGACAGACGGCCACCGCCACCCCACACAGCGATTCCGTTGTGCAGCCAGCCAATCCTCCCTCTCTGTCTGTCTGTCTGTCTGTCATCTCTCCCCCGCCCTCCACTCATCGGCCGACACACTCATGGCAGCTGACGAGTGGCTGGCCGTGGCGAGATGACAGTGGCAGCCAGACCGACCGACACCCAAAGCCCCACAACACAACACAGTGAGATCGACGCACATACGACCAAAAGGCGACAGAGTGAGAGATTCAGTTCAGTTCAGTCAGCCCGTCCGTCGGCTCATCGGCCGATCTCTCTCCCTTCAGCACACATCATCGCCGTCAGCCACCTGCATCCCTTCAGATGACACACGCCACACAGAGAGAGGAGACGTCTGTGCGTGTGAGTCCCGCCTGTCCCGCTGTGTGCCCATCTGTCTCGGTGTACCAGTTGGTGGAGTGCCCTCACTCCTTTGTCACACCGCTGCGCCTCACACACCGCACAACGTCTGCAGCACACCACACACAGATCCAGGCACTAACCGTCCAGACAGCACATGCATCATTTCGGCGTGTCATGCGCCCGCCGTGTGCATGACGTCCGCCTTAGTTGCCCACCTGCCTGTGCCGCCAGCAGCCGCCTGTGTGCCGACAGAGAGGGGACAGCTGACAGACAGATCTCGTGCAGTGGGCCGTGAGCAAGGCTCACAAGAGCCAATTGGCAGACCGACCCGGGGTGGGGCAGCTAGCTGAAGAGGGTGACAGGGTAGGGTTTAAACCCTGGATCCTACAAGTTGACGTTGTGTGGCGACCTTGTGTGTGGACAGCTGTGCGTTGTAGAGTGTGGCGCATTTGGCCGAGAGAGCGGCTTAGCGGGTCAGTGGAGTCATCCGTCCCGCCGCCGCCCTGTGGACTGGTGTGGTGGGATGGCGGGCCGCTGAGCTGACAGATAGCAGAGGTGAGAGGGAGGCCACACACTCACTCACTGACCCATTCAGTCACCTCAATGCGTTGACCTTCTTTGTCTGTGTGCATCTCTCTCTGTGTGTGTCTTGTCGGCTCATCAGTCACTGCAGGCGTGTTGGTTCGGTGATGGCGGCCTCCTCATCTGCCGCTGCTGCTGCTGGTGGTAGCTCATCGTCGGCTACGGGCGACGCCAACAAGACGCCATGCGGTCAGTCAGTGAGCCACCACATCCATCCATCCAGTGAAGGCATGTTTGATCTGTGTGTGTGTGGTGCAGGTCACCAGTTCCACTGGCCGTGCATCAACAACCGCAAGTACGGCCTCCCTGGCGGAGCGTCGCCATCGACAGCAGTGGGGGCCAAGTGCAGCTGCCGATGTGGGAAGGACAACAGTGATGGTCATGGCAGGTACTGAGAGTGGACGGTGAGCAGCACATCATTTGACGGACAGGCTAAGGCACTGGTGTGGTGGTGGTGTGCCCTCTGTGTCCCTTCAGGTCACTCGGTGTGTGCAGAGGTGAGCATCCAGGACGATCTCTGTGTGTGAGTGTGGCAATGGACGGCGGTGGAGCCATTCACTCACTCATCTGTGTGTCCTCTCTCTCCTTCAGTGTGTTGTGCAGCGCATTAGATACGGACACCCCGGCGACATCTGCCCCGTCTGCAGGTAAACACTCACACCCACGGACACATAAGCGGCACACAGACATCCGCATGGTTTTCGTCCCGCTGTGTCTTGGTGACACGTTCAGGGCTTCGTTCGCGTGGGCGAGGGGCGGCAGCTCCGTCGGCCTGTCGTATGTGGCGCACATCGCCAAGTGGCTGGGGGGCCACACATCACTCACACTCATCTACAGGTACTCACACACACACATGGCCATCCGATCTGTCATTGTGTGTGTGTGTCTATCAGGGCGTCGCATGACGGCACCACTTACGACGATCTGCTGCGATGTGTGGGCGACAAGACCGGCCTGGTGTTCGTCGTTCGCAAGGACAGGTACGTCTTCGGCGCCTTCATCAGTGCCGGCATCCAGCTACCCGACGACCCCACCAGCTGCCACGAGGACGGCTGTCATGTGTGGCATTTCTCGCTGGCCGGCCACTTTCCCCAGCCCACCAAGATGGACGGAACGTACCAGCGGGTGACAGTGGCGGGGAGGGAGGGGAGTGCGTGGGGTGGGGTTGGTGCGAGTGTGGTCATCGGTGGGCTTCTATGGCTGAGTGACAATGGTCGTGGCAGTGGTCGGCCAACTACCGACATCCGCAGCTGCCATCAGTACATCTGGAGCCACAATTTGCCTGCGGGCTATACGGGGCAGTGGGGCAGCGAGACGGTCTATGCCGTGCTGGGCGGCTCGGTCTGTTTTCATGCGGATGAGTTAGAGGTGCTACACGTGGGCGGGTAGTGAGTGAGTGAGTGAGTGGGGGGGGTTGTGTCTGTGACGTAGATAGCTCGTGTGTGATATATAATGCGTAAGTTGGATGAAGATGTCGGGACTGAAGGCATTCACTGCCAGACGGCACAGACAAACATCATGCGTGCGGCACGACCGAACAGGCCATGATCTCTTGTCCTTCACATACACCAAGCAGAGTTGTCTGTCGGGTAGAACCATCACAGCGGCGCGTGTCTGTCGATGTCTCCCTCTGTGTGCTTCTGAGCCAGCCAGCAACCCTGGAGCACCAACACCCCTTTGCATCGGCTGACGCTCTTCGATTGCCTACCGCGATCCAATGCTCACAGAGGGAGAGGGGAGGAAACACACGAGGGTAACCACACAGAACATCATGATACGATACCAGACACATCGTCGCTGCCATCATGCCTGAAAGACAGCCAGAGGAAAACAAAACAGACACATCCATATGAACGGACACACGAGTGCATGCATGTGTGTTGTGAATGAGTCCTCACATCCTGGCTGACGTGTCGACGTTATTGCTAATGGTCCTGCTCTAGTGAGTGAGCGCAAAATGGTCGAGGAGGGTGTTCTTAACAAACGACGATACCGACGCATTCGTCACCGGACCGACACCCACTACCCAGCCATCACCCAGACAATACTCGACTCGGCTGTTGGCTGGGGAGTCATGCTGCCGTCGGTGTCGCCGGTACAGGTGGCCGGGCGGGAGGGTCAACTTGCAACTCGAAGCCAATCTGGTGATTCTCGTCTCTGATGGCCCACAGCCTCCCATTGTCGTGCTGGAACAACTAGAAGGTCACGCCGTTGCCCATGTGGATGTGGCGGCCGACCATCTTAAGCAGATGAGCCAACACACCCGGCTCGGCCAAACACGCCTGCACATACAATACACGAACGCAGCACGACACACACGATGAGAGCCATCCCCTTTCCCTCCCCTTTGTGCTTACCGTCTTGTTTGTGTGTTGGTGCAGATCATCAGCAGTTAGCCTCAAAGGCAGCTGGCAGCAGCTGCACTGCCCCGCCAGCTCAATCACCTCGCAGATCTCACCCCAGCCGCGCACCTCGATCACACACACGGCCGCCAGCAAGTCACGATCACCCATCTGCTCATCGTCAAAGGGCAGCGGCTGCATTGGCGGCCGTCCATTGGCCTCTCGTCGCAGCCCCGCCTGTGTGGTGAGAGAGTGGCTGAGCCGCTGCCGCAGCTGAGGCGCTCCGAAGAGCTTTCTGAGCCATGTGCATGTGCCTCGCAGACGCAGCACGTCACCGATGCTAGGAGATAGAAGCTGCGGCGGCCGGCGAATATATAAGTGAAGGGATGCTGCTGCTGATGCTGCGTGTGCTGCATCATGGCCCACGGAATGGATGATCTCCGGATCACTCAGCATGAGTAGAAGAGGAACAGAGATAGATGAGTTGTCCGGCACCAAGCCGAACACTCAGGCGACTCACGCACCCCACCCAGCCCCCTCCCTCTTTTGAAAGAATGACGAACGCCGAAAAAAGTGAGTCGAAAAGGACGGTAGGCAACGGTTAGTGCTCCACTGCCGGTCAGTCGACGCTCCCGGCTGCTGTCTGGCCCTGCCGCAGCCGCAGAGAGTCCGCGACAGCTGGGGCCGCTAGCGTCGCCACTGCTTGTATCATCCTCGGCTCGGGTGACAGGGGCGCGTCCGTGTCGCCATGGCCGCCACAAGGAGGGCTCCGGTCATCTAAACGATCAGACAGCACGAGTGAATCGACCATGAGCCACAGACATATACGCCATTCATTGCAGGCCTTTACCTGCAGCAGCCGTGAGTGCTGGGCAAGACCGACTCCGGCAAAGCGATGACCTTGGCGGAGGGAGGTCCACCTGCACAGCTTTGGTCACCTGCTGCGCAGCTTCCGGACGGGAGGTCACTTCCGCAGCTGCCGGACCGAGGTCTACCTGGACAGCTGTGCTCACCTGCTGCGCAGCTTCCGGACGGGAGGTCACTGGCGCAGCTGCTGGATGGGCGTTTACTTGTGGAGCTGAAAGTAAATAAAGCAATGAAAGCCCCACGTGTGCACATCTCTCTCTCTGTCTGTGTTGTGTGTCATCCTTGCCCACCCGTCTGATTCGCCTGATTGAATTTGTAGATGGCGTACTCCGCCCTGCACAGGATCTGCTGGCACTCTTGCAAGCGGCCGCGGAGGAATTCGTGGTCCTCTGACCAGAAGTTGTATCCTATCCGTTGAACCCCGTTGTCCGGATTCTTCTCCAAGCTGGCGCGGGATTCCTCCTTGTATACCGCAACTCTGGCAAGCTCCTCCTGCAGGTGCGGGATATCCTCTCTGAGCCGCTTGGCCGACTCTGTGGCCTCCTCAAGCGTGCCCCACTTGAAGCTTGCTCTCCACTCCCACCTGCGAAGGTCTCCGATGAGTCCCGTGTGAATGAGCAGTGGCAGCCAGAGATGGCGATGCAGCCACTTCATTCATTCAGCAGGTCGTCGATCGACGGGCATTTGCGCACACACAGACACAAGGGAGAGATGTGATGGCTACACAGATGCACGCAGCAGACAGGCCGCAGTGCTGACCCTCCTTCCTTCGGCAAATAGACAGACGATGAACAGACCGATGACACACAGACAACACAGCCACTTGAGCAAGTCGACCATCATCTGACAGACAGACAGACAGACTGACACACAGACAAACAGACAAACACACAGACAGACACCCAGACAGACACACAGACACAGGTCGTGTACGTGTGAATCTGATGCAACCGTGTGATTCAGTGTTGCCTGTTTCCTCCTACACACCTCTGCTGGCATGCAGCTTCAAAGATCACACCAACTGGATGATCACAGTATCACGGGATGAATGAATCAGCACATGAGGAAACGGCGGGCGGCGAAGGCAATGAGCACAACAAGGGCCAGAGGCGATGGTCGAGGCCCTGAGAAGGGGCAGGAAGAAAAAACGCTGCGAGCTCAGCTCGCATCACGGAGAGATTTCAACAGCACCGTACACAGGAGTGGGCACCAGCACAAGCCTTCTGATCGTCGCCTGACTGAAAAGGAGAGAGACTGGAAGGATCTGTGTTTCTTCCGTTGCGGCGCATCTCCGTCGTGGGGTCCTCTGCTCTCGTCGAGGGTGCTGCCGTCGCCTCCTCGGTGTCTGCTGTCGTCCTCCTGCTGCGGTGAGCGGTGTGATGGAGCCGTCTGTGAGTGTGCGGTTCGCTGGCGATGCGGAGGGCGATGCGCCGCTCGTCGTCAAGGAGGGCATTCTGCTGCCATTCAGATACTTCACTCAGGTGAGATGCGACACACCACACACGGCAGAGATGACAGACACGTGACATGCACGCCATGTGTGTCCTCTGTGTGTGTGGGTGCAGGTGATGGACGGCGAGTTTCAGGAGGGCCAGGAGCGTCAGGTGTCCATCGAGAAGATCAGCCGGCCCATCGGTGAGGTGGTCCTGCAGCAGGAGGTGGACATAGTGGACTCGCTGACCAGGGACAATCTGCTCGACGCGATGGTGGCGCTGGACTACCTGCAATTCGACACCGACCAGATCTTTACCACCGGCAGCAACAAGAGCCTCCTGTGGCGCATCCATCGCAAGGCGAGCATCGGCAAGAGAGAGACCTCAATCTCGTTCATGGTTCCACTGTCGGTGCCTTTTGGTCTGTGTCAGGTTGTGGGAGAGGGATGGCTTGCCGACCATCAGCTGGCCAGCAAGTTGCTGGACACTATCGCCCGCTATCCATTCATCGCCCGCTTCATCCACCGCCATACCGACATTTGCGCGGCGCTGCGTCAGTCCCTCCGCAAGAGGCCTGACGTCATCCGCGAGCAGTGGCGTCGTCGCGAAATGGGCGAGGACACCGATGCCACCAAGGCAGCGGTGAGCTTGGGTGGCCAGCCTGGCAGATGCCATCTCGTACGATGCAGTCGATGTGTCGCGTCAAGAGCTCGCCAAATTCATGACATCGGTGACGAACACGGCATCTCTCTCGGCCGCACAGGGTAAACAAGAGGACAGGTGGAACGGCTCACATCAGCAACACCTCTGCTTGTCTGTGGTCGGTGTCGTCCTGTCCGTCTGCAGCGGCCGTTTTCGAGTCCGACGAATTCTCATCCTCTTCTACGGCGACGGTGCGGCCCTTTGCCGACGAGCGGGGGGGAGCCATCACGTGTATGGGCTTCTCTGTCGAGGTGGTGGGTCTTCCCCCTCCCTACGCCCCTCCCACATCCAGCGATCTGCCAGCCAATGCCATCCGCGACGGCGATGCCAAGCTGACGGAAGTGGCGGGCTGGTACGTCAAGTTCCATCCAGTCGTTGGAAGGCGAGCTGAGGGGGAGTCTTTCGTGTCATGCTATGCTCCTGATGGCTGTCTGGAGGTGGCTCATCCTCACGGCGATTCCGATGCCACACGCCCCGCGATCCAGCTGCATGAGAGCCCGACTCTGATGGCTTCGCGCAAGATCCGCATGGGCAAGGTGACGTCGACTGGCGCCTCTGTCAGTGAATTCGGCATAAAGCTGATGGGACGGGTAAGCTGGCTGTTTTGCAGCGCCCGCGTTATTGGTGCCGATGCGCTGCCGCAGCAGGGGCTGGGGGACATCCGTCTCAAGGATGTCGTGCTGCAGATGACGGTTCGCTACTTCCCGCTGCGTGTACTGGCCCTGCACTATCTGCGGATGTGCGTCATTGACGGCTGCTATGAGGAGATCTCCCGGATGGCCAAGTGAGTGGGGAGATGACATGCACACACGATACGTGTCCTCCTCTCTCACTCTCTCTCTCTCTCTCTGTCTGTCTCTGTGATCGTCTGTGTGTGCAGGTCGATTCATCGTGAAGTCGCTGAGTATCCGGTTTCCAACCTGGCTGTGGTGCAGCGTCATCGCCTTCCACTCATGCTGTATTGGGCGGCGGCCATCGAGGGCCTGTCCCAATATCGTGTTGATCAAGTCTCATCCGCGCTGGAGTCTGACTTTGACATCAAAGGTGTGGCCGCCGTCCTTCCCGTGGTGCCCCTCCTCCCGTCAGCCATCCAGACGGCCTTCAAGAAAGCCCTGAAGAAGGCAGTCGACGCACAGGATGACGGGGCCTTCGACAAGCTCTACAAACAACTCATCACGTGCAACAAGAAGGTAGTTCATATCACCGACCCCTTCTGCATCTGTGTCTGTCTGTGTGACTCTGCAGTGTGCGCAGGAAGCGGCCGAGCGGCGTCGTCTGGAGGCCGAGATTGAGCGACTTAGGGAGGAAATCGCCACTCTCAAGAGCCGAGTACATGAACCACACGCAAACAAATGCCACTGTAAGATGTGTGTCTGATCTCATCCATTCGTTCAGGAGAGTGTATGGTGGTTGACGCATTGGTTGACGCATTTGTGCGGATGCAGAAGACGGCTTCCAACCATTTGCTGACTGAAGCCGTCTTCTGCATCCGCACAAATGCATCCGTTTTGTCTATATAGTACGTGTCTGCCTGACTAGCTAGCTGCCTGCCTGCTGCGAGTGACACGACGCAGGAGTGGGCTTGATGCCCACCCGTCGGTCTCCCGAGGTCGACCTGTGGTGCCTGTGTACATGTATGTATACTGCGGTGTGTAGACGCGTTTTCTCTCTCTGTCTGTGCAGACAGATACTTCCACATGGAGTGAGTAGGTTGAGATGTATCTGACCGTCAGTCACTGTGAAGGCGCATGTGCATCCGTCGTTCAATTATTGACACGGGTCAGTCAGAACACGCCCTCGTCAGCTCAATCAACGCATACATGACCCATCCCCACACACACATACCTGCAGGTACAGCTGTCTATCAACCTATCTCCGTCTGTTGGGCGATGGCGACGCGCTACCGCCCCATCCGAATGAGGGCGTCCTGTGCTGCTGCCGGCCGCCCGCCGCTGCTGCTGGCCCACCATGACGAGCATTGTGCACCACAGGGGTGCCCAGACGCACCTGCGAGCAATCGACGTCCCCACAGACACATGGTGCTGTAATGCAGTAATCTCCCTCCGTCCCTCTCTGGTCAGGTAACGTACCTCTCTGTGGTGGTGTGCTGGGGTGTGCTCGGCCGACCGGTAGGGCGCGTTGCCGAAGTAGGGCGTCTCCAAGTGCTGCATGAGCATACACACGTGTACGCGTCATTGTGTTCTGGACGTGTGTGCGAACCGGCGATCGTTTTCGGGAGTGCGGCGATCTGTGGGCCGTGTCGTGTTGTCTTCTGCGCTGATCGGAGTGCTCCCTGACCGCCTACAGACACAGAGAATGGCGAGATGTGGCGAGAGATCGGTATATGCATCCTCAGTGATGTGTGTGTGTGCGCGTGCGTGTGGCCGCATGCCTGGTGTCGCCTCTCTATGCGCTTGGCGAGGGTGCTCATGCGCTGCAGAAAGGACTCCTGCAGGGTGAGCGAGCCCGACTGTCACCGAGAACAACCACACACTTGTCCATGAGTGTGTGTCCGATGGATGGCTGGATGCCTGCATCCACACCTCGGTTGTTGCTGTTTGTCTGGTGTGTCTGGGTGGCGGGAGGCCGCCATCCGCAGCCGCACCACCATCACCATCACCACTCTTGTCTCTCTCTCTCTGTCTGCTGCTGGGCGACATGAAGACCATCTCGTGAAGGGGCTGTTGCGTGCGATGGTGACCGTCATCCCCCTGAGAGACACACAAACTCGCGCACGCTCACAGTATAGAGGAGGTATCTGTCTGTCTGTCTGTCTGTGTACCTGTGGTGTTGCACTGAGTGTGGGCACTTCCGTGGCCGGCACACAGCACGCTGGAGGCGAATCGATGCCTCGCTCGCCTGCACACACACACACACACACACATATACACACGCACAGGGATGGATGTGCACATGTGAGTGTCTGCGAGCGGGTGTACTTGTGTTGTCTGCGTCGCTTCGCGGCAGTGAGGCCACCACAGATGGCGGCCGGTGGAGCGGGGGTTGATCGGGGATCGCACCTGATGTGTACCATCCAGCGTACTTCGTGTGTTGCATGTACGTGTGTGTGGGCATATCTGTGTACCTCTCTTGTACGTTGCCGAGAAGGGGGGTATCTCTATTTCGTCCACAGAGGGGCTGCTGGGGTGGGGCGACCCCTCCTGTCTGCGTCGCATCGCCTGCAATTCCAGCATGGCAATGCTCCCTGCCACACACAACACACAACACACACGCACACAGACGTCAGGAAGGAGCGCTTTCATGTGCATTGACACGTGAGTACCTGCCGAGCAGGGCGGCATTGGTGGTGGCGGGATGACTGGCACTCCATGGCCGTGGCCGGGAGCATCGGTCTCGGTATCGTCCGTGCACGCAAGCGACGTCACGTGGCTCTTTGGCACAGCTGCATACAGACACACACGCATTTGGGCAATAGGGGAGGTTGTGGGGTGGTGCTTACACTCGTATCTGGGCTGTCTTGCGCCTCTGGGTGGCGACGTGTTGTTGCGCGACAGAGAGGCCGCATCTGTGTGTGTGTGTGAGAATACCTACGAATTTGTGTAGGTTTCGCGGCTCTCTGTGTCACCTGCACCATGCTTGTCGTCTTCTCTTGTTGCCCGCTTGTTGTCAGGAGAGAGCGATCGCGTGCACGGCCGGCCACCTGCAGACACACACGTCCATGTCGCCACATACGCTTTTCGATGACTGGCTGAGTGCGCGCACCGTATCTGTCGGGCGAGAGCGACTGCCTCCTCTTCTCCTCTATGGAAATGATGCCGCTCACCACACGCTCCATCGTCGCCTCCTGCACACACACGGATCCATCCATCCAGGTGTGTGTGTATGGTGCCGCGAGAACGAACGCACCAGCTGCTCTCTGAAGTCCTCCAGCCCGGCAATCGGGTTGCGAGACGAGTAGCCCTGCAAACGCCCATCAGACGCAGATGTGTATACATGGCCATATGCCTGGAATGGATGGATGGATCGATGGATGTGGCTGCCGGTGTGTAAGTGTACGCACCGGAGCTCGTCTCCTCCGCTCTGGAGAAGCCACCGGCCGATCTGGTCGATCTGGTCGATCTGATCGATCTGGTCTCTCCTGCTCAGGTGACGCTGGCTCCAGCAGACGGTCGGGCGGCACCTGGGTCCATCCATTTAATAGACACGTCACTGCTTCCATGCGTCTGTGTGACTCTGTGTGGTCCCTTCCGTACGCTGAATGGCACGGCTGTCATGGTCGGACGGCCAGCATCGGTATCGCCGCCCCGGCTGGCCCTCAATCTCGCCCGCTGAGGTGACACCAACGGCCGCACACCATCGCCACCGCTTTCCTGCACCACAGGCGCATGCAGAGGGCCATCATCTGAGAGAGGGCACTGACCGCAGCACTGTGTGGTGGGGGTGGTGATTGAGGTGGAATGATGCCCTCCTGGTAGACCCGCTCCGGAATGGCCGCAAACTCGGCGTCGAGACGGTCCATCGGACCTGTGCGACACACCCACACACACACCCACACACACACATGAGCGAAGTGATACGCGTGTGCGTCTTTTGTGCATTTGCAGACGTACGGTCGACGGGCTGCCGTGGAGGCGATGTCGCCTTCGCGTCAGGGAGGCCTGTGCAGCCATCCATCCATCCATCCATTGCGTGGGTGCTCTGTGTGTGTGTTGTGTGTGTGTGTGTACGCATGGGTGTGGGCGAGTCGCTTAGGAACGGTGAGGTCAGGTAGCTCGTCTTGCTGTACGTCAGCAGCTCATCAGAGGCCGACCCCTCATCCACCGCAACACCCACATCCACATCAGCACTGCGAGCAGGCGTGTGTGCCGGGCCGGGGCGGTCGGGGCGGTCGGGGCGGTCGGGGCGGTCGGGGCGGTCCTGACACACACCGCTCTCCACCTCTGCTGCTTTGTCACTACCCGGGGGCGACCCCACTTGTGGCGGCACAGGAACACCAGCCACCACTGACACACAATTGATGGTGCACACACATATTCCCGTGTCACAGCACAAAGGGCGGCGCACCGAGTTGTGCAGAGGTCTTCCTGCATTCCCGCGCGTTGGCTGCTGGGTGTGGCTCACTCAGCGGCCGTGCAGGCGACTGCGCACACACATCACACATCACACACCGCATGCACATGTGCCTGCAGTGCAGATGGATGGAGGCCACCCATTGATCGCAATGAACGCATACCTGTGAGCCAAATGGCGGGGAAGGTGGCGATGGTGACGGGGGCGGGCTGAGATCTTTCTGTGAGTGCATGACGACACACGTCACTCAAGAAGAGAGTGCATGTCTGTGCCTGTCTGTCGTGGGCAAGAAAGAGACCCACCTCTCGCTCGTTGAGTTGCTGGTGCTGCTGCTGCTGGTGGTAGTGGTGGTGTGGATGATGGCCAGAGTCCATTGGCCGACCGAATCTGCGCTCGAACCGGACTGCCCTGGTTGCGTACGTTTCTTGGTCGGCGGGGATGACGGGCGGGGGCGCCTCGCTCGCCTGTGGGTAGGGGTGGTGGACAGATACAGCACGACAACAAAGTACATGTGTGTGTGTGGACGTGTGTGTGGTGGGTCCCCCCCTTCTCGCCCACACCTCACACACCCACCCTCTTTGCCTTCATCTTCCTGTCGGCTCTCGTCATCTCCTCAAGCTGCGCTTCACACGCCTGCATATCGACAGACACACGGACACACAGACACCAATACACACAACACACATGTTCGAACGTTCGTGTGTGTGAGGGCTGTGCACTGGTCCGGTGGCACCGACCCACCCACCTGAATGAGTTTGTCCCGCTGCATTCGCTCGCTGACCAGCCGGTCCCTCATCTCGACGTTGCGCTGCTGCTCTTCCGTCAGACCTATGGCAAAACACACACACACATAGATCTTTGTGTGTTTGTGAGTGGACGTGTGCGCGTATCCATCACACCTATGTGTCTTGGCGCAGGGAGTTTGTCGGGCGAGTGCGGCCGGATGCCGTCAAAGAGCGGCTTCTCGGCTGAATGACGCACACAAACACCCACTCACTACGCACATGCGACAAGTGTTTCGTGTGTGTGAGATGCGGGACGTACCTGTGTTGTTGCCGCTAGTGTCGCCCTCCTGCTTGGCGAGTTTGTCCATGTACGCGGCGATGTGGAAGCGTGTGTTCGAGTAGTCCGTCAGCCCGGCAGCTGATCGATCGACAGGCACAGAGAATCACATACACACACAGACGCAGAAACGTGTGCCTACCAGTGGTGCGCATGGCCTTCCTCTCTCGCGGCAGCGGCCGGCCAATCGCGAACGACTCCTGGTGGATGGACAACAGTGTGTGTATGTGTGTGTGTGTGTGTGTGTGTGTATGTGTGGTGAGATGGATGTGGGTATGGACACGCGATTACCTCGCTGTCATTGCCGCCGTCGATCTCCTTGCGCTTGGCCATCATCTCCTCAAGGCGCTTGAAGGTCTCGGCAACCCTCTATTGTGCCACCCACCCACCCACCCACCCACACACAGATAGAGGATCTGGCGACTGTGCGGCAGCGTCACATGACGTCAACCAACATACCTGAGCGCGTATGTCCTCCTGGCGTCTCTGCACAACAAACGCACACACACGGACACACACACGGCTGGCTGGCTGGCTGCTTGCGTATGTGTTTGTGTTGTGGATCGGGTTGGGAAGGGGGGAGGAGGAGGGTAGATTAGATGGGATGGGATGGGATGGATGCGTACCACTTCCCACAGACGTTCGGATTTCATCTCCTTGCCCATCTGCATGGCCAACAGCCGCGCCCGCTCTGTGCACAGGGCCGCACGCGAACGCTGACAAACACGTGACGTGACACACGTGACACACATACATATTCTTCTGTGTGTGTGCATATAAAGAAATGCATGCGTGTATAAGCACTGATATGATGCAGTCGACTTACCTCCACCTGCCGCTCTTCGATTCTCTTTTGCTCGACAGCGTTCTCAGCCTCCTGCACAGCCTTTTCCCTACACACACACACACACACACACATATACACACACGCACCGAGCACCCAATCATCTGTTTCTGTGCAGAGATACACACGGCGTCCTCTGCGTACGGACCGTTCTTTGCGCTTGGCTTCTTTGCGCGCCTCCCCAAGTGTGAGCAGACACTCTTCGCGCAAGGCCAGCAACTGACGCAGCTGCACAGATGGATGGGTGGATCAACAGAGGGATAGCTTTAGGTCGATGCACATTCATCTCATACGTGTGGTGTGTGTCGGGGTGTATCCATCCATCCATCCATCCATCCATCCATGAGTCAGCGATCGACTGACTGACCTGTTCCTTCTTCTCTGCGATTTTGCGCTGCCTCTCCTCCTCAGCTAAGCGGTCAGCCTCCTGCACACACACACATACATCGCGTGAGCGCCCGTGCGTGTATCATCGCGCTATGTGTGCGTGCGCGTTGAGCGAACCTGTTGTTTCTTCCTGTGCCAGGACTCTCGCTGCAGCGCCGCTATCACCTTCATTGAGTGCACTCACAAAAGGCCAAGCTGTGCCACTCACCGGAGGTGTGTGAGTGCACTCACATACTACCGACTTACTTTCTCCCGCTCTCTATTGGACACTATCCTTTTGACCCGCAGCTCGGCGCGCTTCTTGCTGTAATAGAGCTCCTCATCCCCTGCAGGCACCAACACACACATACACACACATACATAGCGTCTGCGCATTCGCGCGCTGTACCTGGCGCAACGAGTGGCGGCCTGCTGCTGCCAGCCATCATAAACGTTCAGGAGCAGCCCTGAATGGACGAACAAGACAACAGATGAGTCCAATTCACTGCAGATGAACGTCACTGCGTCCTTCTTGCCTGTGTGCGTATCAGAGAGCTTCAGACAGCTGCGATTTCAGCAAATTTGGCTACCGGTTACACGTCATCTCCTCTGTGGCTGCGCCTCCTCACCTGCTCGCGGTTTTCTTTGAGCTCGCAGATTTGAGCTCGCCAAAGTGAGGGATGCGCATTTCGCGCCTTTGTCGTGTGTCTGGGCAGAAGCTGCCCTTCCAGCTGACGAAAGAAGCACAGCCCAGCGCTCCACAAGTCAGATCTTCACTTCAGTCTTCATCTCCTGCGCCCTCTGAATGCTGATCTGTCCATCCATCCATCCAGCTGTGTGCCCGTGTGTGCAGGTGCAGTCGCCCTGGTGGTCTCTCTACATCACAGGCACGCACCCTCACCCCCTCACATAAGAGAGGCGAGTGACTGTGTTTGCTTATGCGTCTGTCTGTCTGTCTGTTGTGTGGGTCAATCAGGTCAGTGCCCCGACTACCCCCCCAGGCGCAATGCGTATCGGCAGCTGACGGAGAACGGCGTGGACGTGCACAGGATGGAGGTAGGTACATGCAGTCAGGCGCACGCAGAGAGGGTGTACGTGTGGCGCATCTCTGTGTGTGCAGGTGCACGAGATAGAGAATTTCGTCAAGTGGATAGCCATGCGGCAAAGGTGACGCAAAGCAAACACACATACACAGGCAGGCAGGCAGGCAACACCTAGCGGCACTCGCGCATCTGTGTGTTGGATGGATGGGTGGATGATGGTGTTTGGTGCAGGTACTCTCCTGAGACCAAGGTCTTTCCCCACTTGCCCTATGACCTCACCCTTGAGGACAAGGTGGGTGCCCACGCCCATATTCACGGACACATTCACGTGTGTGCGTTGATGGTGTGGTATGTGTCAGTTCGCCGAGATGGCGGCCAAGTATCCGCTGGACGAGCCGACCAAGACAAGGCGACTTGAAGAGATGGACACGGTGGACGCAGCGAGATGATAGATGTGCGTCAGCACGACTTGAGACGCTTTGTACGAATCTGTGCGTGTGCGTGCGTGCTGACTTTGACGCCGTGTGGTGATGGCTGCTGACTGTGAGTGTACAGCCAGGGTGTACAGAGACCTCTCTGAAGGAGAGAGGGACGGAGGGAGGGAAGCTGCTTTGGTTACGTGCGTGAGAGGCACTGAATTGCTGTCAGCTCCCACCACTGGTGACTTCGTCAGCACGATGGCTATGTCTGGACAGATGGCATCGTCTCGCTGTCTGTCTGGTCGTATCCACAGTGCAGCCGAGGACGGAGCCGTGAGACCGACACTGGCGAATGGATGGATTGTTGTTCTGTTCGAGTGAGGCCTGCATGTGTGAATCTATTCACGTTGAACCATCCTTCCTTCCTTTGTCCTCACATACGCGCCGCGCCCTGAGTGCAGTCCACCCACGGATAAACACGTACACACACCTTTAAGTACTGACCTCTGGACGTTTGTATGTCTGTCTGTCTGTCTGTCTGTCCGTCTGGGTGCCTCGTGGACGAGATGCTAGAGAGAAAGCTCCATCCTACCGCCCTCCATCCTTCCATTTCGGAAGCAGGAGGGCAAATCGCCCCCGGAATGACTGATGTGTTGCTGCAATGCAGACAGAGGCACAGGCGATTGTCAGGCGAGTGAACTTGCTGCACCCCTGACGCACACGGCGCACACACAAAAGGCCAGGTGGCTTCGCTCTCTCTGCCTGTACATGTGTATGTGTATGTGTGTCTCAACATACATACACGCCATCCCTACAACACACATACATAAAGAGGGAGAGAGAGAGACAGGCGTGCCATCTCTCTCTCTCTCTCTCTCCCTCTCTGCAGCGCATGGACATGCCTGGCTTTGTTCTTTATGGCTCTTCTCTTGGACACTAGCTCAGCAGTCTAGCTGTTCTCCGCTCGTTGACTGCGCTTACATCAAAATATAAAATGTGGGCAGCGATTGAAAAACACTAGAGACAAAAAAAACTAAAGCATCTCGTCGAAAGCGCCTGCTACGAATGGCTGCCTCTCTCCATCCACCCACTAACCGTTCCCGGCCATCCGTCCATCCATACAGCCCCCACACCAAATCAGTCAGACTGCGCACGTAATGCCCTACACATCAGAATGTAACCACACAGGTAAACATGTCTCTCGTCCTGCCGGGGGGACGTGGTTACCACCAGCAGCCGCAGCAGCATCGAGACGCCGGGCGGCCTGCAGACATAGAGCAAGGCGCAGATGATCTCTGCTGTACGTCTCGCTTTCGTCGCACATGCGTCTGTGGGTTCGGGCTCCCTGAGGGGCAGTGAGGGCAGAACACATAGGGGAAATGGATTGTCTTTCTTTGTGTATGCGCGTATACCTGTGGACGTGCGTAGCTCGGCGGCTGGATGGGCATTCGCTAGACTCTCTCTCTCTGTGTTGGGTGTGTGTCTTTATGTTGCTTACGCGTAGTATTAAAGATGCCAGGGCGCACACTTGCGCCGTGCGGCAGCGCCGGGGGACGTACACTAATGCCCTGATAACGTCCACGCAAGGGCAAACATGTGTGTGCTTCTGCATGCCTGTGATATCTATACGACGCACCTGCGGAAGCAGCGGAAGTGGAAGTCCAGCAGCAAACGGACCAGCCTGAATCTGCATATACATACACAGACATTTATTTGCATGAGGGCATTCCTTCGTTGTGGCATACATATGCATACCTCCATCGAACGGTATGGATATCCCCCCACTGGATTCACCAAAGCGACCGGACGAGACGCACCGACCTGTGCCTCGCCCATCCCGAGTCCCTCGCCCCGCCCCCCCTGATCTCCTCCCGTGAGATAGTCTGGAGGTCCTGGAGATGGCGATGCACAACATAAAGCATTGATGCATCCATACAGACATACACAACATGCATGATGCTCACCACATTGAGGCGTCTCTCGCGGCCAGTCGGGGATGCACCGCTGCTGGGCTGAGATGAGGGTAGGCTGCCCTTGCCGCCATACTCACTCAAGGTCTTGCAAATGCGCGCATTCACCTTGTCATCTATGCCGTCGACTTCTTTGGCCTCCTTCTTGGCATCTGTGCCTCTGCTGGCCGCCTCCTCAGCAGCTGCCCCTGTGCTGTCAGCAGCGGTTGTCTTTCCTCCTCGCTTGTCACAGCACCGGCAGCACCGACCCAAGCGCTCGCAGCACCACCCGAAGCACTCCCCACACGGTCCGAGGCACGAACAGATGCCCTCCCACCAAACGGATGCGACGGAGAGGCCGGTGAACACGCCGAGGAAGCAGATGAGAATGCTCTCGGTGAGTGGCAGCGACGCCCACCGTAACCAGCCGTCAGTGGGGAGTCGGTTGTACGCTGCCAGGGCCAGCCAAACGGCCACCAACGCATCTGCCGCAGCAGCACACAACTTGGCAGTGCACTGGCAACAACACAGACAGACACAGACACAACACAGAGTGAGAGGGTGTGATGGTGTGGCATATGTACAAATAGATGGCGTGCTCTTGTGTTGTGCACCTGCGTACCCTGTTGAAGGCTTGGAGCTAAGATCGAATCCATCACCACCAGACGCTCCTGCTGCACAAAAGAGAGACAGACAGCCAAGTGACGCGAGCGTGGAAATCGCATGTATGTGTCATGAACCACTGGCGGCAGGATGGAAGTCTTGTCGCTGCACAATGGGCGACAGTGGACATAGTCATTCGTTCGTTGGAAAGACAAAAAGAGACACAGACAAAGCCATCCACATGGCGCAGCAGGGTGACAATTCGTTCGCCCACTTATTCTACGTGTGCACCTACCTCGTCTGAATGTATCCAGACACGTCTCTCGGTCGCTGTAACACACTCAGGCACACAGACACACACACACACACAGAGAGAGAGAGAGAGAGAGACAAAGACATCGATCGACGAATGAGGAGAGAGAAAGACATTCACGCACACAGCAGCCGGCGTACGCGGAGTTGGAGTGGGCACATTCGACCCATCAGACCGGAGCGACTCCAAGCGCTCAACCCTCGTTGCTCGGCTCGGCCCACTTGTAGTCGGGCCGGGCGCGGGGCAGTGGACGGGGGGGCCAGGCGAGGGAGCCTGGCGATCCAGTCCATCTGGCCCTGAAGGGGTTGCTCCTCCCCCTAGTCGATCTGAATCAGAGGAAGGGACATCATGCCATGGGCCCGGCGCATCCGCTCAATTGCCCTTTCTCCATACAGACAGTTGTTTTCTCGGCAACTCACAGAACCAGACGGCCTCGCGCCACCAGACGACTGCACAGAAGGATACGTACGACAGCGTGACAGCAATCAATTGGTATTGATGAATGATATGCAGCCATCCCCCTCCATCCTTACCGCTGCTGCAGCCATTCCGCCGCATCGCAACTGATAGGCTCTCTTTGAGCCGAGAGGGGAGGAACAGAAGCCTGCCGACCAGATGGCAAATGAAGCTAGAGATGCTCCCACAAAATCGAACCAAAGAGAGACAGGCGTAAAGGCAGGGGAACCAAAGTGAGACAGAAATTACCTGCAAACCCTGGCGAGATTCTCGACAAATTCATTCTCGACGCCCCCGCGAGGCGAGGCCGCGAGGCTGTACGCCTGCCTTCTGGCTTACTGCCGAGATTCGTGCAACGAGGGGAACCCCCTCCTCTCACGGCCCCAGCAGACAGACAGGCAGCGTGACGTGAGCGAAGCCCAGGGGCAGCCTGACCCGCATGGACGCGTGTGTGTGCATGTACATGTCCGCATTCATCCTCACTCACTGTCACATGTGCATTTATCTATGCTTGTGCATATGTGTCTGTGTGTGATTTATGCCATCTCTGACATGCGATGGATGACATTGCAGTGAGGCGTAGTGGGGCCGCTAGTCCATGTCATCAGACTTGTGTGAGGGCCAGCCCCCGGCCACCCGTGTGCATATGTGTGTGTGTGTGTGATCAATGCAAGTGAAAAGGAAAAAGAAGACACAATCGTGAGGAGGAAAACGTTTTCTGACACGATGCGGCTGCGAATGGGTGATTTGCCTTGGGTGTGAAGAGCGCGCGGTGCGCATGTCGAGCACACGCGAGACATGTATCAGTCTCCAGGCTACATGAAGCTGGCCCCGGCGCAAGTGAGGTGGTTCAACAAACTCAAAACTCCCTTTTCGTCCAGTGAGGTTTTGGGTCAGCACGTCACACACATGGACAGACAGACACACACACATATGGACAGCCAACGGGGCATGAATACGATCCCCCATCATCTGGCGTCTGTCCGTGAACGAGCAGTGAATGACATAATTCCTGTCCCTTTGGGTCTCTCTCTCCTCATCAAATTCGCATGTCTGTCTGTCTGGTGCAAACCCCTGTGTGGTGTGGGCCCCCCACCTTTCCGCAAGCAACACAACAACACGAGGCCAGCAGGCGCAAAACAATCCTCAGCCCTCATTCGATGACACCGTCACCATCACTGAACCAAAAATGGAATGGAAAATTGATCAGCATGACACGCACCAACCAACCAACCAACCAACCACCACACGCATACGCATACACAACCGTCCGCGAGCCACTCCAAAACGAGACGAGAGAGACCGTAAAATCCCTCAGCCAGCGGCGGCGTGTGTCTCGCCCACCCAGCGCAATCACTGTGCATGACCACAGAAAAACCACCCGGCCCGTCCATCCACCACAGCGTATGTATCGATCCATCCATCCAAAGAACCGAAAGCCAGCCAGGTCAGAAGAGGGCGGTCAGGCTTTGGGTTTCCAGCCCTGCGCCACGAGTGCGTCCTTGAGGGCGGCCACGATGGTGAGCGCCACCTCCTTGCGGCTGTTGTAGCCCATCAGACCAATGCGCCACACCTGACAAAACGGACAAACCGGGTGGATACATTGCCAGTCGACGCGATCGTGGGGCATGATATATGATACGTACCTTTCCTGAGAGCTGGGCGCCCAGCCCGCCGCCGATCTCAATCTGGAACTTCTCGCGCATGTGCTGTACAAACGACACCCACCCACACACACGAGAGGTCACGGGGGCGATGTGTCGCACCAGTCTGCCAGCGCACCTTGACGACTTTGCCGGCGTCGATGCCCTGTGGCACCTTGACGGTGTGGAGGGAGGGCAGCCGGTGCTCCTTGTTGGGGATGAGCATCTCCATGCCCGCAGCCTCGATCAGTCCCCAGAAGTACTCGGCCGTCTCCTGCACACATACATGCACACAGAGACGTAAGTGTCTTGGTCGTGGTTCTGGTGGTGTGTGGTCGCGCTTGTGACCTGGTGCCTCTTCCAGCAGTTCTCCAGGCCCTCCTCCGCAATGAGTGTCAGCGCCTCGCGCATGGCATACACCATGCTGCACAAACACACACACCCACGCACACACATGGAGGTGTCGATGGCTGGTTGTGACGTTTGCCTGTGTGTCTTCTGCACGTACCTGATGGGCGCGGTGTGGTGGTAGACCCTGGGCGCCCCTTCAGGAGCCACGATATACTTCTGAATCATCGTCATGTCCAGGTACCAGTTGGCCACCTTCTCGCCCTAAACACAGCCACACATAATCCCTCGTGCGAGTGAGAAAGCCATGGCCCCGTTTCCCTGTTTCCCTCCCTCCCCCTCTCACCTTGGCCGCCCGGTCCTCCATCTTCTTGAGCGCCCTGGGGCCGATGGTGAGCGGGGCAACACCAGGCGGACAACTCAGGCACTTCTGAGTCCCTGCAACACACATACACACTCAGAACAATATATTCCCCTCTTGTCTCTCTCGATCCATCTGTGAGCGTGCGTGTGTGTGTGTATGTACCAACCCGCGTAGCAGATGTCGACGCCGCTCTTGTCGAGGAAGAGGGGCACGCCGCCGATCGCCGTGACGGTGTCGAGCATGAACAGGCAGTTGTTGGCGTGGCACACATCCGCTATGCCGTCCAGCGGCTGACGCGCACCGGTCGATGTCTCGGCGTAGCAGATCCACAGCACCTGAATGAACGCATCGCATCAACCGACCGGCACGACAATCAGGTGGGCAGGTGCTCGAGAGCGAGGGTGTGGGCTACTTGTGGCTTGTGTTCGGCGACGGCCTTCTTGATCTCATCGAGAGTGAAAACCTCACCCCAAGGCTTCTCGATGCGCCTGAACACCACACATCGTACGGCCTGTCTGTGTGTGGGGTTCGTTTCCTACCTGACGTCCGCGCCGTATCTGGATGCCATGTCACAGTGACGCTCGCCGAAGTACCCACTCACACACGTCAGGTGAACTGACACACCACCATGGATAAGAGGTACGCAGAAAGTGCCGTGTGCCCCTCCCTGTCGTATGTGTTGTGTTGCTCACTGTCGCCTGGCGACGTCACATTGGCCACAGCCGCCTCCCACGCAGCGCTGCCGGTGCCTGCAGACAAGAGAGCAGCAGCACACTTCGACACATGCCCGACTGCCTGGCTGCCTGCCTGCGTGTTTTCTGTTTACCTGACACGGGGATGGTGAAGACGTTCTCCGTCTGCCACGCATAGCGCAGCAGCTTCTTGAGGTCCTCCACTATGTCGAGGAACGCCGGGTCCATGTGACCGATCTATCATCCCCCCCAAGACCACAGATCACCGACATCTGCACAGATCTGCCACGTGTTGGCCTTTTCTCGCCCACCTGTGGGATGGACATGGCGGCATGAACGCGGGGGTGGGCATTGCCAGGCCTGACACACACAACACCACAGCAGAAGAGCGTCACGCATCGATTTCAATGTGTCCGCTGCCGCAGCGCACAGAGGCTGCTGCGCTTGCTCGTGCGTGTGTGTATGCGCCTTGTATGTTCCCCTCACTCACCCTGGGCCGCACAGGAGCCGGGTCGGCGGGTCGAGGCGTCCCACCTCAGCAATCGGATTCTTGATGCTCAGCGACATACTGATCTCTCAAGGTCTCAATGGCACACGCGTGAACAGCCCAACACGAATGCTCACCTCGCGCCGCTGTCGGCCGCTGATTCGCTGGCTCCAAACCCTGCACCTGGCGCAAACCCTGCACTTCCTTCGTTTCGTGCCGTTGGAGTTAGGGCAGATGCACGTTGGAGTCGCTGGGATGGTGATTCATATCTGGCGCATCTTCCTCTTGATTGGTCCCGCCCCAGCTGACAACAGATAGCTGCCTAATCAGATGAGAAGCAACAGCTTTGCCAGGCGCCATCAGTCGTCATAACCGAGACTCAACGCCTACCGTTCGATCTGCAAGGCTCGCCCAGCCCCTCGGCAGCACACGGCCGTCTCCCGCACTAAGCCGCTGTGTGGAGGTGTTTCCTTCGCTGGCCCTGTTGTGACAGCGGGTGTTTGTCGCGTTTGGATCTGATGGCAATGTCGCGTGAGCGGGAGAGGGAGGTGCGGCCCGGGAGGGGGCTGCCCGTCAAGGCGGAGAGGCCGCAGACCATGACTGAGGCGGAGCTCATGAGATTCAGGACAAAGGTGCGCGAAAGAAAGGCGAAAGTGACCGGTTGTCACGCGACAGACAGACAGTCACACCGGATCTGGCCGTGAACGGTATGGTGCGTGTCGTGTTGTCTGTGTGCTGTTGGTCTGTGCAGACGTGTCGGCACTGGCGCTCACAATGCTGCGATTATGGCAATCAGTACGGACCCGCAATCACACGAGAGAACCATCCATCTGTGCCCTTGCCACGACACTCCACTCCTCCCCCCTTGGTGCGTTCGTGTGCGGTTTGGTTCAGGTGTGTGTTTGCGCACAGCAGCTGCTGGCCCCGTCGCCCGCCCCTGGCGCCATCTCGGCCCTCCACGCCGCCCAGCGACCAGTCGCCGGACCATCCCTCGCAGCAGACATCCGGCTCGCGGAACGCGCCCAAGTGCCTTAGATACCTGCCGATCCTCTGTCCCGAGGCCATCTTCTCCTGCGCGCCGGTGCCGTTTATCCGGCCGGCCACCAGCACCTCGAGCGTCATCTCACAGGTACGCACAGACAGACACACAGACAGACACACAGACGGGTGGATGGCTTCACATATGTTTGTTGCTCTGTGTGTTTGTTTGTGTGCGACCAGAAGGGCGGCACGAGTGGTGGGGACAGCGTGAGCACCCGGTCGTCCTTCCCCAGTGTCCGTGACGGCATCACGACGGAGGACGCCCCCACCGCCGCGTGGCGCCACCACCCCCGAGACGACTCCCTCTCCATCCTGCGCAAGTCATTCACCGACAGCGGGCTGCCCGACGTGGGCGAGACGGACGGCGAGACCACCCACCCGCACCCGGTGTCCTTCATGTCGTCCCACCAAAGCCACCACCACAAGGCCGCCCGCCTGAGCGCGTCTGAGGAGGGGGGCGGTGGGGCGATTGGCGTGGCGCTGACCAGCAGGACTGGCGAGGAGGTGTGTCGGGCGTCGTGCAGCAGGGGCAGCACTTGCCCGTTCGCACATAGTACCGAGGAGGTGGTCTATCACCCGGTGTTTTATAAGGTGAGCGAGCTGACTGACAGCCATGACGGGGGCGGGACGGATGGCATGGCATGGCGGGGATCGGATCTGAGTGTGTAATCTGTGTGCCCTGCCCGTGTCAACCAGACCCGCGTGTGTGTGGACCACCAGGAGGGCCAGTGCAGCAACCACTTCTGCCCCTATGTGCACGGCGAGCAGGAGCAGAGGCGGCCTCCCAAATACCTATTCACCCACCACCACGCCACACTCAGATGTGCGTCACCCACGCCCCCACCCAGTCGCCCAAAGCCGCATCTCTCATCATAGTCCTTGTGTGTGTTGTCTCTTCTGTCAGATACGAATTTCCCCGGAGTTGAGTTCACGTCGACGAGTCACTCGCAGCCCCCTCCCCTCCCCCCTCCCGGCCTCGACCACCCTGCAGACAGCGACGAGACGGCGTGCGGACAGATACTCGTCGCCGCTGTCGGATATGAGGTTTGGGCACGCGCTCAATCACATAGGGCACTGTTGCCCCTTCTGGAAACATCTCTCTCTGTCTGTCTGTGCGTGTGTGTGTGTCAGCCTGACCGTGACCTGCAGACAGACGCGCATCATCCCCTTCCCATGGACCCCCCCGACCCCCCCGACCCCCCCGCCACTCACACCAACACCACCACCAACGGCAACGCGTCGCTGTCTCAGGCCATGGCAACGGCGCGGTCCCGCGGCCGCACGAGGGGCAGGGGCGGCAACGGCAATGGCGGCACACGGTGGCTGCGGTTGGTGGCGGGAAGCGCTGTGGAGGTGCAGCAGAGAGATGTCACGGGGTGGATCTATGGAAGGTGAGACAGACAGCGAGACAGACACATGACATGGGGCGTTGGCGTGTTATAAGTGGTCGAATCGTGTGTGTGTGTGTGTCAGGTGCCTGAGTGGCCCGATGTTGGGCCAGAGCGGCTGGTTCCCCCAGGTGATTCTACACCTCACCGACCTCTCACACACGTCCCCCCTCCCCTCCCCACCTACCTCGCCCATGCCGCCCGCCATCCCACAGACAGCAACGGGAGCAGGAGCACCGCCGGCAGCCAGGCAGACGTCCGCCCCAGTGACGTCATTCCACAACACCAGCAGCATGACCACCAAGAGCGCAGGCACGCTCAAGGGCGTGGGCATCGGCCACGACGGAGCCGTCTATGAGCTGCGGCCCGATGGCAATGACCGGATGGCGGTAAGGGAACCACCACAAGTCACCTTGTCGAAACATGGAACTGTACCGTGTTCCGATCCTCTCTGTGTGTGTCAGCTGTTCGTCCATCGTCCTGACGACACCCATGGCCCGACGAGGATCCACATCCACCCACCATCGAGCCCGCCAGCAATGCCCTCGCAGCCCCCACAGAAGACCACCATGCGCCCCCCCGCCAGCAAGCAGGGCGCCTACATGGCCTCCCCATCGCCCCCGCCCCCACCCCCCCGGCACCCTCCCTCATTCTCTGCGCGTCGGCAGCAGAAGCAGATGTCGACCGTCAGCGGATCGACACTCAGCAGCGGGCTGGTGGTGCCGCCGGTGGCGCCCCGTCCGTCCCGATCGATGGACGTGCTCCCGTCCGTGTCGCTCATTACTGGGGGGGCGCCTGTGATGTCGCCGATCTGTCCGCCGCCGAGCTCGCCGCAGCTGGGGGTCGGTGGGAACGGGGGAGGCGACACCCTCACTCAGGAGGAGCTCAGCGCCTTGCACGCCGTGCCGCATGAGGTGAGGGACACCATCACCACACCACACCACCGCACACCACCATCCAGACGCATCTTCACTCACTGGTCTGTTGTCCTTGGTTCCTGTTACCCACCCATCAGCCGCACGCCGTGTGCATCAAGTCGCCCCCGCCCGCGGCCACATCGACGGACACACTGCCAGCGATCCACATCCCCCGTCTGCGCGTCCTCACCCCCCGGTCACCGAACGCCTCGCCTCTGCCATCCCCCACTGGCCACCGAGAGGCGCTCGGCAAGGACGGCCTGGGGCAGGGGCGGCGCAAAGTGGCGAGGGCGTTGCTGAGTGTGCCGGGTTCGCAGTCGGGCTGGGGGACAGCCCGGACGCTGGGCAGCGCTAGTGCGAGTACCCACAGCCCCGCGAGCAGCTTTGCGTCGAGGAGCGGGACGGACAGCATTGGGTTTCGATCGCACTCGAGGGAAGACCTCACCTCTAGGTCAGACAGACAGACAGAAACCACACCACACACACGACCGTGTGCATTGATTATCATGTGTGTGGTTGTCTTTGTTGTTGTGGTTGTTGGGTAATTGATTCATTCATTTAGTCTGATGTGGTCTGGTGCGTCGCCGCAGCCCTCGCCGGTGCCGTCGCTGCCCCTGCCCCCCAATTCGCCCCACACGGTGCCCATGGCCGTCCCGCCCCACTCGCCCCTCCCGCTCTTCCGCGGCCCCGTGCACCCACACATGCAGCCACCGCCATACGACCATGACCCCTCCGTCGCTGACGCAGACATAAGCATGGATCAGCATGGGGGGCCACACATGCAGGCGTTCCCCAGCCCGGCGCCAGTGGCCGTCAACACGCCGACCAATCCCAATCCCTGGCTTATGCACACGACCTCCCCCCCACTGCTGCCCCCGCTGCACCCGCCGGCATTCCGCTTCCCATTCCCCATCGACCTGGGCCAGGCCATCACAATGGACCACCACCAGCAGCACGGCAGCACGGCAGACGATGAGCACGGCGGCATGATGGCCGCCGCTGCAGCTGTTGCTGCTGCGGCTGCTGCTGACAGGGAGGGGCGGGGGCGGTTTCCCGTGCGGCTGGTGGACGACCAGAGGGCGGAGGGGGAGGGGGCTTAGCTTAGTGGCTGGCTGGTTGGTGCTCTTTGGTGTTGTTGTTTGTGTGAATGAACGAATGACTGGATGGATGGATGGATGGCAGTTTTAAGTCGGGGAGCGGCCGGCTGTGGGTGTGGGTGTGGTGTGCTGTGGTGGGATGGGTGCTATCGATCGATTCAATGAAGGCAGCTAGCTCTTATGTGGTATTTTTGAGTAAGAACAGCAGAGCAACACTCACAGCGCCCTCTCTCCCTCCATCCCTCCCTCTCTCCCTCTCTCCCTCTCTGTCTGCCTACAGCCACCCTATTCTCCTTGTCCCCTCACCACAACCACATTGCCTCTCGGGTGGCTGGATCCATGGAAGGGGATGCGTGTGGGGTGTCAGTCAGTCAGTCAGTCTTATTTATAAGCATCAATCATGCTGTCAGTGGCCGGGGCGGTGTTCTGTGGCATTTAGCTAAGTACTAGAGAGGGGGACGAGCGAGCAGTTGCACACGCACGCACACACCGTATGCCTTACATATATATGTCTGTGTGTGTGGTCTATCTCCCGCACAGACAGCACACAGACACACGGACGCCACGCACATACTGGTCGGCCTCTCGCGTCGGTTAACCAACGTGTGTGTGAGTAGTGAGTTTGCTTCAATCAGTCAGTCAGTGACCATGGGCACGCCAGATGTTGGTTGGTCTCAATGACGATCACAGCTGTTATTATTGGTGTTTCTTCCACACACACACAGAGAGAGAGAGAGGGGCCTCCACAGCACGTTCCAGCAGACAGAAAGGTAGGCTTCAGCATTTTTGTGGCAATCAATGGCATGCTGCTGTGAGTGAGTGACTGCGTAAGTGATTGATTGCGGGGTGGGCAGTGGACCGACCAGTGGACAGAACAGGCAAGGGGGCGGCCGCCTTGCCATGAGTGATGGGGGTGCGTGGTGGGTCGGTGGGTGTGGTTATGTGGATCTCCTTCCTTCATGCCTCCGTGACGTGCACCGCTGTTTTTCAAGCGACCGAGCGAGCTCCCACCCATCCCACTCATCTGTCGGTGTGGTGTGGTGGGATCTGGTGTGGAGTGTTGGTGGTCGTTCGTGCCGTCTCGTAAGTCTCCCACAGACAGACAGACAGATGCTCCCTGGTTGGTTCGTTGAGGCGTCCGTCCGTCGATTGGTGCTCTTTTTGCCTGGCATATGATAGAGATGATGTGTGTCCATGTGATGTGGTGTCATGTGAGGTTGTGTGGTGTGTGGTGTAGCCTTCCTTCCCGCCCCGTATGTGCGCCCCTCCCTCAGCTGGCCTGCCTGGCCGAGGGAGCCAAGTATGCGCACATCGCAGTGAAGCGGTGAAGAGATGATGAGATGATTCGTGATCCACAGTGATGAATGATGATTCATGATTCTTGCTTACATGCATGGTGGTTTGGTTTGTGAAATGAATGGTGGGTGGATGAGGCAGGGACACTGGGAGGGGAGAGGGGAGAGGGGGAGAGATGGGGCGAGGGACGGAGGGAGCATATTTCTCCCTCCCTGCTTGCTGGCTGCGTGATGGATGCGTGTGTGTGGTGTTGTGTGCGGCTGGGCTGCGTGGCTGCATTCGCGAGACCGAGAGAGGTGGGTTGGGGTGGTGGAGAGAGAGGGAGAGGTTTCGGTGGGCCATGTAGCGGTCTTTTCCGTCCGTTTTCATTCATTCATTCGTTCATCTCCCTATTACCGTGGGTGGCTTCTATCGTCCGCCGGTCGGTGCGTGCGTGTCATTGTTGTTGTTTGTCCAGTCCAGTCCAGTCCACACACTGACACGCTCGTTCCTTTATGGGTGTCTGTCTGTCAGTATCTATCTATCGGTATCTATCTGTGTGTGGTGTACATGTGTGTGGTGTACATGTATATAGACAGACAGACAGACAGACAGAGGCGGTGTGGCCACCTACCTGCCAGGTATGTATGTATGTGTCTCATACTCATCACTCCCTCCCTCCCTCCCTCGCTGCTGTCCATCATTTCTGCCTGTCGGCCTGCATGTCGGCCTGTCTGTCTATTTCCCCTTTCTCTCCTCCCTGCATCCCCCCGCCACTGGCCGATCGATGGTCTCTCTCTCCCCCTCCCTCCCCCCCTCCCTCCCTGGTGTAAATACTCACAGACATCTCTCTCTCTCTCGCGCGCTCTCTGCCTGGCTTCTACTCAGTTGTTTTTCGCCTCTCTCCTTCTCTGCCAGTCAATCTGAATCGCTATTTGTCTGCTCACATACAATTGGCAATGTCAATGCATTGATCGATCGACCGTCGTGTCGCTTTCTCTCGTGTGCGTGTCCGTGTCTGCGTCTGCCTGCGTCTCTCTGTGTCTATGTATGTCTCTGTGTGTGTTTCACACCGCTCGACGACCGACGGCTTTATCTTATCGATCCATACATCCATCCATTCGTTCATTCATTCACTCATTGATTCATTCCACATTATTCCCACATCCGCTCATCTATCCATCTCGCCTTCCACTCCGCCTCACCCTGATTGACTGATTGATTGATGCGTGTCTGTGTGCCGGCGGGCCGGGCCATGCCGGCAGGCGACTCGTGCAGGCCAGCGTGTCAAAGAGATTCAAAACACGCGCTGTGAGTCGACTCAACCCCCGCCCGCCCGACCGCTGCTGGTTTGTTGTTTGGTTTACGTACGGTGCTGCTGGATGCCCTCTGCCTCTGCCTCTGCCTCTGCTATGCTCTCTCCAAGTGGGTGGCTGTCTGTCTCAGTACCAACCGCGCCACGCTGTCTGTCTCTGTCTGTGTCTGGTTTTTCGCCACTTAGTGCATGACAGTGGGTGGGGAGCGTCTTCGTGCCTCCGTGTCCGTGCGTGTTCGTGTGCGTGTGTGGGGCGGGTGGTGGTGGGTTAGCCTAGATAGCTAGATAGATCGATGCTTACATACATACATACATACCTGATCGATGCGCGATCCGGTGCCTTGCGTGCGTGCGGGGTGTGCGGTGCATGCGTGTGGACTTGTTTTGGTCCTTTATAGAAATGCATGGACGGACGGACGGATGGCGCGACGGATAAGACGACCGCACGAAGCACACAGAGAGTACGCACACGGAGGAAAGCGATCGCAGCTCGTCGGTCGGTGGGGCGGGTGGCTGGGTGAGATGATGGGGTAGGGCAGCCCTTCTCTCTCCCCCATCCTTCTATCTATCTATTGCTGCTTTTTCTATGCATAGCCGGGATGCATGGGATGCAGTGAATGCATCGGTCAAAGGAAAGGCTGCTGGCGTTTTGTGGATGCGCGTAATGCAGTGGTGCGCTGCATGCGCATATGGGTGCATTTCTCATGCCATGTTCGTGTGTGTGTCTCGTGTGTAATTAGCAGACCTGGTGTTGTTTCAATCGCTCAGCAAGGCAGGCAGGCCGACACAGACAGACAGCAAAGGGTTTCGTTAGCCCCTCGAGAGGGTGGCCAAGAGGCCAGCAAGACCGACAAGAGAAGAGCCATGCACCCAGCCTATATCGGCCCCTCTCTCTTCACATGAGTGGTGAATGGATGGATAAATGGATGGATGGATGGATGGATGGCGGGTGCGTGCAGTGGGTGGGTGTGGGAGTGCTCTTCAGTGGGTATGTATTTCTACGTGTCCATGTGCGTGTGTGTGTGTGCGTGTGCTGCCTCGGTATGGTATACCGCCCGGCCGCTCGAGTCAGCCAAGCCGACGGATGGAAGAATGGATGATGGATGCTTTGCTGTTTTTGACGTTATTGTTATGCTATTATGTACCTGTGTAAGACATTTGCGTGACGGAATGAAATGCCGGTGGTGCCCAGTGGATGGATGGATGGATGGACAGAGCTGCCGACACACACACACACACACACACAGACACTCAGTGGCTCTGTGTTTTAGGTGTCGTCCACCTCACTCACCTATACCCATCGTCCCGTGTCTGTCTGTCTGTCTGTCTGTCTGTCTGTCATACGGTTTGGCCTTTGTATGTGAGTCGCCATGCTATCTATTAGCCACCGGCCCCTTGCGTGATCAGCGAGCGGCGCCAGGTGAGACATGCAATGCATGATATGATTGAATGAATGCCCCTAATGAACCAATGCCCTACCTAATGCATGGGATGGTGAATGAACGGTCCATGTGTGTGTGTGTGTGTGTGTGCGTGTGCGTGTTCGTTGTAGGTTCTTCTTTCGTCCGTACCCATCCATCAATCCGTGGCTGTCTGTCTGTCTGTCTGTGCGCCTGTGGCCTAAGCGCCAGTGAGGCAGCAGACACACATCATCATGCCATGAGGGGGGGATTGGGGCCTGTGGGCGGCGGCCAGGGGAACACATGGAATGGACAGACTTCGCAGGCACCTTCGTACGAAGTAGATCGGCGGGTCGGATGCATGTGTGTAGTGCGTGCTCATGCGTAGAAAGGAGGAACAGACGGACGGGGCGTATCTATCTATCGCATTGAATGGTTGGCCAATATTGGCCTCTACGTGTACCAGCCAGCGCAGTTAGGCATCATGTCATGGTAGCTATGGTGCATGTGTGTGTGTAGTGGGTATGGTATGGTATGTAGTCTGTGTGCGCTGCCTGCCTTCCTCCCTCTCTCCCATCATACACACACACGGTACCTACTCACACACACACACACACGTATACACACACACATGGGCAGGGCAGCACACTCTCTGCCTGCCTCTCTCCCTCCGTCCATGCAGGCCTGCCTTCTGAGCCTCCATCGATGTGCCTGTCTGTCTGTCCATTCCTCAGTCTACCTAGCTACCTACCTGTCGGTGTTGCTTCGACGAATGCAATGCGCTCACATTGACTGACTTATCCATTTCTTGACTCGATATAATGTTCGCATGCTGTCAGTGTCGTGTCACTCGGCCCACGGAAATTGGCCCGAAAGCCACATGACATAGCCACATTCGGTCCTCTCACAAATACAAAAATGTCAGCAAGCGCAAAACAGCCACACGGGAGGCAGCACACAACATACTGAGCAGAACTCCACTCAGCCACCGGTGGCATCAGTCGAATACACTTCCTCTGTCTGTCCGAGCCGCTCAGTGAGTGAGGGCAATCAGCGCATGAGCCTCGAGCTCGTCTTGGGTCCAAGGCTGTCCAGGTCCCACTCAGGGCCCATGAAGCACGGCTCCTCTTCAGTGCCCTCGTTGGTGATGTATGGGGCGTTGACGTCAGATATGAAAAGGGCCCGCCTGCAGGCGTCCTGCTCGTCCTTAAGGTCGGTCTCGATGGGCGGGCCGTGACCGCACTGGATGTCGTTGAAGACTGCCTGCACTTGGAAGTCCTCGCCGGCAATGGCGGCCCGCTGTGTGCAGATCTCTCGGATGCTCCACTCGTCCGGCCCGGCCGGGTCACCGTGCACATTCCAGCCGCCGACGCCGTGGTCAAACGGGGTAGGGTGATCGGTCTCGTACAGGCATATACCTATGCGACAACACATCACACACGGCCCACTGCAGCCCCTTTCTGTGCGTTGTGTAGTTGCGTACATTTCCCGTCGACCACAACAGAGTCCATCCTGACCACCAGAACCACCACACCACACCACATCACAGCACAAACACAATCCTTCCTTGCCGTCCCTCTCCGTTGTGTGTCCTCACATGAGCCACATAAAGTTGGTGCGCACTCGTGGATGGCGGTAGCGAGTGGGGTCTTCCCCTGTCATGGCGGGGTCCTCCTCGAGCTCTGGCAGCGACTTGACGAACTTATCCACGGCCGTCCTGCCCGGATTGGTGAGGCCCGACCAGTCTTCGTAGGGAGCGTCCGGATCCTGAGCACTGACGAGCACGAGAAAGGACCCGCAGACGGCGAGCACATGAGCAAGAACCATTCTCTCCATCTTGGCGTTTGCCAGGGTGGCACCGAGATTGCAACGGCTAACGGCCGGCCCGAGTTTTGCACTTGGCCATGTTTATGCGACTCTCATCTCTGGTTCTTGCGACGCTCTCCGTGTCGCTGCTGGCCATCATACACGTCACCAATCTGCTGCAGCTCCACCCGGCAGCCGAGGGGAATGACGACAATATCACCAGCGCCGGCAGCGCCAGCAGGGGTGTCAGCAGCACCCCGGCGGGCTTCGCAGCCTTCCTGGACGAATTCGTGATGCAGAAGTGCGAGTGCCTCCTGCGGCCCGCCATTCCCTCGGTGCCTGATGCCGCTGGCCTGTTCAGGGCATGGATGAACCTCACTCAGCATTTCGGTACCAGTGTAACGAGGCTCGACTACGAGTGGAGCCTTGCCGCCCTGCATCAGCTGTTGCGGTGGATGGAGAGAGATCTGCGGGTGTTCCAGTACCCCCTCCCTGGCCGCAAGGTGCTGCGCCGCTTCCTGGAGGAAAACGGCGCGGACACCGACATGCTGGCATCGGTGCGGCTTCAGGTGCCCGGTGTCCCGTCTGTCGACACGCTGCTCAGCTCAAATCGCAACTCAGTGAGTATCCGTGCCATGGGAGATGCACACAAGACAGGCACATGGGTGTTTTTGGTGTGTTGGTGTCATGTGTAGGCGTATGACTTGGACAGCATCTTCTGGCACGTCCTGCGGCAGTCCAAGTATGCGGCGACACCCCCAGCAGAACAAGGCAAGACCGCCCTGTTTCAGCTGCCCATCTTCTCGGGTGATCAAGCAGCGGGTGGATGGGTGCTTACGCCCATAGCTACTATGGATGTACGTCTTCAGGTCGTTGGGAATTGGTGGCGCGAAAGGCTCAGAAACGGCTGAATGGCGGCCCCTCACTGCCGCAGATGAGCGCTCGAGCCTTCGGGGGCTTCCTGACCACGGCCATGGTCGGCATCGTCATCGCATGGATACGCGCCAGCTACCCCCACTACGACCGTTCTGCCGGCCGCGACCACTTCTGGATCGTCTCACATGACGCGGGCAAGGCCGAGACGAGCGGCTTTGCCCCAGAATCGCTCGCCAGCAACGCAACATGCCTCGCCAACACCGCTGACCCGCTGGACAGGCACCCCATGTATGTGCTGGCCGATGAGAGGGAGATGCTGGCGAATGCCTCGTCGCTTGAGGGGCTGCTGGCGAGATCGCGTTCGAGAGAGCCGCGTCCTCCGCACCCTTTCGATCCGAAACGAGATATATCCCTGGCGCCCTCTGCCGACATCGCACGGGCCAACTATGCTCTCACACTTTCACTCGATGACGACGGCCGGACGGCCAATTGGAATGGGAGCGTTGCAGAGAGGGTATTGCGTCCTGATGGCGGCTTGCTTTCGCGGAACGACATCGCTTTGGCTGATGCCGTCGCCCACATGATGCGCAAGAGCGGCAGATATGAGCCGCATCTTCGCAGCGGACACAGACCGACCTTTGCATTCTGTAAGCCATACACACACACGTACACAGAGGGAGAGGGAGAGAGGCGGACCATGTATGTGTGCGGCAGTTGCGGGCAGGTGGGGCATTGAAAGTTCCGACAAGGGCCATCTGAGGCGGGAAATATTCGAGGCCTTCCTGCGGGCGCGGGCGCGCAACGAGCGTCCGATTGTGATCGAGGACCGCATGCTGAGGACGTCCACCTACACACACCACCTGCAGCGGTCCACCTTCTGTCTGTGCCCTGAAGGCACGAGAGTTTGGTCCCCTCGACTTCTCCAGGCCATCTGGTAAGTGAGTGGCTCAGCGAGACACCGACCGAACATCCATATCTGCAGGTTCGGGTGCATCCCTGTCATCACGGCTGAGTCGTACTGGCTGCCGCAGGTGTACATAGCCGCACACACACTCACCCATCAAGCGTCACCACACCCCTGTCTCTCTCGCCCTCTCTCTCCCTCTCTCTCCCTCTCTGTGTGTGTATCTGTGTGTCAGTCATGTTTCTGGGATTGGACGAGCCTTGCGATGTTTGTGCCGCGGCGAGAGGCCAAACACACATACGCCATCCTGGCGGGCATCAGCGAGGCGAGAGTTCGGTCGATGCAGCGTGCCTTAATAGAGGTGCGGCCGTTTCTCATGTACCACCTGTCTGAGGCCGTCAGGGGCGATGCCTTCCACATGACGCTGCTGGAGCTCTACATGAGACACTCGCTGTGTGTCCGATAGGTGGACAAATGCATGGATGTGCTGACGGACAGAGAGAGACAGCGGGAGAGAAAGAGAGAGCACTTGGTGCTCATTTACTGAATGTATGGGCGATGTCCGTATGTCCGTCCGTCAAGACACATGCTCACATAAATGTGTATCCACTCGGTCGGAGAAGCTCAGCAGTCCGCTCGCGTGAGGGCTTTCCTCATTATTACAGCATCACATCACACAGACATGACATACATGACATCCACACGGCCTGCCTGCCTGCCTGCCTCCCTCCCTAGCCCGCCACTTCCTCAACCCCCGCTTGCATCATTACAGTCTTCTCTATGCTCCTTCTGGCGTCCTCAAGCGCCCCGTCGATGTGTGTGATGTCCGTGCCGCCCCCTTGCGCCATCTCAGGCCGCCCGCCCCCTTTGCCCCCGCACCGCTCGGCCACCAGCTTGACCATGTTGGACGCGTTGACCCTCTTGGGCACCGAAGACGCACACACGATGCTCACCTGCGTGGCCACACACACAGAGGGGCAGAGGGAGGTCAGGAGATGTCGGTCTGTGGGGTTTGTTGGCTTGGCTTGCCTTGTCTTGTGAGGGGTCGGCCGCTGCGAGCAGAGTGACGGCGCCCTGTGCGTTGCTGTTGCTTCCGTCAGCCGCCTGCAGCTGCTTCTCGTGCAGAGACTCCACAGAGGAGCGCAGCGTCTTGCCGTCATACATACCTGAGAAACAGACAGCCATCACGCCTATATCTGTCTGTCTGTCTGTCTGTCTGTGTTGGTGTGTCACGTGCATACCGTCCGGCATCCGGGCGACGAGTACTGAGAGGTCTCCGATAAGTGTGGCGGCGCTGAGGGCCTCTGACGCCGCCGACTCGGCCAGCTTCAGCTTGACTTGGGCCAGCTCCCTCTCAAGCGACCTGCTCCTCTCCTACACACACACTCACACACACTCACACACAAAAGACGTGTCGGTGAGAGTGTGTGTGGGTCCCCCACCCGTCGCTCACTTGCAGGTCCATGCATGCCGCCGGTGCGTTCGCAGTGTTGGTCTTGAATGCGCTGCAGATGTGCTGCAGCGCCCGGCTCTCCTCCTGGATCACACGAAGAGCCTCAGGGCCCGTCACAGCCTCGACCCGCCGCACCCCCGTCTGTATGCTGCTCTCCGAAACGATCTTCATGACGCCGATGTCGCCTGTGCGTGACGCGTGTGTGCCCCCACACAGCTCCTTCGAGTAGTCGCCCATCGACAGCACCCGCACCGTCTCGCCGTACTTGGCCTCGAACAGCCCAAGCGCGCCGGCCTGCTGTGCAGCGGCGTATGGTAGCTCCTCTGTGAGGACCTCATAATTGCCCCGGATCGCGCCATTGACCGAGGCCTCAACGGCCGCGAGCTGCTCGGTCGTGATCGGGGCGTCGTGTGTGAAGTCGAAGCGGAGCCGTTGGTCGCTCACGTGAGACCCCCGCTGCTCAACGTGGTCTCCGAGAATCCTCCTTAACGCCGCGTGCAGCAGGTGGGTAGCCGAGTGATTCAACACAATCCGCTGTCTCCTTTCGCCGTCGACCGTCGCGTAGACCTCCCCCCCCACCTCCAGATGGCCCTCCTCACACACGCCGATGTGCAGGTAAACATCACCGCGCTTCTGCGTGTCCACCACATGGAACAGCAGCTCGCCGCCGCCAGTCGATGGCGAGCGCAACACCCCCTGGTCACCGATCTGGCCGCCTGCCTCTGCGTAGAAGGGCGTCTCGGACAGCACCACAGTGCCATTCTGGCCCGGCGAGAGGGCGTCTGTGGGTGAGCCATCGGCGGCGAAGAGCGCGGCGATTTGAGCATCGCCCTCGAGAAGGTCATAGCCCGTGAAGGCCGTATGTGTGTCGGCGACGGATGAGGCGACGGCTGACGAAGGCAGCAGCTCAGTCGCTGCTGAGAACTTGTTGGCCGTCTTGGAGAGCTCCCGTTGACGCTGACACACCACGACAGACGGACACACACAAAGGGATGCCGTATGCTTGTGTCGCATGCGCACCTGCATGCATTGGTCGAAGCCTTGTGTGTCGATGGTGAGGCCCTTCTCGCGCGCAATGTCGGCCGTGAGGTCGACGGGGAAGCCATACGTGTCATAAAGACGGAAGACCGCCTCACCGGGCACCTGCGCAACGCCATCCGACTGCTTGTCCGAACACAGAGAGAACACACACAGCACACGGAAATCGGCCCTCTGTCTGCGCGTGTCTGCAACATATCTCTGTGTGTATGTGGGTGGGGGACTGACTGACTGACTGACCGACCTCCATTTGCCTGAGCGTGTCGTCAAGGAGCTTCATGCCCGTGTCGAGCGTCTTGGCGAAGCTGTGTTCCTCCGCCTTGATGACCTTCTCGATGTCGTGCTGCTTGGCGTGCAGAGAGGGGTAGGCCTCGCCCATGACGTCGACCACACTCTGCACAAGTCGGTGAAAGAAGGGCTCCTTGCTGCCGGTGAGCTGGAAGCCGTGTCGGATGGCCCGGCGCATGACGCGCCGCAGCACGTACCCCCTGCCGACGTTCTGCGGCACCACGCCCTCGGCTATGAGGAAGACGGTCGACCGAATGTGGTCGGCGATCACGTTGAGCGAGCTGCTCGCGTGATGCTGCTGGTGGTGGGATGTGTGTGGCGATGGGTGGGGGATGCCGAGAGCGCGGGAGGCCGCTTCGGTGAGGTGTCTGAAGATGTCTGTGTCGTAGTTGGAATGCACTCCCTGACACGCACACACACACACACACACAGAGACAGAGACAGTGATCGTTCGTGCCTTCACCCGTTCGTTCGATGGTTGCTTTGATTTTCTTGCCTGCATGACGGCAGCGATTCGTTCGAGGCCCATGCCGGTGTCGACGGACGGCGAAGGCAGCGGCGTGAGCGTCCCGTCCTGACCCCTGTTGTACTCCATAAACACGATGTTCCACACCTCAACATACCTACACACAACGCAAACACAGATCGCTCGCAGCACACGGACGGCGTGCATGTGTGAGTGTCCGTGTACCCACCTGTCGCCATCCTCTTCTGGGCTGCCTGGGGGTCCGCCCTCGACAGTCTCGCCGTGGTCGAAGAATATCTCTGAGCACGGCCCACAGGGGCCGGTGTCGCCCATCGACCAGAAGTTGTCCTTGGCCCCACAACGAGCGAGCCGAGATGGCGACACGCCCACCTGCCGCACACGGATGCATTTTATGCGTTCATGCACACACACGTGCTTAAGCACCTCCTTGAGCCAGATGTCTTCGGCCTGCTGGTCGTCCTCAAACACGGTGACCCACAGTCGGTCCTTTGGGAGGCGGAGGACCTCTGTGAGGAACCGCCATGCGTACCGGATGGCCTCACGCTTGAAGTAGCTGCCGAACGAGAAATTGCCCAGCATCTCGAAAAACGTGTGATGCCTGCACTCATGAATGACAGACAGACAGACAGACAGACAGACGGAGGGAGAGAGAGAGAGAGAGAGAGAGAGAGAGAGTGGGGAGATGTGACGGCGATTCTCCTATGATCTCCCAGTGACGGACTGGCTACCTGGCAGTGTATCCGACGTTGTCAAGGTCGTTGTGCTTGCCCCCCGCTCTCACACACTTCTGGCTGCTGGCGGCCCGCTTGTAGCTCCGCACATCCCCACCCAAGAACACATCCTTGAACTGAACCATTCCTGACACACACACACACGAATACAAGCCGGCCATCCACACGCGGTGTGTGTGATGCTCTCATGCCCTGCCCACCTGGCTGCATACCTGCGTTCGTGAAGAGCAGTGTGGGGTCGTCCTTGGGCACCAGTGTGCTGCTCGCCACCACCTCGTGGCCCTCGTTCTGGAAATACTCCAGAAACAGCCGCCGGATCTCACCCGCACTCATCCACGGAATGGCGCCATCCCTACTGCTGCTGGTAGTAGTGGTGCTGGTGGTGACACCGACGGCCTCTACAGTCTGCTCGCTGCTGCGATGAACGCTTTGTGGGCGGCGGAGTGCGCTCAGCCGTGTTGGCGTCAACAGATGGGACGGCGGGGTGAATGCAGCACGTGTGGTCGTCGTGGCTGTTGGCGGCCTCATCAGTGCATGGGCGGCGGAGGCCAGCGCGGCCACAGCGAGTGTCATGGGAAAGGGGAGAGGATGCCTGAACGTCGTCATGCCAGCTTGTGCGTTGACAAACGAGGCCGAGGCTCAATCACACCGCCACCATTCGCAGATCCGCCAAATCATCAGCTCGATTTCACTCTTGCTGACTTGCATAGCAGGCCGGGAGCAACACGGCGAGGAGATCTGCAGGTCTCGCAGCTAAGCTCGCAACAGGGAAAGGTGAGCTCGCAGTTGATCTGTCCGCTTTCCGCGCACTTTGCACAACCGCGTCCTCTCCTCGCACTGAGCATCCGCCCCCTGCTTCAAGCCTGGCATCCCACAAGAGCACGTACTCATCCCACAGGCACGTCAGTCCTGCATTCCCGAACCAACAACCACCGCTGATGAATGGATGGCTGCCGTGTGTCTGTGTGTGCTATGGCAGGGAGTCCGATCTGCCCCCGCTGCCCCACCCGCTGCTGCCGTCGATGAGCAGTCTCAGCGGGTCGCGCGAGGCCCCCCTACTGGGCTCCTCCGATCAGCGCGTCGGCAGGCCGCGGTCGTCGCTGCTGAGGGTGCTCACCTTCTCACAGGCGGAGGACGACCAGGACCTACTCGCCAGATACTCGAGCGATGCTTTCGGCGAGGTAGGTGTGTAGAGAAAGGAAGATCAGATCAGATCAGATCAGCGCACCACATAGAGGGATAGATCTGCCCGCAGACTGCAGATACACTCACATGTGTGTGTGTGGTGGTGACAGAGTGTGACCGAGCTGCCTCCGTTTGGCGGCGAGAATCTGTACGCGGCGACTGAGGACCCCGTAGAGCTCTACACCCGGCAGCCATACGCATCGAACGCCTCGCTCGTGTCGGTGCACCAGCTGGCGTCCAGCGCACGCAGGAACACCATACTCAACAAGGGCGTCCAGTATGAACTCAGAACCAAGTGAGAAAGGCACAGCTCACACACAGGGCACAGGGAGGGAGGGAGGGAGGAAGGTATGCGTGTGTGTGGGATGGCCGTGCCGTGTCTGTGTTGGTACTTGTCTGTCCGTCTGTCTGTGTCAGCAATCCCAAAGCGCTGGCCTTCCTGCAGTCGTCTTGGGGAGTGCTCGTGCAGGTATGGACCGCCCGACAGGCACACACAGACAGACGCTTTGATCGAATCGACGGAGGAAGAAACAACAAGATACGGGGAACTCATGTTGGCTGGTTGCTTTGTCCCTCCCTCTGTGTGGTGTGCAGCTATTTGTGTTTGCCGTGTGTGTCAACGTGCAAGCGTAAGCATACCGGACCTGCGCGAAATGGATCGATCCGAGCGTCCAGCCACCCATCCTTCATCTCTCTGCATGTATTCTATTCGCAGGTTCACGCCTAATGTGGGGGCCTACGCGAAATTCATCCCTGAGACGGGCAAGAAGGGGCAGCCCTTTTTTGACGGTACACACACAGACACAGACACCCCACTGCTGGCCGGCGCCTGACCATCGTGTGTGTGTCTGTGTGTCTGTGTGTGCGTGTGTGTGTTGACTGGTGCAGGTGTGGTGATGGCGTCAGCCAATGTGTTCAGTCTGGTGCTGATGATCATTATATCGACCGTGGCCGACGGGTGGAAGGGATTCGCAGCATGTCTTAACCCACGGGTAAAAGAGTGCGCACCCACATGGACAGACATCTGTGGCTGTCTCCTGTGTGTGTGTGGATGGATGGATGGATGGATGGATCGATGGACGGCAGGAGATCATCACCATGGCGCCGCCCGCATTGCTGTACGGCGTTGGCGATTGCCTGCAGCTCATATCGCTCTCATACGCCGACCCGGCTTTGGTGCAGATCATCTCACAGTCCAAAATGGTCGCCACAGCACTCCTATGCAGGTCAGGTTAGGTTAGCCCAGTCACTGCACACGCACACAGACAGACAGACAGACACTCTGTCTCTCTCTGTTTGGTGTCTGTCTGTCTGTCTGTCTGTCTGTCAGGTTTGCGCTTGGTCGTCCATTGATGGCGCTGCAGTGGCTGCTGCTGGTGACGATGAGCATCAACCTCTACACCTACGTGCAGATCGACCTCTTGTTCGGCTCCGAGGCGGCCGCCAAGATGGGCCAGGCGGCGGCTGCAGCCGCCACACAGAACCAGATCGTCGGCATCAGCCTGCTCATTCTCAGGGTGAACTCGTGTGTCCGTGTCTTCGTGTGTGCGCGCTTGTGTGGGTGGATATGGCCATGAGTTTTGTGTGTGTGTGTGTGTGTGAATGTGTGTGTGTGTGTGTGTGTGCGAATGTGTTCATTCAGGTGGTCCTCACGACGCCAGGTGGCGTGCTGAGCGACTATTTATTCAAGCAGACCAAAAGGCCCTTCTACATCCAGCTGGCACAGGTGAGATGAGAGCAGACACGTGACATACCTCCTCAAACCAGACATCAACTAACACCATGGGTTCATGTTTGTTTCTATCCTTCCTTCTCCGAATGTCTGCAGACAATGTTCAGCACGGTGACGGCGAGTGTGATTGTGGCCGTCATTCAGTTCTGGAAAGGCGACCTTTGGCACAAAGGCATCTTCGGAGGTACCAAGGGTCCCTCCCACGCAGACAGAGACACAAATGGCTGGCCCCTCTGGCCTGGCCGCATTCATCCCTTTATTCATCAGGCATTGACTGTGGGGGCGTCACCCCATGTGGATGGAACCCACGAGTCATCTTCCTCGTCGTCTGGTAAGCCGACACACACACAACACACACACACACACACATGAAAGCACCGACAGGCAGCGACACCTCTTCCTCCTCCTCCTCCTCTCCCTCTCCCTCTCCCTCTCCCTCTCTCTCTCTCTCCCTCTCTCTCTGTGGTGGGTAGGTATGCTCTACGGACTGGCATCAATTGTCTGTTGATGAAGCGGCTCGACTGCGTGTGGAAAGGCATCGCCGACACGGTCGCCACCCTCTTCGTGTACATCTACGCCATCACCATATTCGGAGAGGCGCCCGGCAAGGGAGCCGACCTCAAGGTACACAACAAACCACTCCCACTTCTGCCCCACCCATCCCCACCTCTCTTTTCCATTTCTCCATGCAGGTGGCTCTCATCCTGGCCATCATTGTGACGGTGGTGTCGTACGTGCTGACCAAGGTGGATGTGTCGCAGCAGCAGCAGACCAATGGCTCGGAGCGGTTCCCGGCCTCCAAGCCGGCCGCTGTGGTATCGGAGAAGCACCCGCCGCCACGGCCGCAGACTGTCGATGTGTAAAACATGACTTAGATACAGTGCATAGTAGGTGGGACGAGAGGAAGGGGGCAATGAGTGAGCTTATCAGCTCTCGTATGAGTGGTGGTGGTGGTGGCGGCGGTGTGTCGGTTGGGCCTGTCTGTGTCTTCGGACTCGTCGCTCGAATGCTTCTCCGACATGTGTCAGCTCACTTGTCGGAGAGTCGTTCGAGAGAAGGATTCGACAACAGATGGGAACACCGCACACCGCACACACAGAAATGCGCTTTCCGTTCGGCTGTGTCTTTCTTGCCGTAGCGCTGAGATGTGGTTGTCGTGATGCTTGGTGGCCCACACACGCGTGACTGAGGTAGTCAGTGGAGACGGAGCAGCCGAGAGAAGCGGATCTCTCTCGATTACGCCGTCTCCATTGGCGGCATTCGGACAGGCGTCGGCAGGGCACTAACCACACAAGCACACACACAGGGGAGTCGAGTCATCTGTGGGTGTCTGTCTCTATTCGTGTAAGTGTTTCTAGCAAGTACTAGTAGAGGGAGAGGGAGGGTGATCTGATCCAGGCCAGGCAGAGGAGCAGGGACGGGGACAGCCGAACACACTTCGGTCTTCCCTGTTTGTTGCTGCCGGGGTGCGCGGCATGCGCATGCATCGGGTGTGAGTGTGATCTATGCTGCTCTCTTGCTAAGGCCTGTCCGTCTGTCTGTAAGACAGACAGACAGACAGACAGGCAGACAATGACTGCTGACTGACTGCCACGGCGAGTGGGTGGCGCCATCGCTATCATGATCGATGCAGCTAGCGTGGGATGCAGCTGAGCTGCGCCACTCTCGCTCACCCCAGTGCAGTGCACTCGGTGCGTGTGTGTGTTTTATAGTACGTCGTACCCATGGATGTGAGTGACACTTGTGGTCGACAGCCTCACAATGAAAACAGGCCGAATGCACTCATTGCAGCACCCCCACCTCTCCTCTCGCAAGTGCAAGCTCAGCCCGCAGATCTCTCGGTCGAATCCATCTCGCACCGAGAATGAGGTCTTCCCGCCTCTGTTGCTCCAAGCTGCAGATCCCAGCACCCTCTCGAGTGCGCAGACAGCTCGACAAAGTGAGATCTGACGCCGAGAACGTCGCCCTGCTGAATGAGGTGGTGCGGGAGAGGGTGGGTCTGCGGCTGGATCTGGCCGCCAAACCCAAGAAGGCACTGAGAGTCGTCGGAGGGGCGAGGTCGGTCAGATGAAAAAGAACAAGTGTGATAGATCTGATCTGCAGCGTCTGGCGGGTGAGTGTGTGTGTGCAGTGATAGCGCACCGGTGTATCTGGGCCCGCCGCCTTCATGGGATGCCGCTGACATCGCCTTGGCGCCGCCACCGCACAGCAATGCGCATAAACGTCCTCGAACAAGTCAGCCGTGCCACACACAGCCAGCCAGCGACCAGCGATGGATAGCTCTGGTGTCATTTTGCGAACTGTCCTGTGCGAGCAGGTGCAGTGTCGGCCGTCAGTGGATCGGGTGCTGGCCCTGTTGTGGATATGTCGGGGGGTCAGACGTCGATGGCCATACCGGGCGGGCAGGAGGTGACGCAGATCGGCCAGCTGTGGGTAAGGAAGAGACGAAGGAGAGAGGCGATGGCTGTCTGTCGGGATGTGTGTGTTTCGACTGGTGTGTGTGGGGATGTGATTGATGCAGCCGATGGTGTCGCGGATTCATCCGACGAAGCTGTGCCCACTCGTCAAGGCCGTGAGGACCATCACATCAAACATCACAAACACACACACACACACACACACGAGATGAGCAGCCAGCACACGTAGTCAGACTTTCACACGGGCTTTGTGTGTGTGCAGCTGATCTCTCGTCAGGTCGACATGGCGCCACTGTGGCGCAGCCTCGCCATGGCCACCGAGGTCAGGGAAAACCACTGCGCACCTTCACGGTGGTGGGCGGATGCACAACGCACTGCGTATGATGTCTGCAGGAGAGTGCATTGCGTCAGAGCCCCGACCAGCTCGCCCAGCTGCTCTTCTGCTTCACAAGGGTCAGTCAGCGGACTACACCCCACCTGGACAGCTCCCTTCCTGTGCGGGTGTGGTGCTGCATCAGTTGGCAGTGCAGAAAGGCGAGCTGGAGAGTGGCTGGTTCGGGTCACTCCTGAAGCGGCTGTCGCTCGCCGTCAGACACCAAATGGACAAAGGTCGGTCGGCAAACGGCACAGCGCAGCGCAGCGCAGCGCACAGAGAGAGAGAGAGAGAGAGAGGGTCTGCGTGAACGAATGTGTATCTGTCTGTGTGTATGGATCTCATTCATTCATTCATTCATTCATTCATTCATCAGACATGTGGGCCAACCCTCTTGTCGTCTTCGCCATGAAGGAGTACGCCCTGGTCGGATACCGGTGAGCGAGACCAGACAAAGAGATCGATCCCTTCATGTGTGTATGGATGGACTTCTGTATGTGTGTGCAGGGTCGAGTTGGAGGACGTCTACCAGGCCGTCGTGCGCCACGTCGTCACGCGCAAAGACAACACGCACAAGAAATACAGGTAGGCGCTTGCCTGCAACCTCCACGCGCCAGAACACGACAGACACAGCACACACGGCTTCTCTGCATCTCTGTTGCAGTGCGTCGGAGTTAGCCGCCCTCGCGCCCTCTCTCTCGTCACTCGGCCTCCACGGGCCCCTCTACCGATCTTTCTGGCTCTACCTGGAGGCCGCCCTGCGCGGAAACGCATCGTCCTTCGACAACCTGCATGTGCTGTCGCTGCTCGAGTCACTGGCGAACCCACGGCCACGCAGCGCCCCCACTCTCCCACCAGCAGCCACAAAAGGACAGCCGTCCGGTTCGCTCATCGCCACAGGTGGCAGAACGGTGGCCAGGAGGGGCAGCACCAGCAGCAGGAGCATGGACCAAGAGGCCCCTGCTGCTGCTGCTGCTGGTGGATGGGGCTATCCGTCGGGGGACGTTGTGCGTCTGGTTGAGTACATTGGATGTGTGTTGGTGCCGCTGCGATGGAGCGGGATGACGGACGGTCAGCGGGGGAGGGTGGTGGAGGTCATGAAGCACCCCTGCTGGCAGCACATGCAGTGGATATTCCAAGAGGTCAGTGACCGAGTGGGTGAAGGAAGGGCGAAATGCATCCTGGGTCATCCATCTGATGTGCCATGTGGTGTCTGTTTGTCGCCCACTCGACTCGCAGCTGTCCTCCCCACCACCACCCGCCCAGCCACATAGGAAACAGCGCAGCAGCAGCAGACGGTCCACCCACTCCGACGCCCCATCCCTGTTTGCCCTCCCTCTGCCCGAATTCATTCAACGCATCGTCACTGGCGGCCACCACACACGAGGCAGCAGTGGCGCTGGTAGTGAGACTGCGATTGCCATTGCCATTGCGGGAGAGAAGAGCATGGGTGGAAATGGTGGTGACGGTGAGGAGAGGGGCAAGCTGACGTACCTGGAGCACTTCAGCGTCTTCGGCAGGGACGCTGAACGGGTCGCTGTTAAGGGTAAGTCCTTTGACGGACGGGAAGCGGAGCTTTTCGCTCTAGTATTACATTTGATTCGTGTGCCTGTGTGGGTGTGCAGATCGTCGCAGTCGTGAGCTGATAGCCTTGGCCGAGGATCTGCAACAACAGGTGCCCTCCATCACACAGACCACACAGCCGATTCTCTCTCTCCTCTCTCGGCCACACAGGCTGCATCGGGCGGGAGGGCAGCAGATGCCATTGCTACAGACCGTTCTGCAATGAAGAGCCTGTGTACGCGCACATCCACAGACACAGACACAGACAGAGATGACACGTGTGTGCGCTGCCGTGTCTTTGTCTTTGTCTTTGTGTGTGTGTGCAGACGGCGCCCGGCTGCCGGTCTTGTGGCACCTGCCGCGCGAGCGGCTCAAGTCCTTCCTCTACACCATCCGCAGCAGCCAGGTGGCCTACCACGTCAATCAGACGGCTCTCGACAGCGCCGGGCTCGCTTACACGCCAAGTGCGGCCATCGGTGAGTGGGCTGAGACAAGGCGTTTCATCGCACTCCACACACAAACATGTTGGTTGCCTGTGGGTCTCTCTCTCTCTCTCTCTCTCTGTGTGTGTGTGTGTGTGTGTCTGTGTGTGTGTTTGTGTGTGCGTGTGTGTCAGGTCGGTCGAGAGGCTCTGTGTGGGGCGGGATCAAGGGCCACAAAGACGACAAACACGTGAAAGCACACAAACACCGACGGCGTCGCTGCATGCTATGCTGGTTTTATGTTGCCGTGTGTGTGGCTCTGTCTGTCTGCCCTGCAGGCGAGATGGTACGTCAGCCAGCTGGTGGAGTGCGTCATCGACAGACACGAAAGTGACTGAGGGGAAGGAGGAATGGCATTGAATTGACGAGTGGATGGATGGATGGCTCGGTGCGTGTAGGCATGAAGGTGACCGACCTGGCGTCATGCCTCAACGGCTTCGGCAAAATCCACCAACGATCCCTCGTAAGCCTTTGCTGCCATCCATCCCATCTTGTGGAGTGGTGGTGGTATGATGACGTGTTGGGTTGGTCAGCTGTGCCCTGCTGACGGGCGGCGGCTGCTGCGCACCCTCATGCCCGCCATCAACGAAAGGACCCTCGACCTCACCGCCAAAGCACTCACTGGTACACAGGGAGGGAGGGAGGGAGAGAGGGATTCACCACAAGACACAAGACACAAGACACACTCTCTCTCGCTCCGTGTGGTTCTCTCCTCTCTGATGCCATCAGACGTGCTGAACGGCATGTCGCTGCTGTATCCTCTGCTGTTCCACACACCGCCAAAGTCAAAGCGAGAGGCCAGCAGCGAGGAGGCAGCAGGAGCAGCCAAGCCATGGACGCCCTACCCAATGATCCCTGTCGACGGCCATGAAGGCAAGGGTGCCTCTAGTGGTGGCGACGGCGAGTTTGTGCTGGGCGAGGGAGCGATGGTGGGGCTGATTGACGGGCTCGCCACACACGCAACCAAGATCCTCGGTAGGTCTGTGTGTGTGTGTGAGAGAGAGAGAGAGAGAGAGAGGCACGTGCCATTCATCCATCCATCCATCCATCCATGAATCCATCCTTCATGTGGGTGCGGTGCTTTCGTTGTGGTTGTGTCACTCCCACAGACATGGACGCCGTGCCGAGCGAGGGTCTTGTCAAGATTGCCGCCAGCCTCCAGCGCTTGATACCCCCCAAGCTCATCCACCGATACGCCAAACCACACAACCCCACACGAGGCGCCTCGCCACCGGGCGGCTGGCGGCGACGCCGCGCATTCGATGCCGCAAAGGTCGGCCAGTGTTTGTGGGAATATGGGTGGTATCCTTACATCACCTGTGTGCTGACGCGTGTGTGTTCGTGTGTGTGCGTAGGATCGTGGGTCGCCTCTGGGCTACCGGCCTTCGTGTGCGGTGTTGGATGCGCTGGAGGATGCCATCCAGCGGAACGCCAACCGACTCCAGCTCGAGGAGACCGCTCGGACACGTACGCCTGTTGCCATGCGGAGGGGGAGAGGCGCACTGAGTGCATTGGTTGTCATTGTGTGTGGCTGGCTGGCTGCCTGCAGTGCACTCACTCTCCTCGATGCGGCTCTCCGATCGGCCTGTGTTCGCCACACTCCAGTCCCGTGTGGTACGTACGATTTGTTCGGCACACGTGACAAAGGCAATCAGGTCGCACATGCGTCGCACATGTGGATGTCTCATTGCCTGGTTCCATCAGGCCGAGCTGCTCCCCGTCACAGCAGCCGACAGGCCGTCGGTCGAGTGCGTCATGTCCTTCATGCGCTCCTACACCAGCCGAAACGCATCCACACAGCCACAGCCGCAGACGGCCTTTCACGCCGTCACCCATTGGCTCGACCGACACACCGACGCACTCCCGCCATCAGCCGTTCCCCTGGCTGCCCTCACATACGTCAGAATGGCGACCATACCGCCTCCCGCGCAGCAGGCCCGACCACCGTCATCGCCTCCACGGCCGCGTGCGCCGCCGAAGCTACAGAGGGATGCGCCGAGGGGCACTGTGTGCGTTAAGTGGGGGAAGAAGGGCAAGGTCTACCGGCTGCTGCAGGCGAAACACGCGGCCATGACAGTGGATGGGCAGGGCGGTGAGGATGGCACCAGTCCGATGATGGTCGAGGAGGTCATCACGAAGCTGTTGCAGAAGGTAAGCGGGGGCAGGAGGAGCCGCTCCATATATGTCTGGGTTGGATCGCACTTCTGTTTTGTGCGTGCAGGCCTCTGATGACCCCACTCCTCTGCCCCCCACCGACATCTATCGGCTCCTGCAGACAGCGCATGCGCTCACCTCACTGCCCCCATCGCCATCAACAGGCGCACCTCGACCGCAACCAAACACGCCCAGGCTGGTGAAGCGGAGGAGACTCCCGCCAGAAGCGTCGGGTGTGAGTGCGGGAGGGTTCAGGTTGGCCGACAGGTCCCCTGTGCGGCTGCTGTGTGACCAGCTGTCACGAAGATGCGAACAGCAGGTCAGTGAGTGAGGGGGAGGGAGGCACACAGAGCATACAAGCGGCAGGCATTGAGACTGCATTGTTCCCGTGTCTCTGTGTTCGTGTCAGCTTCTGCAGCAGAAGTCGGATCTCCCGGATTGGCTGCTCTTCCGACTGGCGCTTCCCGCAGTACATCGGCCGCAGTTCAGCATATCCACCGACGTCGCGGCATCGCTGGCAGACGAGAGGCGTCGGCGGATGGCCAACACGGCCAGCAGCACGGCCGATTTGCTGGCGTCGAGCGATACTGCTGGTGACAATGGTGGTGACGGTGAGCGGTCGTCGTTGGTGGGTGTTGCGTGGGCCTGGCAGGAGGCCTCACACGAGGGAGAGGGAGAGGGAGGGGGAGATGGGGAGGAGGGGGGAGAGCAGGGCAGGGTGGCTTTGCGGCAGCAGCAAGAGGGAGGATGAAGCTGTCTGTCACTCTGTCTGTCTGTCTGTCTGTCTGTCATGTATCGTTGGCTGTGTTGTATGTGTGTCTCTATGGCCTGGATGCATGTGTGTCGCTCTGATGTTCTTTGTGTTGACTGACATTCCATTGAGATGAAGGACGTTCGTATGCACACAAACGTTCACACACGCAGAAGAGAGAGAGAGAGAGTCCTCAAAACTGTCGGCCATCCATCCATCCGATGCCATAGGCGAGATACAGAGAGTGTCGCAGGGGGATAGGATGGAGGGAGGGCGAGTGCCAAATCCCTGACTGTGCCTTATCTATCGGGCAGGCAGGCACAGTCAGAAGGGATCAGACCACCAGCCATCCATCCATCCATCGGCGCATGCACAGCCGCGCGCCACGTACGTATCGACATATTGGTCGGTCATCCACCGCATGTGCCAGCGGAGGGATCGATACAGACAGAAAAAGGTATATACACAGATACCAAACTGACTGGGTCTCGCAGCGACATAGAGATAACGGACGGACGGGTGGGCACAAAACCCACTCCTGTGTCGTGTCACTCAGCGGGCAGCTAGTCAGGCAGTCACGTCCCAATTGCTCCCACACAGGGGCTGCTCAGTGCGGCTGTTCTTGCTGGCCTGCCTCTCCCTCCTCTCCCTCGCCATCCGCGCAACGGCTCCCCTGAATGAATCACACGCATCAGGATCAAAGTGGCTGGCTCTTCTGTGTGTCTGGTTTCTGTACCTGGCTCTTGAGTGTGGCGATTTCCTCTCTGAGTCGCTCATTGTCGGCCTCCAGACGATGCCGATCGGCCGCCTCCTGTGCAACCAACAGCCACGTAGACACAGACAGTGAGACCGTTAGAGAGGCTGACACATGGGATGGAAAGATCAGCGGAGTTGGCTGGGGAGGGTAGTGCGACTGACCTTTTTGCGTGTTGTCTCTCTGTCGATGAGTTGCTTGTAGAGGTAGTCAAAGGCCTCTTCGTCGTCATCCTGATCCTCCACGGCCCCCTTGAGCTCGTTTTAAAAAATTTGAAGGCCGTCTGAATGGCTGATGGCAGGAGGGGCACCACTGGAAGGACTGCTGGCACATCGCTGATGTCAAAGAAGTCAGACTCCAGCGCGGATGAGATGTCTTGAGCTCGATGCCGAGAGAGGCCCTCGATGCCCGCCGCCCAATACAGCATCAGTGGAAGGCGATGACGCTTCACCAAAGCCATGTTGAAGACCACGTAGTCAGCGACCTTACGATGCATCGACCTGCACGAACCGGAACGACCACACACACAGACGGACATACAACGACAGAAACACCGCTCACGCGAACACCGAGAGTGCTGGATGTGTCGTGTTTTCCCTTACTTGGCCATTTTGGAGATCTCCTCATAGTCGCGGTCAATGACGCACATCCGCACATAGTGCAGGGCCAGTACACGCAGCGGGAAGTGGCGAACCGTCATCTGCAGCACGACATCCTTGAGACGGATGTCCCCCAGCCCCTGCTGCGCCAGCGCATCGGCACCAATAATGCGGCCGTTGCCACACAGCCAGGACCACCCTCCCATCAACTTCGCGCCAAACGACCTGACCGAGGCGCCAGCCGACGCTTCCTCGCCCATGCGGATCTTGTCGTCGTCCATGAGCGTCGGGCTGTCATGCAGCCGGATCGCGGGGCGTGTGGCATCGGAATCGCCGTGAGGATAAGCCACCTGCAGACAGCCATCAGGCGCATAGCATGACACGAAAGACTCCCCCTCAGCTCGCCTTCCAAGGAGTGGGTCGAACTTGACGTGCCAGCCCGCCACCTCTGTCAGCTTGGCATCGCCGTCGGAAATGGCGTTGTCAGGCAAGTCGTCGGATGCATAGGGGGCGTAGGGAGGGGGAAGACCCACCGCATCGATAGCGAAGCCCATACATTCGACAGATCCCCCCCGCTCGTCAGCAAAGGGCCGCACCGTCGCCGTAGAACAAGACGAGAATTCGTCGGACTCGAAAATGGCCGCTGAGATAGACAGCGCAACAGCACACCGACCACAGACAAGTAGTGAGTGACGGCAGCCCCTTCCTGTTTAGTCCTCTGTTGTTCCCTACCACATGCGGCCGACAGTGTCGTTGAGCCCGTCGCATTCGTGAGGAGTCGGGCCAGTTCTTGACGCGACACGTCGAATGCATCATACGAAATGTCGTCTCCCAGGCTGGCCACCAGACTCACCGCTGCCTTGACGGCGTCATTCTCGGCCTCGCCCCTCTCGCGTCGCCGCCACTGCTCGCCGATGACGTCAGGCTTCTTGCGCAGGAATGGACGGACCGCTGCGCAAATGTCGGGGTGGCAGTGGACGAATCGGGCGATGAATGGGTAGCGGGCGAAGCTGTCCAGCAAGTTGTTGGCCAGCTGGTGGTCGGCAAGCCATCCCTCAATCACAACCTGACACACGACAAGGTGCATCAACAAAGAGGTGGTGTACAGAGTCCGCTGACCGTCCTCGTTTCTCTGTTCCCCATTGCTCACCTTGCGATGGATTCGCCGCAGGAGGCTCTTGTTGCTGCCGGTCGTGAAGATCTGGTCCGTGTCGAAGTGCACGTAGTCGAGAGCGATCAACGCATCCAGCAAATTGTCCTTGGTCAGCGAGTCCACGATGTCCACCTCTTGCTGCAGCACCACCTCACCGATGGGCCGGCTGATCTTCTCGATACACACCTGACGCTCCTGGCCCTCCTGAAACTCGCCGTCCATCACCTGCACCCACACACAGACGACACACATGGTGTCCATGTCGCGTGTCTGTCATCTCTGCCGTGTGTGTACCTGAGTCATATATTTGTATTGGCGTATGACGCCATCCTTCACGACGAGCGGCGCATCGCCTTCCCCATCGCCAGCGAACCGCACACTCACAGACGGCTCCATAACACCGCTCACCGCAGCAGAAGGACGACAGCAGACACCGAGGAGCGACGGCAGCACCCTCGACGAGGGCAGAGGACACCACGACGGAGATGCGCCGCACCGGCAGAAACACAGATCCTCAATCTCTTTCGCAGTCAGGCGACGATCAGAAGGCTTGTGCTGGTGCCCACTCCTGCGTACGCCGCTCTGAACCAGGTTCAGATCTCTCCTGCTGCAAAGCTGAGCTCGCAGCTAGCTATTTCTTCCTCCCGCTTCTGAGGGCCGAGGGCCTCGACCATCGCCTCTGGCCCTTGTTGTGCTCATCGCCTTCGCCGCCCGCCGTTTCCTCGCGTGCTGACTCATCCCATGGTAGGTGTGATCCAATTGGTGTGATCTTTGCAGTTACATGCAGCAGAGGTGTGTAGCGAGGCAACACTGAATCACACGTTTGCATCAGATTCACACGTACACGACCTGTATCTGTCTGTCTGTCTGTCTGTCTGTCTGGGTGTCTGTTTGTCTGGGTGTCTGTCTGTCGGTGTGTCTGTCAGTCAGTCAGATGATGGTGGTCGACTTGCTCAAGTGGCTGTGTTGTCTGTGTGTCATCGTTGTGGTCATCGTCTGTCTGTTTGCGGAAGGAAGGAGGGTGAGCACTGCGGCCTGTCTGTTGCGTGCATCTGTGTAGCCATCCCATCTCTCCCTTGTGTCTCTTTGTGTGCAAATGCCCGTCGATCGACGACCTGCTGGATAAAGTGGCTGCATCGCCATCTCTGGGTGCCACTGCTCATTCACACGGGACTCATCGGAGACCTTCGCTTGTGGCAGTGGAGAGCAAGCTTCAAGTGCCGCACGCTGGAAGAGGGAGTCGGCCAAACGGCTCAGAGAGTCTATCGCCTACCTGGAGAGGGACCTTCACAACGTTTCCATGTACAAGGAGGACGCCCGCGCCCGCATTGAGAGGGCCCGCTTGGAAAAGAAGCGAAACGCCAAGGACTTTCCGTGGGGATACGACTTCTTTGCAGACGACTACGAATTCCTCCACGGCCGCTTGCAAGAGTGCTACCAGATCTTGAGCAGGTTGGAGTACGCCATCTACAAATTCAATCAGGCGAATCAGACGGGTACGCCAGGACGACACACAACACACAGACAGACAGACAGACAGACAGACAGAGAGAAGAATGCTCCACACGTACGTAATGCGTTCATTGCTTTATCTACTTCCAGCTGCTCCGCAAGAGACCGCCCATCCGACAGCTGCGGAAGTGACCTCCCGTCCGGAAGCTGCGCAGCAGGTGAGCACAGCTGTGCAGGTAGACCTCCGTCCGCGAGCTGTGCTGGTGGACCTCGGTCCGCGAAAGACATCGCTTTGCCGTAGCCAGTCTTGCCCAGCAGTGACGGATGCTGCAGGTAAAGGCCTGCAATGAACGGCATATATGTCTGTGGCTAATGGTCGATTCACCCGTGCTGTCTAATCGTTTAGATGACCGGAGCCCTCCTTGTGGCGGCCATCGCGACACGGACGCGGCGCTGTCACCACCAGAGCCGAGGATGATACAAGCAGTGGTGATGGGAGCGGCCCCAGTTGTCGCGGACTCTCTGCGGCTGCGGCAGGGCCCGGCAGCAGCCGGTCTGAGCTCCGTTGACTGACTGACCGGCAGTCAGTGGAGTACTCACTACACGGGCCTGCCGTCGTCAATTTTCGACTGACTCAGTCTTTTGGGCGTCCGTCATTGTTTCAAGACGTCTTCCAGGGGAGGAGGGCGTGTGCGAGTGGTCGGCTTTGTTGCTGCACATGTGTATTTCTTCATTAGGGCGGACAGGCTGGCGCGCCTGACGTGGGTATGTGATGGATGTGATTTGAGTATCTTGTCATTGTGGTGTCGTGTTTTGGTTAGACCGTGATGCGTCGAGAGGGCGGTGCGATGCCGAGTCACACTTTTGCACGTATAGCTAGCAGCAGTGTATATCATCCAGAAGTTTTGAGTAGGGTGTCAAGTCCACACCCAATAGTTCAGACAGACACCTTCATGAGGCGTCCAGCCTGACTGACAGACTTCCATGCTCACGAGAAATAAAACCGGCCAGCCGTCCCACACTCCAACCGCACACAGCGGCATTCAATAAAGGACAATTTCATGGCTACACGCCCATCGGATCTTGGCAGGCAGGCAGGCAGGCGGCTGCAACATGACGCCGACCGTTTGTGTGGCTAGCTGTGTCATTGCCTGCCGTCCTCGCTTCGTCAGCACGCACCATCCATCACGTCAACGAGCGGTCAGCACAAACGACCGCTCCGCCCAGTTGATGACCGGTGACCAGCCCAGCTGCTGCAGCGCCGTCATCCTCAGCACCTTGACGCCCGCGAAGTGTCCGTGCGAGCTACAATGCACATCGGCACCTTTTGCAATGCGCACCCACATGCCCCGCAGCATGGTGCCGTCAGGGAACGTTCCCGCGCCGAGCGCCCTCATCGTCTTCTCGCTGAGGTAGCTGAACGCTGTCCCCGTGTGGACCAGGAACACCACGTTGAGCGCTCTGCGGAGCTGCCGTTACGTGGGACATTGAGTGGCGGCGACTTCCGACACACCACGGGGACCATGAGGCGCACGTAAGGACCCAGGACCTTGCCCGGCCTTGAGTTGGGTTTCTCCGAAGGGGGAGCCGCCTCCGAGAGGTACCCCACGCCGAAGTCGGCCATGGAAGTCGCTTGAATAGCATCCTCATTCAATTGTGGCTCAGTCAGCCACAGATCCTCTTCGTGAGGCACAGGCCCAACACCTTCCACTGGCATTGATCGCAACAGACAGGCCTGAACACGCGACACACACACATGCGCCGCAGCGGCAGAAACACAGCTCCTCAATCTCTCTCTTTTCCAGTCAGGCGACGATCAGAAGACCTCGCTGGCGTCCACTCCTGCTGTCAAGACACAAATCTGCGAACAGGCGTACGTGTTGCGGACTGAGCTCGCAGCAGTGGCCCTTCTTTTGCTCCGGCGTTTCGCTTCCCGTCGCCTTCTCCGACCGCCGCCTCTCCTGCCGCTGATCCATCCATTCCGTCCCAGGCGTGATGCAGCACACGCAGCATCAGCAGCATCAGCAGCATCCCTTCACTCATATCTTTGTCGGCCGGCGCAGCTTCTATCTGCTCAGCATCGGTGACGTGCTGCGTCTGAGGGCAGTTTGCACATGGCTCAGAGACCTCTTCAGAGCGCCTCAGCTGCGGCAGCGGCTCAGCCACTCTCTCGGCACACAGGCGGGGCTGCGACGAACGGCCAATGGACGGCCAACAATACACCTGCTGACATGGGACGATGAGCAGATGTGTGATCGTGAGCTGCTGGCGGCCGTGTGTGTGATCGAGTTGGGCGGCTGGGGTGAGATCTGCGAGGTGATCGAGCTGGCGGGGCAGTGCGGCTGCTGCCAGCTGCCTTTGAGGCTCACTGCTGATGATCTGCACCAACGCACAAACAAGATGGTGAGCCGACAGAGGAGGAAACGGAATAATGGGGTTCTTACTGGTCATGTGTATTGTGTGTGCAGGCGTATTTGGCCGAGCCGCGTGTGTTGGCTCATCTCAAGATGGTCGACCGGCACATCCACATGGGCAACGGCGTGACCTTCCAGCTGTTCGAGCACGACAATGGGAGGCTGCGGGCCATCAGAGACCAGATTGGCTTCGAGTTGCAAGTTGACCCTCCCCTCCCCCCCGGCCACCTATACCAGCGACACCGACGGCAGCATGACCCCCCAGTCAACAGCCGAGTCGAGTGTTGTCTGGGCGATGGCTGGGTGGCGGGTGCTGGTCCGGTGACGACTGCGTCGGTATCTTCGTTTGTCAAGAACACCCTCCTCGACCATTTTGCGCTCACTCACCAGAGCAGGACCATCAGCAATGACATCGACAGGTCATTCATTCAGGACACACACGATGCACGTATGTATCTGTCATATGCACGTGTTTGTCCCGTTTGCCTTGGTTTCCTCTGTCTGTGTGTCTTCCAGGCATGGTGGCAGCGACCGGGTGTACACAATCCTCAGGCAGTCGCCTCACGCGCCAGTAGAGGGATGCACCACAACCACATCGCACTGCCTCCCCGGCCGCAGAACTTTCTTCCGGCGTCTGGTGCTGACCGACAAGAACAGCCACTCATTCGTCGCGTGGGTTCGCATCTGGGAACGATCCAATAACGACCAAGGTCAGTCAGTCAGTCAGCACCTACAGCTCAGCACATGCATCTGCTTCTTCTGCTGTCATTCATCGGTGTGTTTGTCTGGCTGCCTGCAGTGATGCCTGTGGTCTCGGTCTTCACCACCGAGCCGGCCGTGGGCGGTGGGGTGGGTGACGCCTTCAAGCATCGCTTCCCCGTGACCACTCGGCTGGCGCGAGTGGTGTTGGGGCCGGTTGTCGCGGCCATGGTGTTTGATCGATAGACACCGGGCAGACAGGCGGACAGCTGTGGGTATTGCACACATCAGAGGGGAGGGACATGGTGCGTGTTGCGGGACTCTCTGGACGGTTGACGTTGAGATAAGTCAAGCTCTTTTGTTGTCTCTGACGTATCTATCGTTCAAGTCATCATTCCTCCACACACACAGACATGCACACACCGATGTGACTACCTCTGGCCAGACACAACGCCCCAAGACATCTCATGTCGTCGGCACTGGGCAGCAAAATCTGTGTGGGCGGCACGGCAAGGCACGATGGCTATCCAGTCATGTCTCTGTCATCCACATGAAGGGCGTATATATACACATACTGGCCTATAGGTCCATAGAGATGACGGACGGACGAGTGACTGACAGAGAGATAGGTATGTACGTTATACACAAACAGACGTTCATGCAGTGAGAAAGCGGCACCATCAGTGTGGGCTAGGCAGCCATGTGATAAGACAGCTACTAGACATCCATCCATCCATCCATCCAAAAGGCTATGGGCCTTACAACCGACCGCCCCTCATCTCCGCCCACACCTCCTTGCCCAGCTCCTCGCCCAGCACGCCCTTGACCACCACGGCGGTCTTGCCCCAGGGGCGCGCCTCGCTGGTGAAGACCTGGACCATCGAACCGTCCCCCCCTTCGCCCGCGAAGTACTCGAGCAGGATGGCCACGAAGTCGCCCTCCTCGCCCCACCCCAGCCCCTTCCGGCTGGTGAGGATGATCAGGCGCTGGTGTGTCAGTCCATCGATCCCCTTATAGGAGCAGTCGTACCGGTCATACACGGCACCACCCCCACACACCACCTTGTCACTCCTGCAATTCGTCACCTCCTTGGCGCGCTCATAGGCAGGGTAGAGTGGGTCGGTGTCCTCGTCTCAGCTTGTGATGCCGGTGGTGAAGACCTTGACGAGCGTGTGCATCTTGGTCTCCTGTAGCCACCCCACCAGCATGAAACACACCATGCCCGAGTAGCTGCCGTAGCTGCTGCTCTGATCCTCGGACACGACGCCGACATGGACATTGGGGTCGATGTCCGTGTGGGGGTTGCTGTAGCTGCTGTAGTAGATGCTCCGTGTTGGTGATCTTCTGGTAGCCGCTGATGGGGGTCGTCCCGATGGACTGCAGCGGGTGGAGGATCTTGTCGCCCTGCATGATGGGCTCCTTCTTGCCCTCGCGGGTGGTGATGGTGACGCCCTCGCTGATGCGCCGCCACTGATCCGCCGCGCCTTCGATGCCGTCGAGCGAGGGCAGCGGGATGAGGTTGCCGCCGGAGAGCGCCTTGAGCAGCGCCTGGTGGGGATGCCACACAATGGCGCTGGACGGACTGCTGGCGGCGCGCGATGAGGACGACATGGCCACGCACACGAGATGAAACAGCGGCAGAAGAGAGGCGGGCGGCGAAGGCGATGGGCTCGAAGCGGGATGCCGGAGCAGAACAAGGACCAGACGCGATGGGCGACGCTGCGAGGCTGGTTTGCCGCGGAGAGGTGCGGAGAGAGAGAGCGGTTTCGCGCGAGCTTCGTGCAAGCTCAGCTCCCAGAGAGACCTCCCTCCAGCAGGTATACAGCCGAAATGGACGCCAGCAAGGCCTGCCTTCTAAGCTCGGCTGCGTGGAAAAGCGAGAGATCTTGAAGATCGATGGGCATGAATGCGTCATCGTCCACAGCGTCCCTGGCGGCTATTGCAGCATGCGGCGTGGCCATCCGGGCTCTCCTCTTCTTCCACTCCAGCGCGTCGGCATCAGGCAGCGCCATCTTCTTCGGGCTCAACACATTCGACTCGCTCAAGGAGACCGCCTTCGCAAGAAAGCATGGCGGTCAGCCCACACCGGCAACATCCCTCTCTGTGTGTGTGTGTGTGTGTGATTGTGATTGAGTTTGTGTTCTCAGGTGTCGCGTCGGCCGTCATTGGGTCATCTCCGCGAGTGCTGCTGGCGTTGGAGCGGTTCTCTGAGCACACGGGGGGTGTTGTGGATACGGTGAGCACGATACAAGCAACACAAAAGGAGTGATTTATGCATCCGGATGTGTTGGCCTGTGTGTGGGTGTCTTTGCAGAGAGAGGGGGAGAGAGAGATGACTTTCTGGGTGCTCACCGGTGACCACACTCATAGGAACACATGAATGCATGTTGGTTGCATGCCTGTGTGTGTGTTGTGTTGTTCTGTCAGCTGTGGATGTGTGTATCGCCGTGTGTCTGTGGATCTCTGCCCGGGCGCACCAAAAGGTCAGCAGTGCACTCACTCAAGTGCGTGTGGGGGCCGTGGCGTGGCATACATGATGATAACACCAACTTCTCAATTCAATTGCTGTCTGATGCATCACTGCATATGGTGAAAACACCGCAACACAGCCATGCTAATCTGACCTGCCCGCCCGCCCTCACCTGTTCTGTGAACGACCTGTGTGTGCCGACACACAGACAGCAGAGATGTGTGTGCATCGTGTGTGTGTGTGTGCAGGGTGTGCCCTATTTGGGCCCGTCCTTCGTCGCTGCGTCGTATCTGCTCAACCCACTGACAGTATGCACCTCGTACACAGACAGACAGAGCACAGGTGGATGCATGCACACGTGTGTAAGTGTGTGCGTGTGCGTAGGTGCTGTCAACACAGGCGCTTTCATTCCAGGCCTTTACGCGATGTGTGTACTCGATGATGCTCGCCACTAGCGGATGGATACTCATGCCACTGGTACGGCCCCCTCCCCCCCACCCCACCACACACACACACATCCATCCATCTGCACTTACCTGTGGATGGATGGATGGATGTCTGTGTGTGCAGGCGGCAGTGCTGCTGCAGGTGTCGTCTCACCCCTTGATGGCCATCACAGTGGTCCTCCCCGCCATGCACACATTTGCCTGTGGCCCAGAGAAGAGATACATGTATGTCCGTGTAGTGTAGATGCACTCACACACACGAATCGAATTTCCCCATGTATATCTCGATCTCTCTCTGTCTCTGCGTCTGTGTGTGTGTGTGTGCAGTCTGCTGTCAGTGAGCTTCCTGATTGGCGTGTGTGGCTTCTACGCGCTGATCGAGGCCTGGATCAGACACACACTCGGGGACAAACCAACACCATGGCCTGGTGCGCAGAACCTCAAGAGAGAGAGCTGATGAGATCAGAAACGTCTGCCTTCGTGGATGGATGGATGGATGGCTCTGGTTGTGTATGGTTGGGCGGCTGCAGGCGGCGCTGATGTCGATTTGCTGACGCCCAACATCGGTCTGTTTTGGTACCTCTTCACGCAGATATTCGATCGCTTCGAGTACATGTTCCATTTCATCTTTAACGTACGCAACGCAACGCACGGCAGGCAGGAACGATGGCTGGCTGGTGGACAGACAATTAAGGCCACAGACAGACAGACAGACAGACAGACAGACAGAGAGCCAGGCGCCTGTCTATTCTATGCGGTGTGTGTCATTTGTGTGTGTGTTCAGGGTCACGTGTACTTGTATGTCATTCCTCTGTGGCTGCATCTCTATCGCCAGCCGCACGGACTCCTCACCGCGCACATAGCCGTAAGTGAGCTGAGCTGGATCGGGACGGACGACACACACATGTGGATCGGATCGGATCGGCGCACTGTACTATGTGTGCAGATTGTCGTGCTGTTCCAGCCGCACCCCACTGTGTGCGACTTTGCTTATCTAATTGTCAGTAACCAAGCGCACATCTGCACAAAGACGACACAGCTCACTGTGTGTCCATTTGGTGTGTGTTGACAGAGTTTGCTGCTGCTGCATCACGACATCGTCCGTCGGCTCGGCAGCTTCTCGTTCATCGTCCTCGTGGCAAGTAAGTAAGCACGTGAGGGCGCCCACATGTCAGTGTGTGTGTGTGTCCCGCTGTGTGCACCCACCGCACCTGGCCAGGTGTGTCACTGTCGATCATGCCCGTCATGGCCTGTCTGTGGCTGGACAGAAACACAGGTAGGTCTACACACACACACACACACACACACCCCACCATAACACACTCATTGTGCAGCCACCCATCTCTCTCTCTCCGTGTGTGTCTCCGTGTGTGTGTGTGTGTCTCTGTAGGCAATGCGAATTTTGTGTATTTCCAGCACCTTATCCACCACAGTGCGTGCGGCGTCCTGCTGGCCGAGTGGCTTAGGGAGATTCATCAACGAGACAGCCAGCCAGCGACCGACAAATGATGCACGGAATCATCCACCGAAGGAACGTGCATCGTTGATTGATTGACAGAGCTATGTGGATTGACAGAGCTATGTGTGTACATACATAGATATCGTCCGTGCATGCATTGGCTTGATCTGTTGGGCAGGCCGATCACTGCAAAGCTGAAAATCCGTGTGAGTGTCGCACTTCACGTCACATCACATCACATCACCCACACACAATACAATATCATCCCCATCGCCACGAGTCATGGAGAACTTCACGCATATAGCCCTCGTTTCGATGACATACGAGCAACACTGTCTTTCCTAGTCAAGGAATCCATCACAACACATCACTCAGACCATCACACACGTCACTCAGACACACACACACGACACTCCCCTCTCTCTGCCTCCGATTGAGGCAGAGAATAGATGAACACATTCATGCGCTGTTTGCACGCCGCGCCACGCTCTCGCGCGATCTATCGCATCTATATGTCGCATTCACTTATCATGCGACATACAGACGAAAAAAGTGTGTGAGCAAGAATGAATCACATGATGTATATGTGTATGAACAACATGGGAACAAGCATCGTCCATGCCCTCGAGAGGAATCACAGCTTCAGTCGACAACGCCAGCGACGCAGAACACCGGCACAGAAAGCACTCATCCTACACGAGTGACTGTCTTGAAGGCGCCTGCCGCGGAGATTCCCCTCCTTGCTCACACCCCCGATAACCAGAGTGACAAGATGATGACCCGTAGGATGATGACCAGAGTCAAGACGGCGAGGGCTGTGTAGAGGCAGCGGCGGGCCCACTTGTGCCTCTCCGACCCCTTCTTGGCGTCGAGATTCAGACAGAAGGTGATGCAGCCGATGATGGGGAAGAATATCGACAAGATGCACGATATCTGCACACACAGACAGACAGACACATTCATTCTAGGAGTGTGCGAGGGGGACAGGTTGACTCCTTCGGCGTGCCCTGCCCTGCCCGTCAATCTATCTGTCTGTCTGTGTATCTCACCCACCTTTGCGCAGCTGAGCATTGAGTGATCGGCTGTCACGTCGTCTTCCAGCTGCACCTGCATGTTGATCACATGCGCTCCTCCCAGCTTCGGCCTCACATACTGCTGCTGGACAGGCCCTTCATTGCCTCCCTGGGCCTCCTGCCCCGCCATTTCTGATGCATTCGTCGGATCAGCTGGCGCCGGCTGGCCAGAAGGCTGCAGGGCCCAGGAATCGGCAGACGTTGGTGGACGGGTGGTCGGAAGCGAGATGTTGTAAGTGAGCAAGTCTACACAACTGGTACCATCCTGGTTAGTCGGCCCCTCTGTGCTCATGGTTTCTCGCGTTGTGCTCGTCTTGGAGACGGTCGAGTCGATTCTCTTCCGCAGCCTCTCGGTTATAACGCTATGGAGCGTGGCGACTCCCTTGATAGCTATTGTGGAGGAAGTGGCCGTGATGGATATGACGATCGTCCGTATATCAGTCGAGTTTGCTCCATACAGGATGGTCAGGATCAGGATGGGCAACTCGAATAGGGACGCCGCAAAGAGGGATGCGTTCTGCCGGAGTGTGGCCTTCGTTCGGATGCCGTAAGAGATAGCCGCACTGATCGTGTCCACTTGGCAGAGGAGCAGAATGCACACCCCGGGCCACAAAGCAATACCGCGTTGGACCATCCCCATTCCCACAGCTGCATGAGAGCAGCAGTAGCACAAGAAAAAAACAACAAGTCAAGATGACCAACTAGAGAGCTCCCTACCCAACGCACTCACATACGTACCTAGATCTGACATGTAGTCCACAATGGTAAGCATATAGGACACATACTTGAGCAATCGGCAAAAGTCCAACTCGTCCACTTTTCTCATGAACGGCACATACTTCCGAACGAGAGAGAGCAAACGGTTCTGCTCCACCCACATATGCTCCGAAGCCGTTAGCATGCGCGGATGAGGGACATCTACCAAGTTGAATTTGAATGCGGACATCTACCAAGCTGAATTTGAATGCGGCTGGAAGCCAACGAATATCATTCAGCCTCTTCAGCATATCATCATTTGTGAACAGTCGTGGCTGGGCAATGACAGTAAAAGGGGGCACGGCAAGTCCCATGTAGACAGATAACACTAGCATACTAGCCGCATAGCCGATCGCTGGACAGAAACGGAAAGAAACAGAAAGCTATGCGACGCGAAGTGTTTTTTCCGTTTAGTGCTTACGTCCGTAGAAGAGATTGAAGGCCATTATGAGGACCCCATACATAAGTGCCAAGCATTGAGTAGCCAGACTCTTGTACGTCCCATAAGGAAATAGCATATCGACGGCAGCCAGTAGCAGGGGATCTCCCACTTCAGACACACAAACAAGCACCAAACAAGTGAGCAGAGAATGGCTGTGAACTGGTTGGCACCCACCAATTCCGCTGATAGTCCATCCCAGCCCAGCCCATTTGGAGTCGGGCACAAGGACAATCGAGATTGGCCCCGCCACCAACAGCCATAAACCCGAGAGCGCTGCACAGTCGACGCAACAAACACCAACAGCAGTTTTCACCCTGCCTTTCCTCCCCTTCATCCCTGTTTCTCACCACATAACATCCACTGGAATCGCATCTTGGCGGGCACATCGGTGAGATAGAACCTCAGCTCACGCTGCTTCCCCCACACGTCCATCATAAGATCCATCACCAGGTACTTGGCAGGAAAACCGCTCGTCGCCTCCTTCACACCCTCATGCGAACATGAAGACAGAGAGTGGCTGGGATCCTGATCGCCGACGGCAGCACACGCTTGGCGTGACGGCGGATGTTGGGAGGGAACGACGAGGCCGGCGCTGCCTTCACGGGCTGTTGGTCCATGCACTGCCAAGTCGAGCACATGAATGACAGATCTCGATGAAATAGCTGTTGCTGATGCTGCGCGAATGACATCGATATCGTCGAGGGCCGGGGAGGCCGACCGGGGTGCCGAGGGCGGCGGAAGGATGTCATGCTTAGATCTCATCAGGAAATGATCAATCACATCTCAGCCGATGATAGCGCCTCTCACGCACCCTCCCAGTCGTGCTGGCGTGCCTAGAGAGAGGCCTCTCCTCTCTGTCTCGCATTCTTAAGCTCGCTGAAATCGCTGCTAAGCTCGCAAGTGAACCTTGGCCGTCAGGCCGCCTAGGGTGCTCCCTGAGACCGCTGCTCCAACGTTGGGTCGGCTGTCTGCGTGTGTCTCTGTGCATCAGGGAGGGACTTCGAGACAGCGTGAGCAGAAGGCAGTATAGTCGACAGGATCTACTGGATCTACAGCTATGGAGGGCGACGGTAGGCAGGTGAGGGCATCACAGCACCGCTTGCAATGAATGGCCACAGATGGATGTCGGCTCTGTGTGTGTGTGTGTGTGTGTTTGCTGGCTGGATGGGTGGAGGCTAAGAAGTCCCGCCGTGAGGAGGCGCCGGCTGCTGCTGCGGGTAGTGGTGGTGGTGGTGGTGGTGGTGGTGATTGGGGGAGCATCCTTCCGGTGAGTGAGTCTCTCACACACTGAGGCCATGAAGGCACTGGTGGACATCTCTTACTCACTCTGTGTGCTGTGTGGTTGTGTGCAGCCCGGTCTCCTCAGCAGCGTCATGGCCTTCCTCCCCTTCCACCTGCTGATACAGCTGCAGCTGCCGCCGCTGACATGGCAGCTCGCCGCCCGCAAGCAGCACCACCTCACAATCAGTGCAGCCGACGAAGATGAGCGGTCGTTCTGGCAGGCGGAGACAACGACCACCGACCTCGTCACGGAATGGGCCACATACCTCAGGCAGGTCACCTCTATCACCCTCCGCTGCCCCACTTGCTTCCCCCGCTGGTGCCTCGACGTGTTTGTGGCCATGATAGAGGGCCACGTCGCCGGCCGACGGGCAGCCAACATTCAAGACGGGACCCTGAAGACAATCACCATCCGAGAAGGGGCTCAGCTGACCATCAAGGAGAGGCAGATCGTCGCAAGGACAGACCCACCCCTTCCCGATCTTCTCGACCCGCCCCCACTTCTCGACGCACTCACCACCATTGAGTATCTGACCAGCGGACATCAGGGGATGGCCGACCGGGGCTGGGTGATGCCCTCGCTCACCGTCTTGCGGCAGAGGGGCTGGGACCCTGACAGATTGGGCCGATTCATCAGCTCGTCGGGCTCACTGCAGCACGTCGACGGGGCGTTCAGGGGTGACGAGTGGGCGCGCTTATTCGGCCACATCCCTCAGGCACCTGCTGGGCAGCAGGTGGGGCCACTCGCCAAGCTAGAGCGCATCGGCTTTATCCGTCCCGATGAGCATCGCGAGGGCATCGACCGGCTGCAGGTGACAAGAACACACACGCATGCACAGCAGCGCCAGTGGGTTGGTTGAAGATGTCATTCCTGTATCTGGGTGTGTCTGGTTGTCTGCAGGCTGTCCTCGTGGCGCGTGGCTGCCGGCGGTCGCTTAAACTTCTGCACGTGCAATTTGATTTCTTCTACGAGATCGGCCGCCCCACGTTGCCTTTGCTGCTGGCCCTGAACGGGCTGGTCACCACATGCTGCCGGCCAAATGTGCGACTCAGCTTCTACGCCACAGACCCCACCTTTGGCCGCTCCCTCTTCCACCACGTCGACTTTCCCACTCGCCCGTCGCCCTCAGTGAAGACCATGATCCAGCAGCTGGCACAGCAGGCCACATCGGTGGGATACATCTTCACTCAGGACGACCTCACCGACAACCTCGACAGCCCCAGCCAGGCGGCCATCGACACGGCCAAGACACTCTCATTCGACAAGGCCGAGACGGTGGAGGTCAAGAATGCCGCTGGCTTCCATCCCCCGGCCAACACCCCATCGCCCCACCCTACCATCATCGACCACCTGAAGCCCTTCCAGAACGTCTTCCAGAGAGCCCCAACGCTGTCTGTCCGGAGCAACCTGGGTGGTGCTGCAGCCCGGCTGCTGGCCGACAAGATGCCCGAGAAGGTGAGAGAGGTGGACATTCGAGAGGTGTCGGGTGGTGAGGAGATGGTGGGCGTGTTGAGGGCGCTCGGAAGGGGGAGGGAGGTGCGGGAGGTCTTGATGCGCAGCGTAGTTTTCGACCAACTAGATCAACAGCTGGGCCAGGCGGCTGGCCGGTTGCCGACGATCGAGAGCCTATACTTCAAGCTGACACGTACGCCGAGAGAGAAGAGGGACTTTATGTCTTTATGTCCTTTGTTGGCTTGTGTGTGTGTGTGTGTGTGTGTGTTTGGCTTCAGTGCCGGACGATGTGGAGGATGTGGGCAGTCTGGTGCGCGCCCGCCTCTCATCGGCGATCCCACACGTCAAGGGGCTACAACGTGTCGATCTGCTGTTCCCTGACCACGTGCCAGCTAAGCAGCTCGCTTCCATCGAGACCTCCCTCCCTGACGGCGGGAGCATCGAGGGCTTCGCAATCCTATACGTCAGCCGTGTCTGGCTGGGATTGAACGCAACGCGCAATCCCTGAGGGTGTGTGTGCGTTGATGGTGGCATTCATTGGGCAGACGAGATTCGTGTGCTGCATCAAGTGGCATGCCATTGGCTGTTAATTGTACACGGCTGACTGCACAAGACGTCCACGCCTGCACACACGGAAGGACGCACTAATCATATCAATGAAGCAAATAAGACTATGCATTGTTTATGTATGGTACCGTACCGTCCCCCTGTCGTCGCCTTGACCGACGGGGACGAACAAACATACAGGAGAGAAATCAGCTAAGACAGGCAGTGAGTGAGTGAATCTCAGACAAAGACAAGGTAGGCGGCACCCCTCCCCTCCCCCTCCCTGTACTGGTCAACAATCGGCTGCCGATGAATCAAATGGGCAGGCAGGGGCAGCAACAGTGAGTGAGTGTTCCCCGTCCCATTCCAAAGCCATGTCAGCCAACCGCACGTCCTTCTTCTTCTTTCCCTGCTATGCACATGCGTCTCTCCCGCCAGCTAGGCTACTCATCTTCGGGATACTCTGCAATGATGCCGCCATCCTGCTCATCACCATCACCTGAACATACATACATACACAGGCCCGTGTGGTGCGGTCTAGTAGCCGTCCAGGCAAGGCAGGCACCTGCAGCAGGTTCGTGGCTCTGTATGTCCATGGGTATGGGGCATGGGCGACGCCAGGGGGCCGGGCGATGGGGGCGCCGGGGGCTCCTGGAGCACAGCACCACCTCCCTCCTCATCCACCGCCATCATACCATCTGCACACATACACCACAGTATGATATGTATGGCCCGACTGCCTGCATGCCCGTCCGTATGTTACCTACCTGCTCCCATCCCTTCCACGGGGTCGTTCTCCCAGTCGTGCATGGGGGGCGTGTCAGCCGGCATCGCTGCGGCTGCCGCCGCCGCTGCTGGTGTGGTGATGTCGTCCTCGTCCTCGTCCTCCTCTTGGAGCCGTGTCATGCTGCCGCTGTTGAAGGAGTCGACAATGCGATCCCAATTCTTGTTGTGAGGGATACGCAACATCATCATGTCGGCGATCTCCTCGGCCGATGGCGGCTGGTGTCTGGCGAGGGGGGGCAGCACGGTGTGGGGGGGCGTGACGATGCCCAGCCGCTGGTTGAGCACTTCCTGGGGTGGGCTGATGCAGTCGCGGCGGGCGAGTGAGTGGAAGAGCGGGCGAGTCACATCCACGGCCGTCTCCATGTTGACGGCGTTGCCCAGCAGGTCCCTCAGGAGGGTCTTGGCACAGCCGTCGAGATTAGCGCAGCGCTGGGAGTTCAGCAGGGCCATCAGTGGGGGGAGACGGTGCAGCACTCCCTGAAGCTGGGCACAAACGGCCCTGCAGGCACGCACCACAATGCGACATCCCGACACACACATGTGATTTGTCTGTCCATCCTTACATGGGCACTTCTGGGTGTTTGCACTTCTGCGCGGAATGGTGGGTGGTCTTTCTTCTCTTGACGCCCTTGACGGCTGCCCCATCACCGCTCGCCGCCGCCGTCTCCGCGTGTGTGTCGACGTTGACCCACGAGAGCGAGAGGGGCTGCCGGGTGAGTGTGGGGGCGGCCATCTCGAGCTCGGCGCACAATGCCGACATGTTGGCAGGACTCAACAACTCCTCCCAGCCCCAATCACTCCCTGATCAATCCATCATCCAGCAACACGGCACAGCACAGCACAGCAGGGCACGAGAGTGAGCGCCTCCCGCTTTGCCTGTCTCTCTGTGTGTCAGCTCCCTGCCTGTCCACCCCACCTACCTTTGCGTGGCTTGCATTTCGGCCTCTGGAAACCGTCCGCAGGCCACACACGCTTTGCTACCTGATGCATGGATATGACAGGACCGAACAGAGAGAGAAGGATGACACTTGCCCCCATGCCTCCCTCTTTGTGTCCACACACACACCACACGTATGTAAGTACCCCTTCCAGCAGCTCGCTGAGCTTGGCGTATCTGGCCGTCATCGGGTGCTCGCCATGCGCCAGCCGATGCTCACACGCCTCCTTTAGCGTGTAGTGGAACACGTTCCACGGCCAGTGTTGCAGCTCGGCGAGCACAAACGCCTTGGCGTCAGGAGTCTCCGTGTTGTACATGTGGATGTAGACCTGAAGCACCGTGTTGATGGCGTCGAGTAGGACGGAATCCCCTCTGGCGGCGGCTGACGACGGCGCAATGACAGTCGGCTCTGCACACACATGCACACACCGTATGTGTGATGTGTGTGGGCATGTGTGTGGTGGATGTGTGTGTGGTACCTGGGAGTGGGTAGCCGGGCTGCGCCATGATGGCTACGAGTCGCCTGCGATGCGCCGCAGAGCCGTGCTCCGAAGCATTTACCACCAGACAACGGAACTGCAGCTGATAATGGGTACACGGACAGACACACGTGAAGTCTGCCGATGCTCGTGGGTGTGTGCACATCTTCGATGCTATGCTTACGCCAGCGGATAGGATATCGGCGATGCACTGCTCGAAGAGAGGGCGGTTCCTTGGGGACTCAGCCAGGCCCATGACATTCTCTGGCCCACACAGCATCCGCCAACCAACCGAACGTTCCTAAGCCCCCGTGCGTCATGCTGTTGGCTGGCTGACTGTACTTGCCCACCGATGACAGCGACCGGCGCTCCGATCATGATCATGGCCTGCACGGTCTCGATGAAGAGCACACGCAGCTGCGGATGGTGAACAGGCGCGTCCCGGCGCATCTCCTCAAAACTCGTAAAGGCCTAACACATCCATCCCATCAACCCATCAATACTGACACACAGGAAGATACGGACTCCATTTATCTGTTTCTGTTGGCTGACCTGGCATGGAGGGCATGCGGCAGCCACCCTCACCATGGCCTTGTCGCTCTCCGCCGCGCTGCTGCTGCTGCTGCTGCTGCTGCTTGTGCCGTCAGTGCTGTCGGCTACGCCAACAGAAGGCAGGAGCCGCTTCGCGCGATCCAAATTGGCGAGATCGTCGTGCGCCGGCCCGCCTCTGGCCAGGTCAGTCATGATGCGGAACATGTCCAACGCATTGTCCTCCCACACCTCCACGCCACCGCCACCGCCATCACCACCACCACCACCACGCTTCACATCCTCCTGATCGAGCAAAGGACGGTACAATGCACAAAAAATCCCTCCCTCCCTCCCTCCCTCCCTCCGTGGTGTGTCCTTGCCCACCTTGATGACTGTCGCACAGACGGTCTTCTTGTCTATGGCTATGTGCTTGCCCCCAGAGCCGAACTCCCTCTTCGCCCGCAGCATCGCCTCACTCACGTTCCCCATGCCACCGAAGATATCCAAAGTGGTGGCGGACTCATCGGTGTCGATCCTCTTGCCCTCGCACGCCCTCGTCCCGCCGTTGAGGAGCTCGATGGCCTCTTTTGAGGGGCACACGATGGGCGGGATGCCCGTGAAGCCCTCACTGTGAGGAGACCACTGAAAATCCGCCGACAGGCCTGTGACACCCGTGTGGCGCCACTGTGGGGGCAGAAATCCCTCGGGGCTGTCGATGGGGGAGGATGCGAGCCGCACTGAGCGGCGGGGCGCCCCCTCCCCCCCGGTTGTCTGGCCCTGCTCCTCTTGGTGGATCATGACGGTCTTGCAGTAGACGCGAAGCGGATAGGGCGAAGAGGCGGGATGAGGGGCCTGAATGTGCGCGGAGCAGGGCGACTGCACGCTGCCACAGGCGCAATGATGCATGTCGACAGGGAAGAGCAGCTGGGATGGGGACACCTTGATGGGCTTGGGGAGCGAGTGGCCAAGCAAGGGTCGGGGCCGCTTGTCGGTCTCCATGTCGATGAGCTGTGGCGGGGGAGGGAAGGGGTGAGGCGAGGAGGGGTTCACCAGCGACGACATCACGCCACTCTCATACACCAGGTCGACGTCGACCGTCGCCGTCTCCTTCTCGCCAGCCTTGGCCACCCCTCGCACAGTCAGACCCTCTGGTAGACGCACCACGACCATCTTGCAGCCGTCCCGTCCAATGGGGCCGACAACCCAATACTGATGCCGCATGTGGTCGGGTAGACCATCACCCGACGTGCAGACAGAGCGCGGGGCGGCGGTGGCGCTGGCCGCCGAGGCTGACGCTGCGGCTGCGGATGAGCTCGCGCCATGTGCTGCGGGGGCGTCCTGCTCGGGGAAGGCGTGGATGCTGGAGGGGCAGAACGGCCGCGAGGAGGTGTGCATGAAAGATGGGACGACCTCTTGGTAGCACTCCGGGTGCCAGTACCTCACGCAGCCCTCCTGCACCACACAAACAGCTCCACAATGGCCGTTGTCATTTGTGTCCATCTTTCTCACCCCTTGTCCCTTGCTACCTGAGAGCACTTGACAGGTGGCTTGCCGCCCCTCTCGCAGGAGCTCAAGCAGACGACGCAAGTGGGGCCTGCCCTCACCGCACGATGTCCACTGCAGCAGGTGCGGCACAGCTGCGGCAACGACGGGAGGTCCAGTAGGGTCTTGATGTTGGTATGCTGCTGCAGGGAGGGATTGTCCGACTGGTCCCTGGAGTGGCGGATGGATCTGTCGAAGCCGGCTGCACACGTGGGGCCGGTCTGGTCGCTCTCCTCGGGACCGTCGCCATCTTGGTCCAGTGCCTCGGGACCGTCGCCCGGGGCCCTCATGAGCGACAAAATCTCTTTGATGCTACCCCTGACACCACACCACACCACACCACACCACACACACGTACACGTCAGATGACACAGAGGGTGCATGTGTCGGCCCACCCACCCACCCACCCACCCATCCACCCACCAAAGTCTGTGGAACTCCTCGACGCATGAGAAGGGCTCCCACGTGGGCGTGTCCCCCACCCAATGCACCCTCAGCTTCTGGCGGCGCTCATCAACATCGAGAACACGCTGCACCACACACACACACATGGATCCCAATCCATTGCTGCAGCGATGGGAGTTTGTGACGCCTCCCTTATTGTGTCACCTACGTTGATGTTGTATGTGGCATCATGTGCCGACAGGGGTATGAGCGGGAGCCCCCGCTTCTTGGCGTCATTGATCAGAGCCCTGACATCCTGCGATGGGCAGCTACAGATGAGCTCCTTGACAGATACTCGCGGCGTAGTCTTGCCCTGCAAGCATCCGTCAGCAGATGGACGGGCACCACCCACACCAGTGCAAGTCACACAAACCGCCGAGTGCAGTGCTCTTTCGTATTTCTGCACACCGAGCTCCATTGGACGGTGCAGTGATACCGATCATGCGCCTCGCAATAGTACAGCTCTGAGATCTCCTGCGGCACAGTCAGATCCAGGAAGCGATGGATATGGATGGACGGATGGATGGATGCGGCGTGCCCATCCACCCGATGGGTGCATCTTTCTCGTACCTCGACGGTATCATTTCTATCCATCCCGCCAGCGGAGGGCTGACAAGGAGCAGGGAACACCCTTCCGGTGAGCCCTGAGCCCTAACGCCGAAACAAACCCTGAACTGCTGCTGTCAAACCCTGAACTGCTGCTGTGGTGCGCTTGTGTTTCTATGATTGTTTGTCAGGTTGCTGTTGCGGTGGATGTGGCTATGACGTTCATGTGCTGCATGCGATCTGCGTGTACGTCCGTGTAGGTAGCTGTACAGGCTGACCGACGTGAATACTCCTCGAGAGAGTATTGGGAGCGAGAGAGGGAATAAGCACGCCACAGACACGGACACACAGAGGTAGAGAGAGTACCGATTAAGCGATCGCCAGCATCATGATTTGCCCCAGCAGAGGCGTGTGTCTGTCTGCATTACCCATACATTGCTCGTCTTGCCCAATAGCTATGGTGCGTCTCTGTGCTCTCACAATTGTCCACACCCACCCTCCCTCGCTCCCACCCTCCCTCACGCACACCGACCTTTACAGCACCATCAGCATCCAAACTCCCTACCCGCCGAGACACCGAAAAAGATGATGGATGGATGGGTTTAAACACTGTGTGTGTGTGTGTGCTTGTGCTCTCACTCTCGGCTGACAAATCGATCCATCCACTCACACTGACTATGTACCCAAACACGCCAAAACACGCGTCGCGTCGAATCCCTCCCCAGCAAAGCAAAGCAAGCACAAAGCAAAGCAAAGTCAGGCAGCTGTAGCTCAGTTCAGGACACTCGCATTCAGGCACTCCACACGTGATATCAGCACCTGCACACATGGCGGGCAGGCAGGCAGGCACACGTGTGTGTGTGTGTGTGTGCGTGTGTGAGTGAGTGGGTCGGTGCGGCGTACCTCCATCGCCCGGTGCAGGCAGATGACGTCTCTGACCTTCACGGCCCACTCCTGCGCCATCTCGCGGGCCTTGTCGTTCGAGAGGCGGTCCAGGTGGCGAATGGCGCGGTCGAAGTCCCCTGCATCAATCCATCAGTCAATCAAGGAAACGGGGGAATGCACTCGCGCTGCCATGTGTGCGTCTGGTGTACCTTGCTGGATCCAGTAGGCGGCCGAGCTGAGGTTGTCGAGGTTCATGCGCAGCTCGCCACCGCCGGCTGCAGGGCACACACACACACAGACACGCACAGCGTGTAATGTGGTCTCTCCTTCTTTCTCTCTTTCTCTCTCTCTCTCTGTGCGTGTGTGTGTGCAGCGACACAACTTGCCTTCGGTCTCGACGTCGATGTCGTAGTGGCTTCTCGGCCGCTTCTGCACCATGTAGAACGTGGAGAAGACGTTGGCTGTCACATATACACACAGGCACAGAGGCACACAGAGAGAGAGAGAGCACATGTGTGTGTGTGTGTGTGTCTGTGTCTGTGTCGATTGGGTGCACACAAAGCACATGCCATGCAGGTGCGTACCTGCGAAGTGCCAGGGGAGCCCCACTCGAGATCCCACAAAGGCCGCCTTTACGCAGTCGCGCTGCAGAGTACTCTCAAACGTCATCTACACACACACACACACACAGGACGGATACATAACAAGCAGTGCGGCTTGGTGGCCGGCTGACCCTCATGTCGGAGAGTGTGGGCACCCCTTCCTCGCACATCTGCACGCACGACGCCGGCAGCTCCGCGAACACACTGCACACAACACACCCAGACAGACAGACAGACCACACACATGTGTGTGTTGTGTTGTTGTCGTGTTGTCTGGCGGTTGATGTGTGTGTGCGCCGGCTGACCTGCTGAGGACGGAGTCTTCGCTTCCCACTTCCATGACCAGATCCAGGTCCCTCCGGATGGGCCGGTAACACGCCAGCCGCTGATGGATCGATCGATCGATACACAGTGAGTGAGTGCGTGTGTGTGTGTGTGTGTGTACCTCTTGCAGTGTGGTAACGATTGTGATGATCTTGTTGAGCTTGCAGACGCGAGTCTTGGAGGCCGCCTCCTTCTCAAACGCCTGCACACAACACACAAGACGACACACACATGAGTTTGTCTCTCTCCCTCCCTCCCTCCCTCCCTCTCTGTGCGTGGCAGACAGACAGACAGACAGTCAGATAGGGGTTCTTACCTCTTCCATTGTCTTCATGCGGCCGTCCATCTGACCGAACCGACCGAGAGAGAGAGAAGGAAACAGAGAGAGATGAAACAACGATACGCGGAGACATGGACAGAGACCGTCACACCCTCGCACTCACCCAGCAGATGTTCGCGGCGTTGGCCATCTTCTCCTTCTCGAACTCCTGCATACGATAGGACACACAGGGACACACAGAGACACAGAGAGTGACAGAAATGCACCTGTCTGTCTGTCTGTCTGTCTGGGTATGGTGTGACTGACCTGTCTGAAGTGTTCTTTCGTCTCCTCCATTTGCTCCATGTGGCTGCGGGACGAAGCAACAGGCAGTACGTGTGTTTTGGTGAGTGTGTGTGCAGGTGATCCGGTGAGTGGCTGAGTGGGTCAGTGGGAGGGCACCGCACCGGTGGTCTAGCTGCTTGATGGCCTCCTCTCTCTCGCGGATCGCCTCGATCTGCACACACATGCCATGGACAGACCCAGTCAGGAATGCACTCACAGACACGTGTGTCTGTCTTTCGCAGTGTGCCACACACACACACGGACGCACCTCCATGCGGTTCATTTTCTGGATACACTCGCGTTCGATGACCTTCTGGGTTTCTTCCTTCGCCTGCACACACACGCACACACACACACATGGACAGAGAGAGAGACAGGGGGAGAGAGAGTGAGAGAGAGACGTCTCGCACACGCAAACACAGAGAGATGGGTATGCAGTGAGGCACACGTACCACTTCCGTCGCGTGGCCGATGATCTTTTCGAAGTGGCGGTTGTACTTGAGCTCCATCGCCTCCTGCATGGCCTGGACCTCCTCTGCGATCTTCAGGTTCACGAACTTGCTGCACACACGAATGACAGACAGATATCAGAGCCGGGTGGTGTCGATCTCTCTCTCTCTCTCTCTCTCTGCGTGTGTGTGTGTGCGTGTGTGCACCGGTGCTGCACAAGCTCGGTTTCCACTTCGATGAGGCGGTCGAAGACGCCATCTCTACACACATCAGATACACACACACAGAGGGAGAGGGAGACAGAGAGGTGTGCCTTCGCGTGTTCGTTCTCTCTCTGCGTGTTCGTTCTCTCTCTCTCTCTCTCTGTGTGTGTGTGTGTGTGTGTGTGTGTGCAGCCCATGAAGATACCTGTCCTTGTCCTGCAGGGCTCTCTTCTCGGCCTCGATGGCGTCCTCCACGGCAATGTCACGGTAGGGGTCGTCAACCACTGCACGCACACACACACACACACACACATGCGCGGGCGAAGGTGCAAGCGTACCGATGGTTCGCACGAGAGCGCTAATGGGTTTGCCCGGCCCCCTGTGCACACACACACACATGTCCATCTGTCCATAGCTTCCAAACTCACTCTCTCACTTGAACTCGTCGTCTGCAGGAGGCTCTCCCGCGAAATCGTCAGCAGCACCGCCAGCCGCACCAGCCCCAGCATCGGCATCGGCATCGGGCGGGCTCACCTCCTTCTTCGCTGGTTCCATCCCGCCCTCCAGCGACTCAACCTGCACCCATTACCCATCCATCCACAGAACTCTCTCTTTGTCTCTCTCTTTCGGTGACTGTCTGTCTGTCTGTCTGGGTGTCTGTGTGTGCACAGCACACCCCAGGACACTTACGTTCTTCTGTGTGGCGGCCCGCAGCTCTTCGTCGGTGATCATGCCGAGTCCCCACTTCTGGTCGGGCGGGAGAGCCTCGAACTTGGCCAGCAGGTCGGGGATCTCAGAGATGCCAAATATCATCTGCAGACAGACAGGCAGACAGGCGCGTGTGTGTGTGTGCAGGGGCGTGTCTGGTGGTGGGTGTGTGGGTGTGTGGTGGGTTTTCTTGCCTTGGTGTCCTCGTCCATTTCGTCGCACATGCGAATCACCTCGGCCATCTCCTCCTTCAACTCCTCGTCAGTGTACTGACCAATCAGTACACACACACCCCCTCTCTCCCTCTCTCCCTCTCTCTCTGTTTGTGTGTGTGTGTGTGTGTGTGAGGGCCTATGACATATGACATGTAAACGGACCTGCTTAGGCTCCTTAGGCAGTTTCTTCTCTTCTGTGATCTCCTCAACCGAGTCCTTGCCTTCTTCAGCGCCGAAGCCCTCCTCAGGCGGAAGTTCTGCCTTGTCGTCCTTGTCGCCTTCCTCTCCCTCCGTCGGCTCCTTCTTCTCTCCTTCTACCGGTCCCTCCGCCGCCTCCTCCTCTCCACCCTCCACGGCCTCCTCCCCTTCAGCCTCCTCAGGCTGCTCTTCTTCTTCTGCTTCTTCTTGAGGGATACCAGCGGCCACATTGCCTTGCTGCGGGGGCTGGTGGATTGACACACAGACAGACAGACAGACAGACAGAGAGTGAGGGTGGGCGTGAGTCTAACTGCGCCCCCTGCGTGTGTTTCTTACCGGCGGTGTTTCCTCGACTTCTTCTTCTTCAATCGACTGGAACACACGCACACACACACACACACCCCAATACATATATTGACAAGGTCAACAAAGTCGCTGAGCTCGCCGGGTTACCATCGTCGGCGGGCCGCTCCACCCAGGCAGCTGTTCCGGTTCCGGCACTGCATACACACACAGACACACACACACACACAGATTCGTTCATTGACAGGCACGACAGACACACCGACGCACACCAGACAGACCTCTTTCGTGTTCGGGCAGCATAAACGGCCACAGCGTCTTCTCCACCGGCTTGTCGATGAAGGCAGCCACGCCAGGGTAGCTGTCAGTCAGTCAACACATCCATCAACACATACATCAAACACTTACTTGTCAAGTGCCTCCCCTCCCTCCCTCCCCTATACTTATACTCACTCGTCTTGGATGTACTTGCGGAGGAAGGCCATCCGATCCGTGGCCCACCACAGCCCTACGGTGGTGCCGCCAAGCAAAACCGAGCCCCACATTAGCCGACTTCGGATGCCAACCGTGCCTAAACACCGCACACACATGGACGCACACGCGGTGGGGGAGGGGTCGGGGGAGGGGGAGGGGGGGAGGCCGTCTTCTGACCGGTTTTTATCAGGGGCTCTTGCGAGAACCTGGATGCAGACCCCGTGCGAGCACTGCACATACACACACCAGACCTATCGTGTGCTCGTGTGTTTCCCCGTGTGTCCACATCTCTCTCTCTCTCTCTCTCTCTCTCTGTCCTCACGCCGTGGAAAACATCTGAGAAACTGATGAGCATAGACAGGAAGACACAATCGCCTTGTACCAGATCTGTGTGCGTCACGGGCGGGTGGCCTACCCGTTGGATGGTGCTGTGGCCCGCAGCCGCGGGCCAACAGCATCACTGAGGCACGTGGGATGCGCATCATCGCGAAAGCATTGCGAGCTCATTCTTTTGCGAGCTTTGCTTGAGGACGAACTGCTCCTCCCCCCTCCCAAAAGACACGCGTCCGTAGAGTCACGAGTGTCCTTTGAGACAACTGTGAGTGGCGTGACCACGAGTGACATTCGTGAACGCGACGCAGATATTGTAGTTGCATGAATTCTGCGCAGAGAGCGGTGTGTCGCATGCAGCGGGGATGAACCGTTGTTGACCATGCAGACGGACACAAATTAAGTACATACATACATACATACATGACACGTCATGAATGAATGACCATTTTGTGTTGTGTGTATACTGTACTTGACATGCTGAAATCAGTTATGTGATGATGGGTGTGCTGCAGTGCACATGGGGCGACACGATGGATGGCCGGGGGTCGGTGTGTGGGACACACAGCCATGCCATGGGTAGTGTGCACATTCACATTGAAAGAAAAACACCCCACCGGTCAGTCAGTCCGTCCTTCCGCCCTCTCACCCTCCCGCCCCTGCCCTCACCATCCATCCATCCATCCATGTGGTGTGTGCGGCTGAGCAGCTCAATGCAGGTGTGCGGCGAGGATCGACTACAGGTATGTACCGGCCGCTCACCTCTGCCTGCCTCTCCCTCTCTCTGTACGTCGACGCGGATGAGTGCGACCGCGGCGACCAGCAGGAAGGTGCCGACCCGACCACACACATCAGCACACGATACACCTGGTTCCTACGAGAACGACACACACAACCATCCATGTGTGTGTGGCTCTGTGCGCATGTGTGTGTGTGTCTGACCAGCCCATGAAGCGCGTGGCGCAGGTGTCCGGCGTGCTCGAGCCGGGGAAGGACAAGTAGTTCATCACCAAGCCAACGAAGGTGCCCGGCCTAGGCAGCAGACGGCACACACACAGACAGATGGACCGTGTGTTGATGTCTGTGTGTGTGTGTGATGTGATGCAGCCATACTGACCTCCTTGAAACCACGCACATGCGCATCACACACACACACACACACACAAAAGAGTGAGCCACCGCAGTCAGGGTGTCAGAGCTCTGTGTGAGTGTGTAGCCTGCTTTGTCGGCAAGTTGCTGGGCGGCCCACGCGAGTTGATAAGTCTGTTTGACAGCTCACCTTCGATGTGCACGCGGCGGGACAAATCAGTGCGGTTGAAGGCTTGTCATCAGCCCATCGAATATAAAATGAAGGCAGCGATATCTGAGGGCAAGCGGAGACATGAGGACGTTATGTAATCCACAAGGGCAGCATGCCACCTGGGCCATCTATCATCTGTGCTCACCTTGCACGAGAGGTCGACATTGTAGTCAAAGCCGCACACTCGCGCCACCCCTGCAGACATACACATGAACACACAGGGTACGGTGTGAGTGGATGGATGGATGGATGTGAGGGTTGGCGGTTGTTTTGCTCCCACCTGGCGACTGCAGTGGGCCGAGCTTCTGACCAGCCGTCTTCTGACCGCTTTTGATCAGCGCCTCTTGGGTCAACTTAAATGCAGACCCCGTCCCGCCACTGCACACACACACGCCAGATCCATCGTGTGCTCGTGTGGTTCCCCGTGTGTGTGCGCACATATCTCTCTCTCTCTCTCTGTCCCTCACCTCAACCCCACGGTGGTGCCGCCGACCAGCACCGATCCCCACAGGAGGCGACCCCGAATTCCAGGACTGCACACACACACATCAGATCCATGGCGTGCTCGTGTGGTTCCCCGTGTGTGTGTGTCACATCTCTCTCTCTCTCTCTCTATCTCTCTCTCTGTCTCTCTCTCTGTCTCTCTCTCTGTCTCTCTCTCTGTCTCTCTCTCTGTCCCTCACCTTCTTGCGGCCGCCCTAGCGGTCTCCTTCATGGACGGGGCGGTCGAGAACATCCGAGAAACTGATGAGCATAGACAGGAAGACACAATCGCCTTGTACCAGACCTGTGTGCGTCGGGCGGGTGGCCTACCCGTTGGACCATGTTGAGGCGCGCGGCCGCGGGCCAACAGCGTGATTGGCCGACGCGAGATGCGCATTCTCGCCTTGGTCACGTACATCTGTGCATCCTATGCACCTCGTGAGAAGTGCGACTGTTCCTTCGCTGGGCGTCAGGGCACTGTGTGGTGCGGTTGTGATTGTGATCACTTGCCGTCGACATATAAAATGTAGGCGGCGATGCAGTCAGGCGACTGAAATGAGAGAAGAGACACACAGAGACACGACAGTGAATAAGAAAAGAGGCAAGAATGAGACGGCTGCAAGCATAACTGTCTTTCTCGTCTGTCGGCCTGCCCGAACTCACCCGTCCTTCCCCGGATGCTAGGCGGCGTCCTCTGGAAGCTAGCACCTGATATCGATGCGAAGCGGCGAAGGGGGAAATACGCCGAGCGAATATAAAATGTTAGCGGCGATGGACAGTCTGCAGACGCGTGCCGGCTTCTGACCGCTTCTCATCAGGGCCTCTGATGCCAACTTGGATGAAGAGCCCTTCCCAGCACTGCACACACACACGCCAGATCCGTCGCGTGCTCGTGTGGTTCCCCGTGCGTGTGTGCACATCTCTCTCTCTCTCTCTCTCTCTGTCCCTCACCTCAACCCCACGGTGGTGCCGCCGACCAGCACCGATCCCCACAGGAGGCGACCCCGGATGCCAACTCGTGTGGCCGCCTTGGCGGTCTCTGTAGCCGACGTTGCGGATGAGAACATCCGACAGACTGATGAGCAAAGACAGGAAGACAAAATCGCCGTGTACCTGATCTGTGTGCGTCCCGGGCGGGTGGCCTACACGTTGCCGGATGCTGTTGTCCGCATCTGCGGCCCAGCAGCGTTGAAGGACGAACGATGCGCATCATCGTCTTGGTCACGTACTCAAGGTATTTTCAGTCGGAAGGCGAAAATTGAAAACATTTCGGCTCGCGTGAAGCCCTTGTCGACGAAAAAAAATCTCGCTCCTTCTCGAACTCAGACCGATCCCTCCCGCTGTTTCTGCTTCTGGATAAGTTCTCGTGTGTCTGCACAAAAACACGACACAAACACACGCGCCACACGTGCGCACACAAAGCACACGGAAGCTCTGATTCTCACTCACCTCAACACGTGAGGGCAATGTCGGCGGCGACCGGTCAGCCTGAGACAAAGGAAAACAAAGCAATTGACCCTGAACTCCGTGCGTTGTGTGCTTGTGTCCGTACTTGGATGGTCGGCTTGATGCCGCATGCAATGCCCAGGTCGCCGCAGAACTCCGGGATCCCTCAGGTATGGCAGAGGTGGCGGCTCGCTGGGCAGGAGGGCGGCAAATGCGCATTTGGGTCGCCGGCCTGTTTTGTCGTCGTCGCCATCTTCTCTCGCCCTGAACCATCCACCCCACCCGACGCGCAAGAAATGAAGGACATCTCACCCAGCTCCGTGTGTTTGTGCTCAGCTCACCTCAAGGGCTCCGAGTCGGTCGATGCCGGGCGTGTCGGTCAAGTCCAGCCACAGCCGGTTGGCAGGACGGCGGCACAGATGCCTCTGCAAGTCGTTGTTGCCGGTTCTGAGGTCCTCTTTTGTATTGCCGAACGAAAGAAAAAAAAACGGCAGTCTCGCCGTCCCGTCTCCCAAAATTTAAATTCTCGCCCGTCGGATACGGTTGATGGTTGGGATATTGCCCTGCTGCTGACCCTGCTCGTACGCTGTGTCTGATTCACCAGACGCCTTTCCGATTGTTCACTCGACGCGAGCTTAAAACCTCGAAGCTCGCAAAACTTAATCAGCAAACAGAGGCCGTTCACGTGTCCGCCGGGATATTGCCCTGCTGCTGACCCTGCTCGTACGCTGTGTCTGATTCACGAGACGCCTTTCCGATTGTTCACTCGACGCGAGCTTGAAACCTCTAAGCTCGCAAAACTTAATCAGCAAACAGAGGCCGTTCACGTGTCCGCCACGTCAGGGTGAAGGAGATCTCTTGAGGTAAAGGCGAGAGAAGCGGAAGTAGTGGCGTCCGGAGCATATATATGGCTGATCCCTATGCCGCCGGTGGTGGCGGCGGAGGCGGCTGCTACCCGCCGCCAGTGCCGCCGCCGTACGGCCATGGTGACGAGGAAGATGAAGAGGACGAAGATGAAGGAGAGGAGGAGCATGACGTCCTTGGGTGAGCTCGGAGGCTGGCTGTCATGGGTGTCTGTGTTGTCTGTCTCTTTCTGTGCTGCGTGTGTATCACGTCAGTCACGTGCTGTGTGTTGTGTTGTGTTGGCGTGTGTGTAGGCTGGACAGTGAGGAGGAGGAGCAGGGCGGTGATGGAGGTGGAGATGGCGATCACCAGCAGCACCAGCAACAGCAGCAAACAGGTGACCCAGCCACTCCCTCAGAGAGAGAGAGAGAGAGAGAGAGAGGGACTATTCTGGTGTGTGTGCGTGTCCGACAGGTGGTGAGCCCGGTATGGGTGGCGGCGGTGATGAGGATGACGACGACCTGTTCGGCGAGCAGGAGATGGGCGGCGGCATCGGGGAGCAGCAGCACGACTTGCAGCCTGACGAATATGTCAAGCAAGAGCGAGGTCAGTCGGCCTCAGCAAACTGCGCGTCTGTCTGACCTGTCTGGTCACAGAGGACAGAGGGATCCATGCGTGTGTGTGTGTGTGTCTGTGTTGATGTGTGTGCAGAGGATCATCTGGAAGAGGATGAGGAAGAGGAGTACGAGGTGAGTCTACGTGATGTGATGACGCAACAGACCACCGCACTGCAAGCAGTGGCCCTCTCTCTGCTGTGTGTGTGTGTATCCCTCCTCCCAACCCACCATCGCATTTGATCTATCTGCCCAGGACCTGGAGGCCACCCTGCTCGAGGAGAAGCTCGAGGAGGAGGAGGGCATCGACGACTCAGCTGAGATCGAAAACGAAGTAAGCGCACCGGACGGACAACGGCGAGAGATTCGCGACCACACACATCGATGGATCGATATGGATGTGTGTGTGTGTGTCCCTTAAAGGATCCTTGGCACGTGGTCGACTTGTACTTCCACGAGAAGGGCCTGGTGTACCAGCAGACCGAGTCCTTCAACGACTTCATGATGTTCAAGATGCAGGTCGGTCGGTGCGTCTCTGCCGCGCAAAGACACAGACGAGTGCAGTGCCGTGCAGCCACCAACCCTCCCTCCCTCTCCTGTGTGCGCGATTGTCTGATCTTACAGGAGCTGGTCGATGAGCATCCTGCGTTAGAGATCAAGCCGCAGAGCCAGTACGGACCTTCCAGCAGCACCGACGAATCGGTAACACCCCCCCAGCCATCCGTCCGCCCATGGATCTGCTTGGCCTGCACGTTTTGTGTGTGTGTGTCGGGTCAGCTGAAGTATGAGCTCAAGTTCAGCCAGCTTTCGCTCAACAAGCCGCAGCTGGTCAGTCAGCTCAGCCAGTGAATGGCAAATGCGATCAATGCGCCCATCCATCAGGCAGACAGACGGACTCTGTGTGTGTGTGTGTGTGTGTGGCAGATAGAGGACGAGCAGAAGGAGCAGCTCATGCCCAACGTCGCCAGGCTCAGAAACCTCACGTACGTTAGGACGCATTTCAGGCAGATACACAGCGCCCGTTCACCCCCTGTGCGCCTTGCGGCTTTGTGTGTGCAGGTACTCGTCGCAGCTCTATGTCGACATCGTGCAGAAGGTCTACCGAGTGCCGGAGGACGGCAGAGGTGACAAAGGGAACGGAACAACACGCACATCCATCCATCCATCCCTCTCTCCCTCTCTCTGTCTGTGTGTGTGTGGTTGTGGGTGTGAATGGTCACAGAGTGCACAGACGACGACAAGGTCGAGGAGAAGACGTACTCGAAGCTCGAGTGTGGCAAGGTAAGGTGGGTCCGCTGCTCGCTCAGACAGACCACCTGTGTGTGTGTGTGGTGTATGTGTGTGTGTGTGTGTGTGTGTGCAGGTTCCGATGATGCTGCGGAGTGAGTTCTGTTGGCTCTCCGCCCTCACCGACAAAGAGAGGGCCGAATGCGGCGAATGCATCTTCGACCAGGCACGCACGCCCACACATCACATCAACACACCGTGGCTGTGATGTGCTGTGGGTGTCTGTCTGTGTGTGTGTGTGGCTAACTAACTTTGTCAATTAACAGGGTGGCTACTTCATCATCAACGGCAGCGAGAAGGTGCTGGTGGCGCAGGAGAGGATGGCCAACAACTTCGTATACGCCTTCCACAAGAAACAGCCATCCAAATGGTAACCTCCCCTCCCCCTCTCTGCCCTCTCTCTTCCTCCCACAACCACACCAACACACACATGCGCTTTTTCTTAGGTCATGGATCGTCGAGGTGCGGAGCTGCGCCGAGGGCATGCAGGCCACCTCGCCCTTCAGCGTCAAGATGCGGGCGCCCTCCACCGGCGGCGGCGGACGCGCAGCCAAGGACAACCCTTCTGACCGGGTTAGTTCGTGAGCATGCCGACCGACACAGAGATAGATATTTGTGTGTGTGTGTGTGTGTGATTGTGATGTGTGTGGGGTCGGTGTGTGTGGTGGGGGGCTTGGCTTGGCTTGGCAGATTCTGGCCACCATCCCTTACATCCGGTCGGAAGTGCCGATCGTCATTCTTTTCCGCGCGCTCAGGTCTGGTCGGCTGGCACGTTTGGCGGGTCGGTGTGTGCGCCCCCATAGCACAGCACCTCATCATCATGATGTGTGTCGGGTCGGTGTGTGTGTGTGTGCCAATCAATGATTGTGTGCCAACAGGGTCAACAGCGAGAAAGACATCCTGGAGCGAATTGTCTACAACTTCGACGACCGGGTAAGCCACACACACACACACACACGCATCGCCACACACGTGTGTGTGTGGGGGGGGGGGATCGACCTGACTGGCAGGCGATGCTGGACTTGCTAAAGCCCTCGGTCGACCACGCAAGAGACTATGACGAGGAGGAAGTCTGTCTCGATTGGATCGGGCGCAGAGGTGCGCTTCGCTTCCACACATCCCTCCCCTCCAGAGCCATCCATCCATCCCCCCCACACACATGTCGCTGGCTGGGCTGGTGTGTGCAGGTCCCGCCACAACCGTGACGAAGGAGAAGCGCATCCAATACGCTCGGGAGCTGCTGTGCAAGGAGCTTCTGCCGCACCTCGGCATTGACGCCAACTCGCTGGCCCGGAAGGCCTACTACATCGGCTACATGGTCCACAGGATGCTCCTGGGGCGACTCGGACGGTACCCTCAGAGAGAGAGAGAGAGAGATTATCAAGGTTCGCATTCATCTGTCAGTGGTGTAATGTGGTGCTGTGTGTGTGGGTGCAGGATTCAGGAAGACGATCGCGACCATTTCGGCAAGAAGCGGCTCGACCTCACCGGCAGCCTCATGGCCGCCAGCTTCGGGCAGCTCTTCAGGTGACCACCACCACCCCCTGCACCACCCACACACACGACTACACGTGAGCGTCTCTCTCTCTCGTGTGTCTGTGTGTGTGATAACAGGCGTGTGGCGAAGGATGTGCGCCGGCAGGTGCAGCGGAAGGTCGATCTGGGTGACGATTTCGACCTAGGTGATCCCTTTAACAGATGGAGAGCAGCGTGTCCATGTGTGTGTGTGTGTGCGTGTGTGTGTGTGGTGACAGGCAAGATCGTCAAGGATGCTGGCATGGAGATCGAGCGGGGCCTCAAGTACCAGCTGGCCACGGGCAACTGGGGCAAAAACAGAGAGGGCCAGACCGTCAGGACCGGCGTCTCACAGGTATTAACACCATTCTGCCCCACCGGGCATCAACACGTTACTTCTGTGTGTGTGTTCAATCAGGTGCTCAACCGGCTCACATTCGCCTCACAGCTTTCCCACCTGCGGCGGCTCAACACGCCGCTCGGCAGAGAGGGCAAACTCGCCAAGCCACGGTCGGTGCGCACAGCTGCCTGCCTGCCTGCCCATCTTATGTGTGAGTACTATTGACCTTCGTGTGTGGTGTCTGTCCCATCAGTCAGCTGCACAACACTCACTGGGGCATGATCTGCCCGGCAGAGACGCCAGAAGGACAGGTAGGTGTGTGAGTGGAGTAGTGCACCGAATGCAACACACACACACACACACACACATACACAGCGGACCGTTCTCCATCTGTGTGGCTGTGTGTGTGTGGTCTCCAGGCTGTTGGTTTGGTCAAGAATCTGGCGCTGATGTCCTACATCACGGTGGGCCAGAAAGCCGATGACATCGAAGACAGTATCAAGGTATCGACCCCACACACAGAGAGAGACAGAGAGAGAGAGAGAGAGAGACGCATGTGTCTGTGTGTGTGTGTGCCTTCAGGAGCTAGGACTCGACTCGTTGGACGAAGTGCAGCCCACCGAGATCAAACACCGAACCAAGGCACCCACACACACATCCATCCATCCATCGATGCGACACTTGCTTGTGTTGGTGTGCCTGTCCCCAGGTGTTCCTCAACGGCAACTGGATCGGCATGCACAGCGACGGCAAGGAGCTGGTCGACCAGCTGAGAAAGATGCGGCGGCAGGGCACCATACACTTTGAGATCTCCATCGTCCGGGACATCAACAACCAGGCAACCACCCCCTCCCCCTCCCCCACCACTACCCACACAGAGCTGTGTATCCCCGTGTGTGTGTCTGTGCAGGAGGTGAAGGTCTTCACTGATGGCGGCCGCGCATCGAGGCCGCTCTTCGTTGTCAATAAGAACCAAAAGTACACACACACAAATACAGAGAGAGAGAGAGAGACAGAGATATGCACACACACACAACTCTGCGTGTGTGCAGGCTTGCGATCAAGAAGAAGCACATCGAGCAAATCCAGAGCGACCCGCCAGAGATCAGGTATGTAAGGTACCTACCGCACAAACCGCCTCGCTCTCCCTCCCTCCCACATATGGCGTCCGTCTGTCGCCTGGGTCTGTGTGTGTGTTTGCTCAGGTGGTACTCCAAGAATGAGGAGGAAAACGATCTTATCCGCCAGGGCCTCGTCGAGTACATCGACACGGAAGAGGTCAGTGCAGTGCACCCACCCTCTGCAATCGCAATTCAATTCTACACCGGGGCTGTGCTGTCCGTTGGTTATTTATCTGCCTGTCTATGGTGATGTAGGAGGAGACCTGTATGGTGGCGATGTTTCTCGACGACCTCGAGTACGGCCAGTCCTACTGCTCCACCTACACCCACTGCGAGATACACCCATCGATGATCCTTGGTGCGTCAGTCACGTCAGCCAGCCCACCCGAGCGAGGCACACACACACATAGATGGATGGATGGATCAGGTGTGTGCGCGTCCATCATCCCGTTCCCCGACCACAACCAGTCGCCCAGGAACTGCTACCAGTCCGCTATGGGGAAGCAGGTCAGACCCCCAGACAGACACACACAGAGAGACCATACCATGCCGCCGAGGTCCAATTGTGTGCAAGTGTGTGTGTGTGTGTCGACAAACCATAAGGCTATGGGCGTCTACGCGAGCAACTACAACCTGCGGATGGACACCCTCGCCCATGTCCTCTACTACCCACAGGCAATGCCCAGGGGACGCCCACACCCACACACACCCACACCCACACACACGCCTCCCCTGCCAACTCTCTCTCTCTCTCTCTCTCTGTGTGTGTGTGTGTGTGTGCAGAAACCGCTCGTCATGACACGTGCGATGAAGCATCTGTTCTTCGACAAGCTGCCGGCCGGCATCAACGCCATCGTCGCCATCATGTGCTACAGGTGCGGTCGGGGCTTCCGAGGGGTCATGGGTCTAGGGTTTCAAACCCTAGCCCTGAACCCTACACGATGCCTGTGTGTGTGTGTGTGCAGTGGGTACAACCAGGAGGACTCGCTCATCATGAACCAGGCCTCCATCGACCGAGGGCTCTTTCGATCGGCCTTCTACCGGTCGGTAAACACACACACACACATATGTTCAATAAATTGATTATGGCGGATGACTGACGTCTGTGTGTGGTTGCCCGCGTCACTGATGGGCACAGGTCTTATCCTGCTGAAGAGCGCAAAACTGGCGGAGAGGTACCACCCACCCAAGCACACGCACTGACACCATCGGTCAATCATCAGGTGCACACACCACACATGGCCTGCAGGTGTACCTAGATCGGTTTGAGAAGCCCGACCCCGAGAACACCCTCGGCATGCGGCGGGGCGACTACTCCAAGCTCGACGAGGACGGCCTCATCGCTCCCGGCAGCCGCGTGCTTGGCGGGGACATAATCATTGGCAAGGTGGGTTGCGTTGTGTACTGCATAGCGCCCCCTTCCTCTCTCTCCCCGAAACACACACACCTAGTGGAGCCGCTCACTTGCACATCTCTATCTACCTACGACTGTGTTGTGTGGTCAGACTGCTGACATCCGCGAGAGTGAGGAGGAGGAGAGCCGGCGGGGCATTGAGGAGGAGGCGCAGATCCAGCGGAAAACCAAAAAGGACTCGTCACTGGGACTCAGTAAGATAGCTAAGCGGAGACAGACAGAGGGAGGGAGGGAGGGAGAGAGGGAGAGAGAGCGACACACTGACGAACATTTGCACATCGACATCTCTCTCTCTCTCTGTTGCGTGCATTCATTGCCCAGGGCCGTCTGAGAACGGCGTGGTGGATCGCGTGATGCTCTCCCTCTCCGAGAAGGGTTACAGGTTCACCAAAGTCCGGGTGAGCGAGTGCGTCACGTCAATCTAAACAGAGAGACGCAGAGAGAGAGAGAACAATGCTGTTAATACGGTTTTATCTACATGTGTGTGTGTGTGTGTGTGTGGTGGCGTGCAGGTGCGCTCAATCCGGATTCCGCAGATCGGCGACAAATTTGCGTCGCGCCACGGGCAGAAGGGCACCATCGGCATCACCTTCAACCAGGAGGACATGCCCTTCACGCGCGACGGCGTCTGTCCGGACATCATCATGAACCCTCACGCCATCCCCTCCCGAATGACCATCGGTATCGGCCCGCAGCACAGCCACCGACAGCCACAGACAGGCTGAGGTGGATGGATGGATGGATGTGTGTGCAGGTCATCTGATTGAGTGTCTGTTGGGCAAGGTGTGCTGTGTGGGCGGCATGGAGGGTGACGCTACGCCATTCACCAAAGTGAGCAAACCACACACACACACACACACAGAGAGAGAGAGAGAGAGATGTCTCTCTGTGTGTCTGTCTGTCTGTCTGTGTGTGCGTGTTGGCATCACTATTCAGCTGACGGTGCAGCAGATCTCGGCCAACCTCCACGCACTCGGCTACCAGAAGCACGGGATGGAGGTCAGTCGCACCCGCCGCACACACAGACACACAGACAGACAGACGTCCATCTACTCTACGTGTGTTCTCCCTCCGTGTGTGTGCCTTCAGGTGTTGTTCAACGGCTACACCGGCCGTCGGCTGAATGCGCGCGTCTTCATCGGGCCCACCTACTACCAGCGGCTCAAACACATGGTCGACGACAAGATCCACTCGCGAGCCAGAGGGCCGGTGGTACGCACACACATCCACACACAGGCATCCAGACAAAAAGGTCTGTGACCCACTACATACACACACTTGACTTGCAGGTGATGCTGACGCGCCAGCCGATGGAGGGCCGGGCGAGAGAGGGCGGCCTTCGGTAAGCAAGCTGGCAACAAGCACACAGACAGACGCTCGCATCGCATCGCACACCCCACCCTCTGTGTGTGTGTGTGTGTCCGTTCCGTGTGCCTGTGTCTGGGTAGGTTTGGTGAGATGGAGAGGGACTGCATGATTTCCCACGGGGCGGCCAAGATGCTTAAGGAGCGCCTCTTCGACATGAGCGACGCTTACCGAGTCCATGTGTGCGACGAGGTGAGTGAGTCCAGTCAGTCCCTCAGAAGCATCCCACCCACCTACCATCCACCCCCTCTCTCTCTGCGTGTGTGTGTGTCAGTGTGGGACATTTGCGGTGGCGAATTTGCACCGTCACCATTACGAGTGCCGCGCGTGTCAGAAGAAGACGAACATCAGCCAGATCTGCCTGCCCTACGCATGCAAGCTGCTCTTCCAGGAGCTCATGGCCATGTGCATCATGCCCAAACTCGTTCTCACCACCTGCTAGCCTAGCCTAGCCATGTAGCCAGCCAGCCATGTTTCTCTCTCTGGGCGGGCGTTGGGGTGAGTGAGTGGATGGGAGGTGGTGGGTGTCTTTATTGGATTGGACGCTGTGTGTGTGCGTCGGTGAGGTGACTCTCTCGTGTGAGTGATATTTGTTCGATGTGTGAATGATTGAAGGCACAGCAAACGAGTGCATTGAACTAAGCTGCACACCCACGATCGGTCCCATGCACACACAGCGAGGGTGTCCATCCGCCAGAGCAGGCCATGTAGGTGCACAATGAACGCAATAAAGCAATCCGACAGCCGCACCATTCACTCGTTCATTGCTCATCTTTGTTTGTCGGCACACAGCGGTGGAAGGAAGGAAATACGGCCGCACACACATCCACAGCCAGGGAGGCAGGCAGGCAGAAAAACGAGCTACGATGGCCCTGCTTGATGGCACTCAGGCAGGCATACCACCCAGGCCCACTCCACAGCGATGGACACAGCAGTGTGAGTAATCATGCATTGCAGTGCGCAACAGATAATTTTCCTGC